AAGGGCTACTTCAGGCGTCTCATTCAAGCAGAGCAGCAGCTCGATCATTCGCGCGAGGTTGGAGAACGAGCTCGAGCCCGTCCTCCCTCATCCCCAGCGAGCACAGGCGAGCAGCCTCCCTCCTCCTCCAGCGTGAAGAGGGACAAGGACAAGAGCGGGTCCTGGCTGTCGCGGACGCTGAGCGGGAGAGGATTCGCCAAGACAAAGAAGATGGAGATGGGGGGCGAGCTGGACTTCGAGCTGGGGGGCGACAAGAAGATTCTGATCGAGAAGTTCTCGAAGCAATTCGAGCTTGTGTTCCCTCGCCAGCAATGGCTGCTTGCGAAAGAAGCGACGCGGCGAGAAGGAGAGGTGAGAGAGGTGGAGTGAGGAGGGAGGGAGTCAGCAGGGGAAGGCAGAAAGGAGAGACGGAAGGGCAAAGGAGGAGGAGAAGGTTTGTGTTAACCTTTGAATCTCCTGCAGACATATGGGACAGACGAAGAGATTCAAAGAGAATTCACTCGACTGTCAGTAGCTCTTCTCGCACCTTCCTCCTCTCCTCTCCCTCTTGTTCCTCGCATCAGTTCCTCCCACTCCTCTTCGTCCTCCTCGTGTTCGTTCTCTTACACACGTGTTCCACAGATTCGGTCAGCCCAAGTCAAGATTCATCGGAAGTTCGGACCGGCTGATGGCTGTGTGAGGAGGAGACGACCTACCCACTGAAGTTCTTGAACAAACATTGAGAGTCAAGAAGTTGAGCAGGTTTGCGGGTCAAGTAAATAAAATAATGATTTGGACGAGGGATCTTGACTAGCTGCTGGGGAGGAGCAGGGGGAGTGGAGGGGAGGAGGTGATGATGCTGATGAAGATGTTTGAAATGTTTGTTGATGGAGGAGCTCAAGGAAAGAAGATCTTCAAAGTCCCTCGAATCTCCTGCTTGCAGAAGGGACAAGCGAGGAGGCGAGGAGAGCATTCCGGACAAACTTGAGTGTGCAGACAAGGAAGGAAGACAACCGACAAGTTGTTGACGAAACAAATCTGAAGAGATCATGTCATACCTCCAACCTCTTCCCTCCCACGTTCTCCTCTCTCTCACCTTGCATGCAAACATCTCTCTCAGCAGCTCCAGTGCTTCTTCTCGTTCTTCTGTCAGTTCCTCGTTCCTTCTCCGCAGTTTCGCCATTTTCTCTTCTTCCTTCCGCCTCTCTGCCCTGTTTTCCCTCCGCCTTGTCCTTCCCAGCTCTCCTCTGAGCTGCAACTTAGATAGCAGTAGAGCTCTAGACACCTGTATAATCGCCGTGTCCAGCAGAGACATAAGCTCCGGATCAGACGCTTTGAGCACAGAACAAGCGGCAACTGAAGAGAGAGAGGACACGAGGAGGAGGAGGAGGAGGAGGAGGAGGAGGAGGAGAGGAAGAGTGCGCGTGGGAAACTGGAGGAGGAGGGCGAGCATGGAGTCGCTGTTGACAAGGTTTATGAGTTCGAGTTTGACCGCCAGGACTCACTGACAGCCACAGGACCCAAGAGTACTCCCACCCCCACCCCCCCACCCCCTCTCCACCCCTATTTCTGCTTCCTCTTCATTCCCCACGCGTTGCCCTTAGTCCTCGTCCTCGTCCTCGTCCTCGTCCTCTTTCAGGTAGTCCAGCAGCGCCTTGCATTCCTCTACCAGACCCTTGCTCTCCTCTGACCTTCCCTGGGCGTCCTCAGACCACAAGAAGATCGCGTCCTCCTCGAAGACATCCTCGTCGTAGCAGCACTTGAGGATGGGCATCATCAGCTTGTGCCCCTTCCAGTCGGGTTGAGACACAAAGCTCTCGAGCGCGACCATGGTCTCCTTCTGATCGTTGACGGACCTCGCGAACTTTGACAGCAGCGGCTTCCAAGTCTTGATCAGCTTGACGGCGTTGGCGAAGGCCTCCTTCCTCGATGACGTCACGGTCATGGTGTTGAGGATCGTGACGAAGATGATGCAGCTGCAGTCAGCGAAGGTCTTGTCGTGCGCGAACTTCCTTCCGTTCACCTCCATGGAGATGTTCTCCGGCAACACTCCCTCCTCGACCCCTCGACGAACGATGTCCTCCACCTCTCGCTCGAAGGAGGCAGCAGACTGACAGGCTCCTCCTCCCTCATCCTCAGAGTCACTCTCATCCTCCTCCTCGTCGGAGTTGTCGGAGTCGAACAGCTTCTCCATCACAAGAGGAGCGATCAGCGCTTCCTGCTCGTCCTCTCCTGCTTCCCACTTCCTTCCTCGCCCGTCAGCTCCCACCAGTTCCAAGTCTGTGGTCTTCTTGCTCTCCACCTTGTCCTGCACTGTCTCATCGTCATCACCGAAGTCGTCGTCATCATCGCCAGCATCGCAGGGTCGCTCAGCCACAGTGACGCGGGTCCCTTCGCGCACGGTGACGTTGCTGCTGATCTTGACGTTCCCCCCGAGGATGCAGTTCTTCTCTATCACTGCCTTCTCTCCGACCTCCACGTCATCTGCCAGCAAGCAGTCGCGGAGAATCGCTCCGGCGCCGATCTTGACGTTTGCGAACAGGAAGCAGCCTTCCAGCACCGCCCCGTCTCCGATGACACACGACCGACCGATGACCGACCGGTCGATCTTCGCTCCCTCCCCCACGACAGTCTTTGACCCGATGACTGTGTCCATCCCGATGATGCAGCTTTGAGCGAGCGAGACATTCGCCTCCTTGTACACTCCGGGGTGAAGATACTCGTACGTAGTGTCGCAGAAGAGATTGACGTCCGGCACGAGCGGGTAGCTCCACCGCCGGATCACGTCCATGCTCACCGTCGCGTACTGATGCAAGCTAGTCAACCGCCCGGAGTACCCTTCGGTGACGATGTAGGCAAAGAGCTGGTAGCTCAAGATCTCCGAGTACAAGACGCCGGGGATGTAGTCCGTGTGCAGATCCTAAGAGCGAGCGAGGGAGGTCCAGGGAGACGTAGGGAGGGAGGACGAGAGAGAAAGCATCAGCTCGAGCACGCGCAAGTAAAAACCAGTCAACCTGCCAGTCGAATTCGTCGGTAAAGAGGCAGAGAACTTCAGGCGAGCAGATCGCGGCATGAGCATACTCGAGGTCATAGCGAACCTGCCAAAATCAACTGCTCAGCACCCGACGACCCGGCAAAGTCGTTAAGTTACGCTGACGGTCGGATGGGCTTCGAATCGAGTCGAATCGATTTGAAAACCTTTCTTGGTCTGCCGATGGCGTTAGCTAAAGCACAAGGCGACGCTCTCACGCGCACCATCGGCTGATAGTGAACCAGCTGGTTGGTCTCAGGATTGATTGCAACACAGATGTCGTCCTGCGACGAGGTCAGCGCCTTCAATGCCCGCGGCAAGGAGACAGACCTCCGGGAAAGTAGCCATTCTCTGTTGAGGGAGGGACGTCTTCGAGGAGACTGTGAGACCAGGCAAGAAGGAGGCAGGAACGTATCAGACCTTGAATACGAGGGTCATGATCGCATCCTTGTTCTTTTCTTCTTCCCTCCTCTGACATATCGTGTTCACACAAGTTGTCATCGTCATTATTCCTTTGCACCTTCTTATGCGCTTGTAGCACAGGTTCGAGCTTGATGTTCGACAACGTGTCGCCTGTGCCATGTTAGCGAGTCCACGAACAAGAACGATAGGCCAACCATTGACAAGGATGAAGTCACTGCGGATCTTGCCTCTAGAGTCGACCTGTCATCGATTATTCCATCTCCTTTCCAACGCATGGGCTCACCTCCCGCAGGGCTCCTCCCAGGCTCTTGACGGCAGGAGCTACGATCACCTCCACCTCAAACTGCTTGCATGACTGGTTGAAGCATGAACAAGTCAAGACATTTAGCGCTGCAGATTCAGCAGAAGCCACCTTCGAATTCAACACGTATTCTTGAATCTTCTCTGCATGTGAGCTGCGTGGAGTTGAGCTTGACACCACAAGTAGGAGTAGGACCTGGCAACGATGAATAGCTCCTTGACTCCTGCTTGTACAAGAAGCTCGAGCGTGTATTCGATGATGGGAACTTCAGCATGGTCACAATTGTGGCATGGCATTACGATGAACGTACTGTTCACTAAAGGCAACAAAATCTTCGGGGTGGTGTAGGTGGTGGGAGCCATTCGCTAAGAACTGAATGAGCAAAGTCTTGGCTTGGCTAGTTTTTGCTGTCTCACCTTACGAAAGGAGTCGGCAAGGAGGATCGCCTGATGTAGGCAAATGCATGAAAACCCGGACCTTCAGCTCATTATTAAGGTACCTGAAGCGCTTCATCCCCATCGTCGATGTCTGACTTCTTTGTTCCGGGCTTTTTCTTGTCTTGATGGATAGTCAGTCAGAGGGATTGGATTATCAACGTCGATTCTCATCCCTCAATGCCCTTATTCTTCCTTTCTTTCTGGTCAGTACTCGCTCATTCGCGCCATCGTTCTCCCACGTTCCATTGGGGGGCTTCTCTTTCCCCTCCTCTTCTCTCTCCTCCTCCCTCTCTTCTACTTCTTCTCTCTCCTCTTCTCTCTCTTTCTCTCCTTCTTCTTTTCTCCCCTTCTCCCTTCTCCGCGCCCTGCTCACCTTTTCCGCTCATTGCGCCGCGTCAGCCCCACGTGATGGTTACAACGGTTATGACCGTTGTAAGTTTCCAACCGAAAGGCACTACTCTATTTCAGTCAATCTTGAAAACTGATCAAAACTACTTGAGTAGGCTAGTCATGCCACTGAAGTTCCGTGGACCCGGTGACTCGACCGCCCGCGCGCGGCGGACTGAGTAACGGCAGTCAAGTGACTGGCCGTGACTCTCCTGATTGTCCTCGTCCTGATCTTTAACTTAGCGGCCGTGAACTCGCCGTCCGACAGCGGCTGATCGGACTCCGGACCGGCCACGGGTCCGAGTCAGAACTAAGTTCCGAGTTTGGAAGTCATTCAATCATTCAAACATAAGTCGCCTTAAGCTTAATTAAGCACGTGCGTTGTAACACATCTTGAACGCAACCTCGGGGTAGCGAGTGCCCTGAGCATTCGCAGTGAGTCACTGTGATCATTTCCATGCCATGAGAGTCAGAGGTGATGGGATCACCTTCGCTTCAGAGATTGTGGAGAGCTCCTGGAGATCTTCAGCAGTGAGCACAATGTCGACAGCCTTTGCGTTCTCCTGACATTCGAAGGTCATTCCGAGTCAATCCGAACAGAGGTGTGAAGAGACCTCAAGCCTTTCGGGAGACTTTGTTCCAGGAATAGGAAAAACGTCTGATGATCACAAAGTTGTCAAGCTCAAGGAGGAGCAGATGAACTGCAACCTTTCCCCTGGTGCAAAAGCCAGGCCAGAGCGATCTGAGCAGGAGTACAACCCTTGCGTTCGGCCACGGCCTGCAGACCAATGCGCTAAGGGTGATGGCGATCGAGAGTGAAAGGATCACCTTGATCTTGAGCGTGTTCTGATAGTTGGTGTCGAAATTCTCTATGTGGTGACGTCAGCAACCTCCTTCACTTGATTGCCCTTTCCCGTTCCTCCACATGTCAAGACATTTTTGACCTTCACTAAATCTTGGGTTGAATCGTCTCCAATCATTTTCCTTGATGTCCGAACGAGACTGCAACACCACACTAAGAATGAGCCCGTCTTTCTGCTGATTACAGGCCATCACCTTAAAAGTGTTGGAAAGCAAACCTCTCCCCAAGGGCGAGTATGCCACGATAGCCACTCCGAGCTCGCGGGCTGTTGGCACGATATCTTTTTCGATATCCCGAGTTTGTAAAGACCACTCCATCTGTCTTGCGTTCAGCCTTGTACGTCATAACTTGACATATTCACACCTGGATGGCTGAGATGGGCTGCACCGCATGCGCTGCTCTCAACTCTGCAGCCGTGCACTCCGACAGGCCCACGTACTTGACCTTGCCCTCTGCAATGAGCTTTTTCACCTCGCCCATGGTCTCTTCGATGGGAGTGGTTGGGTCCATGCGATGCTGTCAGCAACAAACATTTAATATGTCAGCTGGCCGCTCAACCACGAGACCTCCATGTCAGTACCATGTAGTACAAGTCGATGTAATCCGTTCCCAGCCGCTTCAAGCTGTCTTCGCAGTGCCGGCGAACTTCACGTCCAAAGTAAGGCGTTTCAAACATCCGAGCAATTCTTATCAAGTCCAATTACCGTGTTCTGGCCTTCCGAGGTGGGGAACTGGTTTTGCATCAGCTGTATACTCAGCTCCGAACTTGGTAGCGATGATGAATTTGTCCCTTCACAAAACCAACAATTTCAGAATCTGACGTCTTGATGCAGATCATGGATACCTTCCATGCTTCTTTATGGCCTTTCCAACAAGCTCTTCATTCTTTCTCCCGGACGCGAGATGCTGATACACCCAGGCAGTGTCCTGTGACGAAATGAACTTCAATTATCTGTGAACATCAAGCTCCCGGAAGTCTAATCGGTTGCAATTCCAGCTCTGACAAGCTACTAGCAAAAGAATGATTCCTTGGCTTCCCCTTCTCTCTTGTTTCAAGCATCAAGCATAGGTTCTAGCGACTTCCTTCTTCCCACATACCCTTCCACACGAAGCAAACCCCTTGCTTACCAGGAAGTTGACTCCAAGCTCCAACGCTCTGTCGAGAGTGCGAAGAGAGATCTCCTCGTGCTCGTCATGGTTGACATCATAGAATGCGGTCATGCCCATGCATCCCAACCCCATAGGAGGAGCCATGAGCCCTTGCGATCCCAGCGGACGAAGCTCCATATTAGCGCCGACTGATGAGACGCTCCTATTACGCATTCAACTTACTGGTACTGATTTTTGGTACTATAAATTATATAAATGAATATATTTATCTATATGGTGCTTGAGATGAACTACAAATTTTACAATCAAAATTTTCATTACAATAATTTGTACGAGAATATTTTGTTTGGCAGTACCAGACCTCGAATGTTCTTTATTATCCAGGTGAATCCTGGGGACATGACCGATGGGAATGAGGGTGATGATGGTTATGAGGGGGATGATGAGGATAACCTGAGTACGAGGGGGATGAGTGCGGGCACAGGCCATGCTGGGCTTGGAGGGCTTCTTCGCGGGCCTGGCGGGCCTGGCGGGTCTTGCTGGACTTGTGCTGGGTAGAGCAGTCGCCTCCATACTGACCTGCCCTCCCTTCATCGCCTGCTGCCCTCCTCGTGAAGGCCTCTCGCTCGATCCTCGCAAGCTTGCTCCATACTGGCCCGAAGCCACTGCTATCGGGCCCAAGGCGTACGAACTAGAAGCTGAGGACATCGAGGTGAAGGTTGGTGGTGAGGGAGGCGAAGGAGGGTGCCTCAGAGGATGGCTGTTTAAGCCGGACAATGCGCCCAAGGCTGTGATCTTGATGGCTCATGGAGCCGGCAGAGATCGTCGCTCGTGGCTTCGAATGATTCCCTTCCTCAAGCAAGCAGGGTATATCTGCATAGCGTTTGACTTCAGGAATCATGGCATCTCGGACCCTCTCGACAAGCCTGGTTGCACCCTTGGTCTGGTTGAGAGCAAAGATTTCGGGTAAGTTAGCGTGATATGGCACTAGTGCTGAAGTTTCAACCTCAGAGCGATGTGCAAGTATGTCAAGGCGCGCTTTGCGGGAATGAGGATAGTGCTGATGGGAACCAGGTATCTCTGGTATTAGCTTGTCTTGATAGTTGAGAGTTTGAAGCACCGGGGCGGTTTCTTGCGTCATCTCCATGGCTACTGACCCTCAAGGTTAGTTATGTCCTGCTACAGTCTGTCCTGATCAGTATGGCTAAAGTTGCGGATATCGCAAGCTGTGCGATTCTAGAGAATCCATTCATGAGTATAGAGGAGCTGAGCAGGGACATGGTGTCGAACCTGATCTTTCAGAAGCTCATCTGTAGAGATTTGTACGTGCCATCAAACTGTCGCTGGAATGACCCTGGTCCTTCTTAGCGTGCTCGCCTACTGGTTTCTCTATCCTTTGATGGTGGTGGTGCGATTCTTCACGGTCTTTCAAGTGAGAGAAGGAGGAAGAGCGATCGATGGATTGAATCTGACTGCCTGGCGAGCAGGTGAAGAGCAGTCTGCGACCGTACGGCCTAGCAGAAATTCCTTCATGTGTCGATGCGATCAAGCTGGTTGCTGCAGCTCATTCCCCGCGCCACCCTGACACTCAACCTCTGCAGGTGAAGAAGGTGCCTTTGATGCTCATGCATGGCGAGGAGGACCGCATCGTTCCTCTCCGGCATGGAGTGGAAGTTGCGAGGGTAAGCAGGAGGGGGCTGGGGTGGAGGAGGCCTGACAGTGGTGCAGGTTGGAAGACTGCAAGACGTGTGGTTCTGTGCTCGATCGGATCACTGCCAGGTCATCACACTACACGTCAGTGGGAGCTGACGAGGGTGACAGCTGTGGGACACGGACGCGAAAGAATATGAGACAAGAGTTTTGACCTTCATTGCGAAACATATCAGATGAACCTCTTCGAACTATCCCGGCGAAGCTTGTATCTTTCTCGGTCACAAGGAAAGGCTTTTACCACTTTCGTGCCTCCTGGGCTTCACTTGGGCAGGTCAAGTCCCAGCCCCTAGAAACAAAATCAGTATGTCACAATCAAAAAGTGAGAACAGAAACACAACGTACACAACAGCAAGACAGTCATGCTCTGCTTTCACCTTGCAGATCTCTGCGAGAGGTTCGAGCTCCTTTCGTTCGACCAATGAAAACTCCAGCACGAAGTACATGAAGTGCTTGAAGCAGGTGTTGAGGTGAGGCTCAGCGCCTAGAGCTATGATCTTCTCGATGTGCGAGTGGTACATATGGGCATAGACCCGAAAGAGCCTCTTGAAGATGTTCTTCACTTTGCCCTCAAACTCCTTGGGGAAAGGTCGACCTGCATCGGGTCAGGAGTCAAGGACAAGGGAGCAAAAGGTTCTTCACCGATATCGGAGGGGAAGATATCCTGGTCATCCAGTTGCTGCTGCACCCATGTCATCAGGTAGTCGACGTACTCGGGAGCAGAGCACTGGATGGGCTTCTTGATGTTCACCCCATCCGCCCAGTGATACTCGTACTGCGGGCCTGCCGACATGCACGGGCAGGAGTCGCGCGTGCAGAATTCTGTGATGCTGCCGTAGAGCAAGTTGATCTGGTTGAAGAAGTCGACTGTGTTGACAGCCAGCCACTCGTTCCTGTCCTCCCCTTCCGGCAGCACAACTGCCTCATGCAGGTTTCCTGTTCCCAGCGTTGCCTTGATCGTCGCTTTTGCATACTTGTGGAGTTGGTAAAGCTTGGTGCCCTTTTGGAAGTTCTTCTTGGGACGGAAAGTCTTGTTCTTGTTCCCGAAGACTGCTTTCAACATGTCGATTTGCCGATGAGACTTCGAGGGTCACTAAATATTCTACGCGTGCGCAAAGTACTTGTGAATGTTCTACGCGAGCGGAAAGTTCACCTGAGCTTGATCGAACACTGCGTCGTTGAGAGTGATCAACCAAGGGTTCTCATAGCGCCAATGCGCTTGACAGGTCGAGCAGCGGAAGTTGTAGAGCCTTTGTGACAATCATTAGAAAGGCAAGGAACACACAGTTGGCCCGTATGGAATGAGTTGCACTGAATCCTGCTGGTCTAAATATTCTCAAGTCGCATGTAGCTGTTCCTGCTCTCTTTTCTTCTTCTCATATCTTAAATCTCCAACACTGATCATAGCACACGTCTAGGACTGTCTTGTTGTGATAGATTCTCCTACATTCCCTTGCACCCTAACTGCCTCCCACAACTTTCTATTCATCGACTACTACTCAGTAAACTTATACCGATACTTCTTGTCCTGGTTCCTCTCCGTCTGACTTGCTCGCGATCATCATTAACACACCACACCTCCTTCCAGCTCAGCTTCTTCTGTTAAACTGACTTGTCCATCACGACATCGTGCTTGGCCAATCTGCCGACATTAGCAGCAGCGTTACATTCCTCGATTTGTTTCTACTGCACTTCCTCCTCCTCCTGTTCCCGCAGCAGCTCAAGTTTTGGAGCAGCTTGGGCACTACTCTTCCATCCTTCCTCCCCTTCCCCTCCTCATACTGCTCTTGCAGCTCTGCCCTCACTGTTTCCTCAGACAAGTATTCCCTCGCTCTCACCCCACCTGACCCTCCTCCTCCTCCTCCTCCTCTCTGGTCATGCCCTTCCTCCTCCACCTCCACCTCCTCCTGCTCTTCCTCCTCCTCCTCCTCCTCCTCCTCCTCCTCCTGCTCTTCCTGCTGCTCCTGCTGCTGCACCTGCACCTGCTCCTGCTCCTTCTCCTGCTCCAGGAACCAAAGGCATGATACACAAGCGAGGTGGCCAGAGGGTAGCAGGTGGGGTAGTCAAACGAAATTCTGACTATCGAAAGGTGGGGTGGTTGGTCAAGTCTTTCTGTTTCATAACCGGGTACTTTCTCTGTAAGACCCCGGAGGTTGTGGGGAAACAGGGGTGGGTTATAGTTTTCCAGGTATAGAGGGGGGTGGGTAATGGCTGAAGTGACTGATACGACGACCGAGAGGGGAGGAGGAGGTGGAGGAGGAGGAGGAGGAGGAGGAGGAGGAGGAGGGGAGGAGGAGGAGGGGAGGAGGAGGAGGAGCAGAAGATGTAGAAGAGAAGAAACAAAATGGAACGATGGCAACGATGATGGAAGAATATTGCCGGAGGGGAGACATGGCAAAGGGAGGGCTGATTCATGAGGGGCAGTTGCAGAAAAGTAAAATTTCAAGAAGTGGGAAGGAGAAGGAGCAAGTGTATAGTTGAGACTAGTTCTTGAGAGGAGAGGAATGCTGAGGAGAGGTTCTAGGGGGAGAGGTTCTAGGGCTAAGGACAAGAGAGGTGGATTGATATACGTCTGCCAGTCAAGGGAGGGAGGAAGAGATTGCGCTGGGAGAGGTGGGCGAGGAACAGAGGAAGGTGGGAGGTATCCGTCACTCGATATCCGCGTGGTCATGCTGTAGCCGAATTACTCCATAGGTCACCTTCGACTGTGAGGCTAGGCGGGAAAAGATGGGTGGGAGGGAGCAGGGAAGCGAGAAGGTTGAGGAAATGTTGTCGATCCACTCATGCGCTCCCTCCATCTACATGGTCCACCTTCAACTTCCAATGTTCCCTATCATAGCGCGAGGGTCATCTCATCTCACTTGCTTCGCTCCTGCCCTTCTGCTCAGCGTCTCACGTTGTTCCAGCAGTGGGACGCGCATCGAGGAGGGGGTCATTCATTGAGAGCGAGACCCTGAGCAGCACGGGCAAGTACGGGCAAGCATGTCCTCCTGCAGCTCGAGATGGATGCTTGTCCTCTTCTTCGTCCTCCATGCAGCTGTCAACCACGCGCTCCTTGTCTTGGGCGTGTCGCCGGTCCGACTGATGGCCAGCAGATCGCCCTTGACGTTTGTAAGGAGGAGACTTTCCATGTGCGAAACAGGAGGAGGCGAGGCAGACGCAGACGGTCGAGTTGGGCTCAGCCTGGAGCAGCGAAAGGTGAAGGCGGTGGAGCTGCGCAACCAGGCGGTGGAGCTCGAGTCGTCAGCGGCGACGCTACGGAAGGATGCGGTAGCGAAGGAGCAGCAGGCAGCGAAGCTGCGGATCGAAGCATGGCAGCTGGAGGGGACGGTGTCAGCGGTGACCAAAGAAGTGACGCTGACGGACAAGTACGAGAAGCAGCTCGCAGAGCTGGACCTCATGGCGGAAGACTGGATCGACACGGACGAGGCGAGTGGAGGGAGGAGGGAGGGAGAGGACGAGGCTGAGACACGGCGCAGGAGAAGTGGGAGTGGTACCAGAAGCAGCGGCAGATGATCAAAGACATGATCGATGCCCAGAAGGAGTACGACCAGCGAGCCAACGAGCAGCTCCAAGACCTCAAGGAGATCCTCCTCGACCTTCAGGTCTCCTCAGCACGATCGTCCTCCTCCTCAGCCTCCGCCTCACCCGCCCCTGCAGGACATGTTCAACATCGTGACCGTACAGGAGGACGGGAACATAACAGCTGCAGGTGTTTTATTCCTCCTCCCCCTCCTCCCTGTCCTTCTCTCTTACCTCAAACCCAGGCTGGACTTTCGTCATCTTGTCTGTTCTGATCCCAGTGTGGATTGGCTACGAGCTCTTCCTGCTGCTGTCTTCCTCCTCCAGCGCCTTCTTCGAACTCCTCGGTCAGGGCACCAGCAAGGATCCTTTCGACGGCGTGCAGTGATCTAGCCCAGCTCAAAGTCAAAGACGATCGTAAAGCATGACGAGCAAGCTGACCTCACGGTTGGAGGCTCTCACGACCTTTCATGGCAAGTCTCTTGTCCTCCTCCTCCATCATCTTCTCGCAAACATCTCCTCCCCCAGCCTCGGCATGTTCTTCTTCTGCTCGCTCATCCACGTGCTCTGCATTTTTCTGCTTTCTCGTCACTTCCCTTCCATCTCCCGCCCCTTCCTTACCTCCCCCCCCTTCCCTCATCCCACTCATCCCCCCCCCCCAACCTCCTCCCCGCTCTTCCTTCTCTTCCCCCGCCTCCTCCTCTCCTCTTCCTCCTCCTTACCTCAGCTCTCTCTCTACCAACTTGTTCCCTGGCGACTTGGCGAGCGCTGCCCGAAGGTCTGCTTCTGCCGCCTACTGTCCCTCAGCGAGCTCAATCTTATCGCAACCCCTCTCCTCTTCCTCCTCCTCCTCCTCCTCTTCCTCTTCCTCTCCTCTTCCTCTTCCTCCTCCTCTTCCTCTTCCTCCTCCTCTTCCTCCTCCATACCGAATAATCCTTCAGCATTTGATGCGCTCTTGCACGGCGGAAGAAAAGCTTCACGCTCTTCTGGATGACTTCTGCGCGATCGCACAGCGCGATGACCTGACAGGGACGGCAGGGTGAGGAAGAAGCGGAGGGTGCGGGGCAGCAGCGAGCAAGACCTGTTGCCACTGCTGCTCCTTGAGCATGCACTGAGCTGCGTTCAGCAGGAGGTCGAAGTGAAACTTCTTGACTTCCCGCTTCAGCTCGTCGCTCAGTCGATTCTCTTCGACCGCATCCTCCTCCTCTGCCGGCCTGCACTCGGGGCGTCCCAGGTTGAAGATGCTCGGGCAGTCTTCCTCTAGGCGCTCCATCACGCTCGTCATGTCCACCCTGTTCCTCTCCTCCATATTGTGGTGCAGCATGTACTGCGTCAGCTTCAGTGCCGACGAGAACTTGACAAGTGCTGCCGCCGTCAGGTTGTGCAAGTAGAGCTGGACCCCCTGCTGGTGCCTGCGACGAGCATGCTCCAGCACGCCTTCCAGCTCGTCGGTCCACTCCCTTGGGGAGACGTGGAGTACTCGAGCTTCGAGAAGGAGCGCTTGTCCGCTGCTCGCCTGCTCCTGGAAGTTGCCTCCCTCCCCTGCCCCGACGCTGTCGAGCCCCAGGCCCCCGGGAACGAGCAGCTGGAGGTGCCTGATGCCCTGCAGCTCCAGCAAAGCAGCTTCCAGCGCCAGCGGCAGCTCGCCGTCACCTACGCGCGTTTGATACTCGCGGAAGGTCAGGGGCGAGAGGTCAAGCGAGCTGAGCTGAGCTGGGGGAGAGAGGAGGTGCGAAGAGACGAGAGTCTGCTGGAGGAGGAGGTGGACTTGGTCAGTCTCGAGCATGTAGTGCTTCGTGATGTCCGACTGGTTGAAGACTCGCATGAGTGCTTGACCTGCGCTCACTCAGCAGGTCAAACTCATTCAACAGCTCATCACCAGCTGGAAGCGAGCTGATGAGTCGCGGGACTCGGAGGACCCTGTTCCAGCAGTGCAGGGTGATGTCGAGAGTGCAGACCTGAGCTGCAGCCAAGTGCGGGGGGAGCAGCAGGTACTTGACGTCTCCTGCTGGCCAACCATCCAACGGCACTGGAGGCATCGGGAAGACGAGCGGAGAGCAGGCCTGCTTGTTCCTCAGACTCTCTCCCTCCCAAGAAGCAGCGTCAGCGTCAAGGTGACAGACATGGACGAGGCCGCGAGTGCCGCGGTGGAAGCGAGAGGTGATGACGTCCTCAACCCCTTGAGGCCACTTACCGGAGCCCAGCCTGACCCAACCTCTCTTACTCTCTCCTCCTTGCTCGCCATCGCTCAGGGGCCTTGTGAGCCTGTCCATGCTCGTCACACCCCCTGGGCTGGACCAGGACAGCGTCAGGTAGACTTCGTCATTGACCTCTGGGGGTTCATCCCCTCCCCCCCAATGCAGACACTCAAACAAGATCCTGCCATCACCAAACATGTCGTTGCGTCCAAACTCAAAGAGATGGATGGTGATCCTAGAATTCACATCAACATCAGACAAGCGCACGACGCAACGAGGACGACCTGAGCTCCAAATCGCTTCCTGCTTGTTCTCCCAGGAACGACGTGTTGACAAACAGGTCTTCAAGGTTATAACCATGCAGTGCGAAGAGGCTTTTCTCTCCTCGTCTCATACTTGAAAGAGCTGAGTGCCAGAACTTCACTGGGTTCAGCGCCAGCGAGAGCCTGCAGGTCGGATCTGTCACTGGGGAGAGGCTCACTGGGGTGACGTCTATTGGGACTGAAAGCCTTTCTTCTTCCATGTGCATGCGGATAGCTGTCATGGGTGTGTAGTTTTGACGAGCCGAATCAAAAGTGACAGAGTTATTGAACAAGACCTGGAAATGAAAGAAGACATCGTCGCCCTCCTTGGGCAAGCCGGGGTATTCCTTGTCTTCAAGAAGCATATGCTTCTCAAAGCCTGGCCCCGGGTGCTCGTCTAATGCTTGTTGAAATTCAGCGCTTGAGTTTGACTTCAAGACCTGTTGCAGCATCCGTTGCAGGTGATCTACTTCGGAGGCCTCGTCACCGTCCCTCGCATCGTCCGAGCCATCGACCTCTCCCTCATCGCCTTCATCGTACGAGTCCGGAAGCGCGTCGACGTCTTCTACTCCTTCCTCGCTTCCATCTCCCGAAGATGCTTTAGGATATTCAGGGCAGCACTCAAGGAGGCCTCCCCTCAAACCGAGAGTTCTTGGATGAATCGGAGGAGCCCACAGGGTGTGTAGCTGGAGCGAACAAGGTCTCTGTCTTGCATGACTGCCGGCGATGTTGTCACTCGGCAGTAAAGACAGAACGATCAGCAACACTGCAGTGATCATGTATCGCATAGATCTGGCGACAGGATTATGAGGATCCGTGAATCAGGGTAAGAGAGGCGAAATTGATGATGAAGATTCAGCTGCTGTGAAAATAACTAGGATGAAACAAGGATGTGGACGAGGACGAGAACAACAGACAGAAGACAGAGAAAGAGAGGAAGAGAGGAAGAGAGGAAGAGAGGAAGAGAGAGGGAGAGGAAGAGAGAAAGAGAGAGGGAGAGAGGAAGAGAGGGAGAGAGGGAGAGAGGGAGAGAGGGAGAGAGAAAGAGTGGGGGGGGAGGGAGAGAGATGAGGGCGAGGAGGAGGACAAGGAGGAGGAGGACGAGGATCGTAGTGTAGGGGAGTCGTCGGGAGACTCAACGTGATAACGTTCACATAACGGAAATTTCGTTGCGGGGATGTGGGTACATACAACCCCTACCCCCTGCTTTACCCAAAATCACTATGAAAGACCCCTGACACTAGTCGTATACCACTACCCCCCATTTCCTGGTGAATGAGATTGATTTTAATGGGGTCCTTTAGCCCCATTGATCACCTACCCTCGATTCATCATGGATTCAGGGGTGGGGGTAGTAAACGAGGAGCGCAGAGAGGCATGGCGATCATAATCACGCCGCCACCTTACCCGGTGAGATGACCTGAGGCATGGGAGGGAGCAGCAGGAGCAGCAGAGGCTATGACAACAAGGAGCATATGATAGATGAGGAGGAGGAAAGAGAAGAACTCGGGGGTTGATATTGAAGGACCTTCAGATACACAAAAAGTTGGCCACATGCGCCTGTTTTGAGTCTATATCATGCACATGCCTTCAATTCTTCCTTTTTGCCAAGAATTTGGATTGTCTGACCATGCGTCTGTCTGGTAGGTCATCAATTCGAACCCAGACTTCAAGGCAGTTGTTAGGAACTTTAAGCGCAATGAGTATGAGAGAATGGGATTTTTTACGTTGATTTCTATCCCCCTCGGATATTTTGCAGGTGAAAAGCTTTGAATCTCTAGCTTGCATGGTTATTTCTTACAATTGCAACAGGCACTTCCAACCTTCCTCAAATGAGGGTTCCATCGGCAGTTTTGGCTACTGTCATTGGAGCTACGGGAAGCTTCTGCTTGGCGTATCAGGCGTCAACCCTTAGGCTGATTGGTCTTAGGCCAAATGACGAAGATGTTAATGCGGCCAAGAGGTCCTAATTGCAAGTTTTAAACTTCGTATTCGAACGAATCGGCGCTTTAACAAGTGTTGATCACTTTTGTCTTGTCTCGTTTGTTTTGCAAGCCAGGCATGACTACTGTGCCGCACATGTACTTTCAGTACCACTCATTGTGCTTGTTGATTGCAATGCAGCGTACTAGCGTGCCCGCGAATATAAACAGGAGAAACTGGCTGTATGCAAACTAGAAAACACGCTAATCGAACATTTATTTCACTTTTTGGGGTCATTGTGAAAAATGGGTCCAGTACAGCTCCATAGATGCTTTCCACCGCCTTTTTCTACCTTAGGTGCAGATCCCAAATATCCCACATTAACGTCGAGATTGATATCAGAACTGCTGAGCAAATTCCTTGATTGAGGAGATTCCACAGAATTCTCCTCGATTTCCTTGGTTTCAGTGAGGGACGCGTAATGATTCAGATGAGATTTTGACGCAAACTCAAGATCATAGTACCCACGGAACCCCACGCAATATCCACGAAAAGCCTTTCCAGACTCCCAAATCACATTTGCAGTACAACCTGACATGCGGGTCAATCCAAAAGAAATTTACAGAAGCCAACTACCTTCTGGTGTGTTGTTTACTCCTGTGATAATTCCTACACGTCCCTGTGATGAATCATATTTGTTGTCTCCAAGCCTTTTCAGATACAACTTGGTGGTTTGAACACGTAACTTCGACTTCATTGCCACAGCTACGACGTCTTCTGTGACCAGCAATCCAGGACATACGGAAATATCCAATTTCTTGTTAGTTGGTGAAGGTTCCAATATCTGTGCATACAAAAGTGATTGGTCCGAATACGACGAGAAATCTTTAGAGTCAGTGGAATCATTGTTCTCATCGCTGTCTGTTGGTGGCTGCCATTGGGCTACGGAAGAAATGCTAGCTGCTTGCTGCACGCATCCATCGCCACCGGAACCCATAGCTCCGATAAGGATTGGCGTTGCTGATACTTGCAAGTAAAACGAGTGCAATTTTAGATAGGAAAAGAAGGTCTGGTGTTGCCTTTGAGGAGCCAAGAATAAGAGGAGTGTGAACTTGAAACAATATAGCGTGGGACTTCACCCAGGTAAAATGAGGCTTGGAATGTGTGGTTAGTTGGCAATAAAAATAGAGCAAGTTAGGTCGAGGCCGAAGCTGTGTAACAGCCTAACAAAAAAATTTGGTCAGTCGAAATCAAAACATGCCATGCCTTGAATGTCAGAAAGCTCCCATATGAGAACAAGTGTTTGTGGAAAGCAGCAGAAAACAGCAGGGGGATAAGAGCATTTAGGACAAAGCAAGGTTTAGACAGAATTTAGAAGTAGACGCGTGACACTGAAGATGAGGATCATGTGGCGACATCAGATACTAGAAATGAGGATTCACAGGGAGTGAAGGTGTCAGGCGAAGCGATGAAAGTGAATGTAGCGCATGTATCATGACTCACATAGATGACAAACTTGAGGGAAAGCTGAATGCAGTTCAAAATGATAGGGAAAAGGAAATGCACAGGAACAAGAATAGTTGCAGACTGGCATTGTTGAGGTTGTAGACGTGTAAGGTTGATATGGGACAAGAAGGACGTCACAAGAGTTGAGATCATGGAACATCGAGCCTCGTGCGCTTTCCAAGACCAGAAGTTGCAAGAGGAGAGGAGTAAGACTCAAGCAAGCAGGGCAAGAGAAAAGTTGCAGCATGGAGTTGCATGCGAGTGCACGTGAGGAAGGAGGCGAGCCAACCAGCCGCCATGAGGAGTAGGGACATGGCGCAGTAGAAACAAGATGTGGCCTACGAGGGGTGGGGTGGGGTTCAACAAGCGCTAGTGCCTGTGGGTACTAGGAAAGGTCAGGCACTTGCGACTGGTGGGTCCAATGCTACTGTCTAGATTCCTCCACAGGTGGGGTAGGGTCATCTGAGAGTCCGAGGTTGGGTGACCGCCATGTAGGGGTGGGGGTAGTCGGCGTGTGGCAGTGACTCACGAGGTAGTCCGTAGCGATGGGGTGAGTCTGAGCATCAGGGGTCAGGGTGGCTGGTAGGGCAGGGGTCAGGAGCAAATCTAGATGGCCCGTCACTAGGCTATGAGACTGTGCCTGCCGGGGAGGGTTAAAGATAGCACGGGTGGTGGGTTGGCCGGGAGAGGGGCAGGGGTAGCGAGGGGGTAGCCTTGTTGGATAGGGGAATGAAGGACGATGCTGGTAGTCACGAGCCACAGGAACTGAAGGTGGGGGGTAGTGACCGGTCATGAATGTTCTTTGATGGGGGTGGTTTGTCTCGGAGGGCCGGGGTGGGGGGAACTTTGGATAATAAGCTTCATTTTAGTAGCCGTTACAATAATAGAAGCCTGAGAACTACGACATGGCGGAGCCTGTGAGAAGGGGTAGGGGTCCAACAGATACCCACACTGAACCGGGGCTGAGAGTAAACAAAACATTGAGAGTCTGGGGTCACCGGTGGTAGTACCCGATGGGGTCAGTGGGGTAGCCTAGACTCTTTGATTTTATCCTACCGGGTCATGACTCAGTGATAAGTGTGTAGTACCCTACCCCTAGCTCACGCCGTACCTTCTTCGTACTTTCGCCCCTATTGACAGTGCGCTGACTTGAATTTTGTTGGATCACCCCACCACATCTCAATAGGGGCATCTGCAGTCAGGTACCCCGGGTGATTGACCAGCCCGCACTTATCAATCGTAAAATGATTTCCGCCTTGCTACAGGATAAACTTAAAATTGGGGAGATCCTCGCTAACCGACTACCCCACCCACCCCAACCGCACCAGAACGAGTAGCGCCTCGTGAATGACCTACTGGTACCACCCCTGGATATTGTTTCCGAGCATGGACTTGACAGCTGGTCCAGGCCTCACTACCCTACCCTACCTTGACTACCCCTGTTCCGATCCTCACCTATTAACACACCGGGCTGCCGGTCCGCCCGGCATGGACCCCACCCCCCCCCCCTCCGAGGCTCACCACCGTCTGCCACGGTTAATTTCATCAGGCCTCGGAGGCTTTCGCTCGGAAGGCCGTTCGAGTACCCCTTTCTTCCAGCTACTGTTGGTACGGTAGCCCCCCAGGCTCCATCAGCCGCTGAGGTACGTGGCCGGACTTGCCAGGGGTGGGGTAGGGTGGTGCAGTTGCTTTCATTTGACATTTCTAGCAGCCGGATACTCTATTATTGGTACAATAAGATTGACTTACATTATTGACTGAAGTTTGAAGCCAAAAACTCGACCAGGTGAATCTTTGAGTAATAGAAATAGTCAACCAGACACAGTTTTGTAGCCCCCGGCGCCAGGCCGCGGGCCCGACTGGCCGGGCCGGCGGGCCGGTCACCACTGGTAACCCGGTGTGGTTGAGAGGAGTGGTAACCTTGGCGGCAAGTCGGTTGTTGTTTCCAGTAGCAACAGATGGAGCGGGGGAGCCAAGAGAGCTGGGGAGAGAAGAGAAAGAAGCGAGCAGTTCCGTCAGATTATCCTACGATAGTCAGAACGAGAACCTGTTGTGTTGTGTGCCCTCAAGGTGTTTTGAGCATGATAGAGCAGAGTAATCATGTGTAAGAGTCATGAAAAACAGTGTAGAATGGCCGAAGCCATGAATCGTTCGAGTTGAACATGAAAAAGAAGATGGAAAGACTGGAAGAAGAAGAATATCAGTGGCTTGATTAGCTCACGGTCTTGTGCTTGTATATGCCTAAAACAGAGAACAAAACCTCGTGATACCCTGTTCAGCACTAATCACCTTGCAGATCTCATCGATACAGCCTTTGATCCAAGAGCAGTGATGTGATGCAAGTTACAATGTGCGTTGGATGCAGATCGAACCATGATCTAAGATAGATCTTAAACTCAAGCAGCTCAAGACCATGGAATCAAGTATTTCCTTGGAGGAATCAAATCATCCATTGCGAGGCGAGTTAAAATCTACTATCACACCATGGCGAAACGCAAACAGAAGGGTTTCTGGTTTTGGCAGAAAACTTTCAAGCGCATCATTGAAGGTATTGCTTATCAACATGTCCAGGAAGAACTGAAATCGTGTTTTAGGCTCAGGGAGCAAATTCGGTCTGGTGGTCCCTCGATGGACTAGAAAACGATGACACTGAAAATCTGCAATTCGAGGAAGTCAAGCAAGAGCACGTTCCTCCTCTGATTCTTCATCCATCTGGGTCATTTCGTGCTGTTTGGGACTTGCTTGTCTTGATTCTTTTGTTCTACTTCCTCTTCTCCATCCCCTTCCTTATGTCGTTTGTTGACACCCAGACGAAAACTCAGAGCGAATGTACGAGCAAAGACCTCAACTTGACAAACACAAGCACGGAGTACTGTGAGGTTGTGGTTGGATGCTCTTTCGTCCTCGAGAATTCGACGTGTGTGTACTATGCTGATGCTCAGAACGCTCCCTTCTTCATCTGGACTACAGCTGTGGACTTCTTCTTCTTCACAGATTTACTCTTGAACTTCCGCACTGCCTACTATGAAAAGGACGGAAGCATGTCAAATCAAAAACTGGTTGTGAATGGTAACAAGATTGCAAAGCACTACTTGCAAACGTGGTTTTGGGTAGACTTTGGTGGATCTTTGCCCATCGACTTCATCATGAGGTACGCGCAGCAGGCTTCCAAGAACAGCCAGTACGTTTTCTTGCCGAAACTATTCCGTTTTCTCAAGATAGTGAGACTGTTGAAGCTGCTACGAGCAGCGCGCATCGGGAAGATCATCAAGAATCTGCAGGAAAGGGCTCACATCAAGCCGAGTGCGATTCAGATCCTTCAGCTCGCGTTCATCTTCTTGATGGTGGCTCACGTTATGGCGTGTACGCTCTTTGCTCTTGGGACACAGTACAGTGACTTCACCTGTAAGGGACAAGCCGGATCGATCTGCTCAGCAAGTGATGTGAAGAACAATGTGGGCAAATCATGGACCACAACTACATCCATCATCTCAAAGTCCAACGGTGAAACCACCGTGGCCTTAGCTCCTTTGAGCACACAGTACATGATGTCAATCTACTGGGCCATCACCACTATGACGACTGTCGGGTACGGAGACATCAAACCGATCACTGAGGTTGAGGTCCTCGCAGTGCTGTTCTCTATGCTCATTGGGGCGACAACATTCTCTTACGTCGTTGGTAACATGGCAACCTTACTCGTCAAGCTCGATACTCGCGCTGGAGCGTTCAAAGAGAAAATTGAAAAGACGACAAAGTTCATGTATGAAAATCAAGTTCCCAAGTATATCATGCATAAGATTGAGAAGTACTTCGATTATGCGTTCAACAATCCGATCTTGAACTTTGACTTTCCTGGACTGGAAGATTTGTCTCCTTCTTTGCAGAATGAACTCGTTATGTATCTGAGAAAAGACATTCTGAGCTCAGTCCCGATATTCGATTGTTTACAAGGCAAGCAGCAGCTACTGGCCAGTATTCTCCAGCGACTGATTCCCTTTCAGTACGGCCCCGGAGACTTTCTGTTCCACGTCGAAGACTTCAGCAATGAAATCTTCTTCATCGTCGATGGCGAAATTGACATCATTGAGTCTGAGACGAGGGAGATTGCTTCGACCTTCCGGCGAGGAAACTACCTTGGAGAGAACTGTTTGCTGCCAGGTCAAGAAAGGTTTCCTTTCTCAGCTCGTGCGCGCCGTTGGTCGGACATCTTGAAAGTCTCTCACGAGGACTTGAAAACAGTCTTGTTTCACTTCCCGAACATCCTTTCCGAAATGCAGATGGTGGCGCAGACAAGGTGGTCCAGGATGATTTGTGCTCTAGAGTTTCACAAGGTGATCACTGCTTGTGGACCTCGAGCGACCTGATGAGGTTGCAGACGTTGAGCAAAGCGAGATCGAGAGGAGCGGTGACGGGAGAGCAACTTCTTGACATCTTCGCTCACTCAGACACTTTCACCGCTGAGGTAATCTGCTCTTGAAACAACCTGTCCAGAGCTTCACTGACAAACCTCCTCAGGAGCACTCTGATTCCAGCTCAGCAGAAGGCGACGAGGAGGAGGAGGAGGACGAGGATGACGAGGAAAATCTCGAAGGGAAGAAACGTTCTGGAAAGCACTTCACCAAGCAAGACGTCGAGTTGCTGGGAGATCTCCGTTCAGGCGTGTTGAAGCTCGAGGTTGTTTCATGAGAGGAGTATGTCTGTGTTGACATACAAGCAGATGGGGAACGTGCTAAAGGAGAAGGTGTCACGGAAACAAGGCGCTCCATGGAACTGGTCAACCGACTGGATCGACGAGATAGACATGAAGAAAGAGGCAACCTTGAAGAGATCACAGCACAACAGGAGGGAGCCACAGGCGCAACCCGTCAACATTTCCAACGGCGATTGCAAGGTGAGGAGGCAGTGAAGAGGCGAAGTTGAACTGAGCGTTGGACGCAGGATCCTGACAAGATCGAAGAAGTGTTTGGTGCGATGATTCAAAAGCTGGACGAGATCAAGCTGACCATGGATCTCGAAGAAACGATCCAAGACATCCGGAGCATTCGCAAGGCACTGGAAGCAAGCGAGGAGCAGGCTGCAAAAAGCAGGAAGCGATACGCGAAGAGTGAGGCCGATCTCGCACTATTCAAGGCGGCGGAGGACAGGTCAGATGCGTGACTGGCGGTACGAGGAAGCTGCAAGGAGCTCAGGCGACACCTCAGGAGCAGGGGAGGAGCACCTTGCTGCATCAGTTGGCTGAGATCCTCCTGCATGGACAAAAGGTCGAAAGTGAAATCGCCTCATTTCAGCGTTACGACATACCTTGAGCTGCAGCTGAGAGAATTGCGAGAGAACGTGGGAGATAGCGTTGGAGGAGACCTGGGAAGCGAAGGCATCACGAGCCTACTGGGACCTGATGCTGCAACCTGACGCCAGAGAGAAGCGTTGGTCATGAGCGTCACGACATGCCGAGCAAACTCCGCGTGCTCTGTGGCTGAGGCAAGCAGCATCCCCTTCCCTGCAGCGTCAGTCTCCTCCTCGTGCGCGAGGAAGCCACCTGTGCTCCACCCTGCTGCGTGACGTTGTACCCTGTCGCTCCGTGGGGTGTGGTGACGATGGGCAGCCCCCGCTCCAACCCGAGCATCACCTTGGTGGAGAGACCCAGCCCGGCGAGCCGCGGAGAGAGGAGCGCGACACTGAAGAGACGATCACTCGAGCTGGAGGATACGCGAGCCACCTCGAGTCGATGTCCTCCTCCACGTGCTCCACGTACCCCGCAAACTGGATCTGCATGCAGATGAGCAGCAGCGGCATCGGCAGCGGCTCACGCACTTTCAACCCCGTCTCGGAAATTTTGCAGAAATTGCCTGCGCACAGGTCTGGGGAGCAGGTCTGCGGGGAGAGGTTTCCTTGAAGGAAGAGTCAAGTCAAGGCTTCTTCTTCGCTCCTCCTCCTCACCGACAATCTTGAGGGTCCAGAGAGTCGGGTCGACGCCACGCGACAGAAGCTCCTTCCTGAACAACAGCCTTCAGCCGATCTCCTTCCTCTAACCCCCTGTGCCCTCTGTCCTCGTTCCTTCTCTCTTTCTACCCCTTTCCCCTTCCTCGTTGATCATCACTTGATGAAGGGCATCTCTTGATGCAGCAGCCATTTGAGTGCCGCCTGGCGTAAAGCTGGTCACTTCCTCCCCCTCGATGAAGTAATCGTTTCACCTCGTTTGCGGCATGGCAACTTCCAATATAGAGCAGCTGGACAGCAGCTCAGCCCTAAGAAAAAGAGAGGACGAGAGAGACTGAGTGAGACCTGGCGCATCGCCATCCTCTCCTCGTGGCTTGGCGTTGAGATGCTGATGGGGTCCTGTTGGACCTCAGAGGAGGCGAGCAAGAGACTTTGAGGGACCGATGAAGTTGTGTAGCGGACCCTTCGGATAGGCAGCTCAGGATGAGGGAGAAATTGTCTGATGCTTTGAGCTACAAGGCATCAGACGACACAGCGAGGAGGGCAGGGCAGAGAGCAGCACGAGGAGAGAAAGCGAGCCTCACAGTCCTCGTACGTCAAGGTTCCGATGCCATCGCAAGCACTGAAGACGATCGTCTGCCAGCACGACTTTGCTCAATGCTCTGTCCTCCCCTCCCCTCTTCCATCTCCAATTCAGCTTTCCTTCTTCTCCGAGACTCCTTTCTCTGCCCCCATTCGATCTGCGCTACCTTTCCCTTGCACCTCTTCTCTTCACTTCCTACCTGAGCTCCACAGATCCCCACGAGAGCGGTTTCAGCCTGTTCTCCATCAGCTCCCTCGACGTCTGAGCCTCGCTCCTTACCGCTGAGACCGTCGAGTTGTAGTGGTAGGGGAAGGGCAGGAACAGATCGTCCACCAGCATGACAAGCGCCGCCTGCTCCAAGGGCAGAGGAGGAAACAACGAGGAAGGGGCAAGGGGAGGCAGGTGGAGGAAGAGGCAGAGGGCTCTTAGAGCACGATCATCAGGTGGATTTCTCGCACCTTAGGAGCGAAGTCACGGACGAGCGGATACCAGACTGCATGTGGATGAGGAGGGGGGGAGCGACGGCTGTAGCACTTCACCTTCCGGCAAGCTGCGGTGATGAGGATGTCCGAACCACCAAGAAGCGACTAAGACAAACCTGCTGGGGTTTGAATCCTTTGCCTCCTCCATCGTCGCTCACCTCGGATTCACTTCCATGAGCACGCGAGTGGCGACCGACGGATTGAGAGCCTGCAGGCAAGTCGGCGAGTCCCCTTGACCTCTCTGCCTCCCACCGCTCCGCAGGCACGAAAGTCGACGAAGGAGCTCAGACCATGGGACAGCTCTTCACCAGAGAAGGCGGAGCACTGCAAGAAAGAGTCGGACGAGCGAGAGATAGGGGCAGGACGAGGGAGCACCTGCTGGGAGACAAGCGACACTTGATGCCCCATGCTCTTCAGCATTGCCACCACCTTCCAAGCACGTGAGTTGTGGTGAGTGAGGCAAATGGCAACCTGGTAGAGTCGCTCTGACATTCCGGTCACGTGATGTACCGGAGGCATCCAGCTCACCAGCAATGTCCTCGTCGCATCCCGTCTCTTGCTGTCTCTGCACTTCCCGTCCCCCTCAACACTACAGGCCTTGTGATCTTCTCTGCTGTCCGGATTGGTTGACGAGGAGCGAGGAGACGGGGGAAGGTCCAGGCAAAGGCTATGCGAAGGAGTGGCGAACCTTCGCTGCTCATCAAGCATGTGCTCCAAGAGGAAGCAGTGACGGCCCGCAGGAAGCTCGTCGAGCTCCAGCTGATAGCCCGGCTGCTCCCTCGAACCCACGTGACTCACTTCCCATGCAGAGATGTTGGCGTAGGAAGAAGAGTTGACAAGAACATGCAGAAACCCATTCTCACTGTCTCGTCCTATCAGCAAGATTCGCAGGTCCACATGGTTTTCGTGCTGTTGCTTCATCACCAGAATACCTAGAGTAGAGTAAATTCAACAGAACGAAGCACATCTTTGTGCTAGACATCGGACACAACCAAAAACGTACACCGAAAATCCCTATCAGCTACATGAGACATACAGGCTCCTGATCAACTTCAACTTCGTCTTCATCCATCAAGGAGTAGAAGCATCTAGAAGCTGGAGCAGCAGTGGGAGCAGCAGCAGGAGCGGGAGCAGGAGAGACAAGCACCACAAGGATCACCGGCAGGCGGCCAAACTCTTCCACTCCTTGCCGGATAGTCCAGGATGGCTTCACCCAAGAGCGGGTTGTCACGATGAGCATCGAGGAACGATGCCCAGCGAGAGAGCAGTCGGAAGGAAGCCTCCACCTCAAGCAGGACGCACCCTTCACTCCTCTTGTCCCCTCTCGTCTTGTTCAGCACCCTCGTCTCAGGATCCTCGCTAAAACTGCAGGTCTTGTCCACAAGAAGCGCGCGGATCGATGCTTGCGAGTCTTGATGCATCAGGTCGTTTCTGTCTGGGGGAAGGATCCTCACACTCACTGAGCTCTTCACCAACTGTTGCAAACTCGCGCCATTGCTGCCGTTCGACTGCTGGAAAATCTTCAACGAGTGAGGGAAGGGTCGTGAATAGAACTCCGTGTCCACCCAGCGAACTTCCCAGTCACCGAATTCCAACTAGTGGAAAGTGAGTCAGTGAGTCGCAATGTAGCTCATGCTCCTACGTCGATGAAATCCTCGCTGCTCCAGCTCAGGTGAACGAAAAGCTTCTCCTCCCACCCCTGCCGCCCTGGAACCCAGACGTCCACAGTGGGACTGAAGGCCTGAAGTCGCAATGCTCACAAGAAGCACACACACAAGGGAGCATAACAAGAACAAGCGGGAGGCAGGGATGCAAGAATGAGCCCAGCAAACTACCTGCTGGTGAATCCACTCGCCTTGTCGGGGGCTTACCAGCTCCAGACTCATCTGATCCCGAGCATCCGCCACACTCTGACATCCTTCATATCCTTCTGCTCTTCCTCCTCCCCATCCTGCTGCTGCTGCTGCTGCGCCTCCTCCCCCCCCGACCGCTAGGAGGAGGAGGGCACCAATCAGCATTGTGACCAAGGGATCCGATCACCCTCATCCCCCACTTACCCACGACACCCTCATCCCCACTGTTCCCAACATCGGCAAAATGCCGCGCGGTCCTCTGCTGGTTCTGGTCCTCGGGGTGGCCTCGATGGCGGAGGCTTTCGCACTGACGCATGACATGATGGCTTCAAGGAGCCATGCTCGCTTCGGGGCTGTTCGCTCCACGCGCGGACGAGGATCTCTTCCCAAGACCATGGAGCTAGCGTCAGCTGGCGGGTCAGGGGGGTAAGCACACTCCTCTCTCTAATCCCGTTGATGTGTTCTCTCCTGACCTTGCTTGTCGTAGTGGTATCAGACTTCGAGGAGGAGGAGGAGGAGGAGGAGGAGGAGGAGGAGACAATAATGGGGGCAGCCTCCCCGAGCGATATTGGGCCAAATACCTCGAACTCTTGGACAAGAACCCGCTGGCGACGCGCATGGCCACGGGGTTTGTGATTGGTCTCTTTGGTGATATCATCTCTCAGATTACAGCCGGGATTCAATTCTCAGAGCTCGACATCAAGAGGCTTCTTGTTTTCTCGAGCTGGGGTGGTTTTGGGTTCACTCCAATTGCGTACAAGTGGTATAACATCATCGAAGCCACGATCCCTGTATGCCGTTGAGCTGCCTTTGACTGCAAAACTGACGAGAAGACAGGCTACCATTGCGATGCGAGGTGTCTGGAAGATGGCGATGGATCAGATTCTCTTCCCTCCTGTCATCACGGCCTTCACTTTCTTCATGTTGACCATGATCGAAGGAGTTCTGTCTGGTTTCAGTCTCACCCTCAACAAGGGGTTGCAGCAAACTGCAGTCGTCCAGCAATCTCTGTCTCAGCTGTGAGTCACTTGCCGCTTTTTGTTCAAATTGCTTTCATCTGACGTTGCTTCTTTCAACTCCAGCGTCGACAAGGCAGTTGCAAAAGTGAAGCATGATCTTGTCCCGACATTGATCACAAACTACAAAGTGTGGCCGGCTGTTCAAATCCTCAACTTCTCGATTGTTCCTGTCAAGTTGCAGGTACGCGTGCAGTAGTGCTACACATTCATCATTGGCTTGTACGGCTACATGACTCTCGTGTTGGAAACAGGTTCTCTTCGTCAACTGTGTGGCAGTCTGGTGGAACTTCGTTCTTTCGATGACTCAGCACTCCTAAAAGTTCACAGCGTGAACCCTGATATTTAGATACATGGGCTAGATTGCATAAGGCTGAATGTACAACAAAATCTTTGCGCTTGAACGAAAGAAATTCCCCGATCTCCTTAGTGAATATCTGTCTGATTACCGTTATGTTGACCAACGGTACACCCCGTGAATTATAACAAGGTTCAAGAAGGATTCCAAGTCGATTTCCTCGTCCTTCTTGTTAGAGATACCGAGACTGTCCAACACCTGCGATGAGAGACTCAGACGGAATAATGAAGTTCATCACAAGCTGACATGCTGATTCCAACCACAGCTAATCAAGGTTGCACAAAGGTCTCGTTTCTTCATCTTGTCATTGCCTGCCCAACACGTCATCATCCCAAGATATGTCCAATACCCGATTGTACCATGGAAGTCGTAGACGGCGAATATGGTCTCGATCTCAGTTCTGTCTTCCACGTGCAAAATCTCGAAGAGCATTCGTTGTGCAGGCGCATCCCATGCCTGCTCCAAATCTCTTTCTACGCTCGTCATGGCTTCTTCAACTTCGATCTACAAACAGTCGCCTTCAGGTCGATTCTTCTCTAGTCTTACTCCGATCACCTGGTCCGCACCCTGCGCTGAGCTGATTGAGATCTTGGAGGGCTCAAGCCCAAGACCTCCTAGCACATCCTGAGGAGGAGCGACCTTGAGGGAGAGAGATATGCCAGGAAATCATTCGAACCTCGAAGTCAGTGATTGGCAAGGTTGACTTGTAGTTTTGCTTTTGTTCGAGCTCATGCTTGATCAGAGATAGAACTTTGTTCTATACAAGGTGTTAATTGCCTACAACTCAATCCAAGGCAAACACCTTCTCAAACCGTCGCTCCAACCAGATTGACCATTTTGCATTCAGTCTGGCCCGATCGACAATGCTATTCATGATTTGACCAGAAACTTTTGAATCCAAAAAGGAATTTCGCATGATGGCCATATCGCGTCCATGTCTTTCAAGAGCACAGAAGAAATCTCTCTCTGTGATGTCTGCGAAGCAATCATCCCCAAGTCAAGCAACCATCACATGAAGAAAAGTTCAGGCAAAGTTGACAGCGGAAGACAACAAGAGGGGAGCACGGAGATAAGGCATGGATGATAATGCGACCTATTTCAAGCTCCTTGAGCTGAATCTTGAAATCTACGTGGGACAGTTCTTTGATAGGCTTCTGCTTTACCCGCTGGAGCACAGGGTCCAGTACACTTTCACCGACGTCGAACGCCTGCTCTATGCTTTTGAGTTTGCAGACATACTGGGATTTCTCATCTCCCATCTCAGTTGTGTGTCTCGCCTTGACCTCTCGCTTGGCCTCTCGCGCTTGCTGAGCCTTCACCGACCCCGTCCCTCGCTTTCCCGCTTTGAGAGCATTGCGGACTGGAATCAACGGCAGCGTTGATGCCTTTCATAGTGACTAGAAGACTAGATCAGTTTCAAGCACCGGGCGGCCCCCGGCCCGGCCCGGCCCGGCACCCGGCGGCCACCGTCACGGTGACGGTGCCTGCCATGATCACCGGACCCGGTCACGGCGGTGACCGGGCCGCTAGTCTGAGTAGCCTGGCACCGGCCTGCCTAATAACTTTAACTTGGCGATGTCTCGAGGTCATGGAATTTGCTGTTGGTCGACTGACACGGACACACGAGTCCGATGATCGGAACTCAAGTTCCCATATGATCATGCAAATTAGGCCGCTAACTTCAGCAAATTTGTCCTATGACTCTGATCAGGTACCATGTAGTCTGACTCAGTTAGGCGACAAGCGGACCCGGGGGTGGGGGGTGGGGGGCAGGGAGCTCGAACTCAGTTCCGAGGAATGAGTTGTGACCTTGGAACCGAAAGTCCAACCGTGACACTGGACTACAAACTTTTTTGTGCCTATTTCAAATCTCATCAATTCTACGCCTTCTATCCTTTCGCTACTTCGAAAAAAAAATTATTGATGTTCTGGAGGATATGAAGGCTTCTGATGTGTGGACCTGGACTCCATGATGATCCGATCTGATCACGCGTCGTGGTCTTTGATCTCACGATGCCCCTCACAGCGCTTGTCACATCACCTCTCTGATAGACTGCTCTCTTGTTAGCACAGTGGCACAAACAAAGGTGCCCTGCGGTCTCCAGACACCAGTACTGACAAGAGAGTTGTCTGCCACATGCTCGGATGCAAGGCTGCAGCTGTACATAATTTATCTCATCGCCGAGCCTAAGAAACTTGTGACGGCCCCACAATCCAGCAGGTTCACAATCCAGCAGGTTTAGTCCCACCGCCGACGGCCCGGGCCGTTCATTACCCGAGCCCAGGGATCAGTCTTGTGTCAATCATAATCCGAACTTGAATAATTCACACTTCAGCATTACATGACATGACTCATTACGGTGCGTTGCCGGTCCGACTGTCATGATCGAGGTTCATTGCATCAATCTTGCAAGGAAATCTTCTGGTACGGGAATCCCCTATCAGCATCATCAGGTGCAAATTTGAACAGCATCTTCACTGTGGAAGGGAAGATTGAGATTTACCTGTTGCCTTGCTTCAAGCATTCTTTCCATCATTTTTGCTTGCGATGTCATCAGCTCAGCCCTCGCTCGTATCTCTTGCGCGATCTGGGAACACTACATCAAAGGAATATAACATTGCAGACGATCCTCCTTACTGCACGCTTCTCTTCCGCAGCAAGCTTCCTCTCGGCAATACTGCGTGCCTCCTGGTGTGATGGTGGTCAGTAGATACCAGGTGTGAAGAGAAGCGACCTCGCGATCAAAGAGCCCTGGAGTGAGGTAGAAGTCGTCCAGTGCTGCAGGCAAGGGTCTTGAATCGCCTCAGATTAAGAATCTTTCACTCTCACCCACGGAGGCACTCCTCTTCCTTGACGCTTCCTCCGCAAACGGAAGGACCTGCACCCGACACCTCACCGGCACAGCTCTTGCATCGAGTGCTTGGCGGAACCTGCCGCGAGATATCTGAAGCGCGATGGCGCTGGTCCGCATCGAAAGCACCGACGAACTGTTTGCAGGGTCGATCAGCCCCGAGTTCAGCTGAGCTCGCCTGGTCACCGCATCTCGGTTAGAGCGGCTCCGGGACGGGTCTTGCGACTGGTGGAAAGCTTCTGAGGTAGCACAGCGTCTCCAGAGCCTGAAGAATCGTGAGGAAGAGAAGTTGGAGCCAGCAGCATGACATTTCCATCTCGCTTTCAGGTGGCGCAGCCTCGCCAGCCTCTATCCTCCTCCTCGTCTCCTCCTAGTTTTGGCCAAGAGATAAGTTTGTGCGATTGTATTCTCGGCCTGCTTACCTTCCACGCTCGAAGTCCTTCCAGGAACTTTTCTTTAGCAGTTCCCACCTGGAGATCAAACAACTCAATCAATCTGATAAGATGTTCTGACTGTAGCTTGCCAAACCTTGAGTGCGCCTTTCCCTCCTATCTGAAAGATTTCTTGTTGATTCAGTTGCTCAACATGTTCCTGCCATGCTTTTCCTTGCTGGCCATGCTCAAATATCCTTCCGTCATTCGCCACAGCACGAAGAATCTCGAGGATTCTCCTCCTGCCGATGTCCCGTTCAAATCTCAGTCGAGGTTCCACAAATTTGTTTTGCCCTGGATGGCTGTTGTCAGACACGTGCGATAAAGATTTATCGTGGGTAACCTTGAGGTTGTTCACTGATTCCACTTGCTACAGCATATCCAACGCTATGAGGTTGCTCTCCTGGAAGACAACATAAGCCTGAAACCTTTCCACGGGTACTGAAACCTGACGACGGGACATATCCGCCACCCTGCATGTCGTCGACAATGGCAAGAGCTGATGTACGACAGTTGTACTCCTTCTCACTGTTCCATCATGAAAGAAGACTAAGAGCTGATGGACGACAGTTGTACTCCTTCTCACTGTTCCATCATGAAAGAAGACTAAGAGCTGATGTACGACAGTTGTACTCCTTCTCACTGTTCCATCATGAAAGAAGACTAAGAGAGCTGATGTACGACAGTTGTACTCCTTCTCACTGTTCCATCATGAAAGAAGACTAAGAGAGCTGATGTACGACAGTTGTACTCCTTCTCACTGTTCCATCATGAAAGAAGACTAAGAGAGCTGATGTACGACAGTTGTACTCCTTCTCACTGTTCCATCATGAAAGAAGACTAAGAGAGCTGGCAGAAGCAAGCAGGCGTCCTTTGTTCCCCCCATGGCGCCAGACCATGCCGGGACAGCAAACCCGGCCGGACTTCAAAAGGACCTGACAGTTATGGACGGTTTCAAACAAGGTTTAACGGTGTAACGGCTGAGTTCCTGATGAAACGAGAGTACAAAAGATCGGCGACGGAGGCAGAGCGGCTGGAGCATGGCGGGGGTACTAGCGGTGCCGATCCATGAGACGGAGGACGAGATCTTGGAGCTTCCGAAGAGCGAGCTGCCGGATGATCCCAATGAGATCATGCAGATTCTTGCCAGTGAGCTTGCTCCCCTCAAGCTGTGGCTGGAGTTGGCCCTTGCCTACTACCAGCAGAACCGCGTGCCCCAGTTCCTGATGGTCATGGAGACGAGCACGGGAGACGAAGGCCCCTTCTATCAGGACTACTACAAGGACGATAAACATGGCCGTATTGCCCTCTTGAACTGTCTTGCAGCATATCATGTACAGATGGCGTCGAGGACGAAGAGCAGGCAGACGAAGGAGCAGCATTTTCAGAAGGCAACAGAGCTGTTCCAGCAAGCTGATAGGATAGATCGCGGTGTTGCCCTCACTTTCGTTGGAAAGGGCCTCATCCATATCGCGAAGATGTCATTGCCCACACGCAAGGGCTCTGACTCCTCCGGCGATCACTTGATGCAAGCAGGAGTAATGTTCGACAACGCGATCGAGTGCGATCGAACATGCATACCCGCGTGGCTGGGGAAGGCGTCAGTTCAGTTCAACAAGAGACAGTATGGTGAAGCGCTCAAAAGTTACAAACAGGTTCTTCGTTTGAATCCTGCATGCCCTCCTGAAGTTCGCCTGGGCCTTGCTCACTGTTACGCCGCTTTGAAACTAGACGACTATGCTTTGAAGGCCTTTGAGAGAGTTGTAGAGCTTTCTCCGAACAATGTGGAAGGTCTTGTTGGCCTCGCCATCATCGAGATGAACAGAGATCCTCCAGCCAACTTGACGGAAGAGCAAGAAGGCACCTTCGTTCGTAGGCAAGTTGCCAAGTCGCTCAAATATCTGAAGCGAGCATACCAAAACAATGGAGACCAAAACGCTGTTGTTCTCAATCACTTGGCCAATCACTATATCATCGGAGAAGAGCTTGAGAAAGCTCACAGCTTGGCTACGATTGCCTACAACACAACTGATGTTAAGAAGATCAAAGCTGAGAGCTGTTATCATATTGCAAGGGTTTACCATCTCAGGAAGGACTTTGATCAGGCGCACAAGTATTACAACCATGCAGTCAGTTTCTGGCCAGACTTCTTGCTTCCTCAATTCGGTTTAGGTCAGACTTTCACGCATTACAACAAGTTCTCAGAGGCGATCCCCTGCCTGGACAAGGTGCTCCAAACCCAGCCGAATAATTACGAAGCACGCAAACTCATGGGCTTTCTGTGCTCCAAGCTCGGGGATACTGAGAAAGCTATTATGCACTTGCGGAAGATCACAGAGTTTGAAATCGAAAACAAGATTGATGAGGAAGTGTGGATGGAGTTGGCACAACTTCTTGAGAAACAAAATCCTGCAAGATCCCTTCAGCTTTACCACAAGGCAAGGGAAGTTCTCAAAAGGAAAAAGCTGCCTGTCAACACCAGCATCTTGAACAACATAGCTTCTCTCTACCAGAAACAGGGCGATCATGCTAAGGCCATGAAGTTCTACGAGAAAGCATTGTTCTCGTGTGGAATTCAAGTCGAGCCGGGCAGCGGCACTGTCAAGGTGGTTGAGAGCATTGACTTGAATGATGCGATGAAGGGCCAGGGTGTCACGATCTTGTACAATTATGCTCGTCTGCAGGAACAGAAGCAACAGCACAATATTGCCTACAACATTTACCAGACGATCATCAAAGAACGGCCGAACTACATGGATGCCTACCTTCGAATTGCTTCCATTTGCGAGACTCGTGGAAACAATAGGGATGCGTCAACCTGGCTCCTGCTAGCCCTGCAGGTCAATCCGAATCACGAGGAGACTCTTATCCATCTTGCAAAGCTGGCCATGAAAATCTTGAACTTCTCCCGTGCTCAGAAATACCTGGAAAAGATTCTGAGCAGGAACTCGAATCATGCTCTTGCGAATGTGCTTCTTGGCAACATATTCTTTTCTAGCGCGAAACATGACGGAGACAGTCAAGACACAGACAAGTCTCGAAGTAAGTACGTTCAGTACCTCTCTCGCGCTCTTTCCTTCTATTCTCGAGTGATCGAGAGTGAGGGCGGTACCAACCTCCTCGCCGCCAATGGAGCCGCCACTGTGATCGGGCAGAGTGGTCGACTTTCCGAAGCAAAGTCCATCTTCGCACATCTGCGCGAGACTGCTCCTCATCAGCTTCCAGATGCCTGGATCAACCTTGGACATATCCACTTCCTCCAAGACGAGTTCACTCAGGCCATCAAGATTTACAAGGCGGCGCTGGATAGGTTCTTTGATGGGCACGACGTTGGGCTCCTGACCTCGATCGCGAAAGCTGAGTTTTATCTCGCGGACAAGGGGAAGACCCTCAAGGCATCCAAGGACTCCAAGGAGGACAAGTTCATCGCCTTCGACCGCAACCTGCTCTTCCAGTGCCGCAGAACTCTGCAGAAGGCGATGCATCTGGCCCCTCGTGACTGGTCGCTGCAGTTCAACATGATCTTTGTGTTGTACGCCTCCGCTCAGAAAGTGATCGAGGGAGTTCGACAGGCCCACATGGACTACAGCAATCAGAGCCATGAAGATAAGGGTCTGGAAGCCCCCGAGTATACCAAGAAAGACCTCGAGCAGGTCGGACATGACGTGATGGTCATGCGACGTATCGCCGGCCTCTTGAGCAAGATCGACAGAGAGAATGAATTCCCCAAGGACAAGAGGCTCAAGTCGGAGCAGTACGAGCAATGGGGAGGGCAAGTGCACGAGCTCCTCCCGACGTACATGGAGGCCGTGGAAGAGATGCAGAGGTCGTATGAAGAGAAGAAACAAGTGATCCGACTAATGGAAGAGAGGAAAGCGAGGGAGCTTGAGGAGAAGCAGGAGTTGGAGCGACAGAAACGTCTCCAAGAGAGAGAGAAGTTGGTCCAACGTGCCATGCTGCTGGAGGACCATAAGAACAGGCTGATCAAGGACGACGACTTCTTGAAAGCAAAACCGAAGCAGACGAGAGCGAAGAAAGAGAGCGAGATGGATGACTTCATCGACGACGAGGCTGGGAGGTCGCGACTCGACAAGAACAAGTTCAAGGCCAAGGGTCAGACGGACGAGACCAAGGAGCTGATCAAGTGCATGGAGATCTTCCTGGCTCCCTCAGACAACGAGGACGCAGACGACAACGAGGCTGAGGAGATTCAGAACTTCCTGTCAGATGACGAGGCTCCCGCAAAGGATGAGGAGGAAGAAGACAAGAGGAAGGAGCCCGAGGAGGAGCCGGAGGAGGAGCACAAGGCTCCTCGGAAGCATCGGCGGCTGACCCATGGGGGCAGTGATAGCGACGACTCGTCTGAGTCGGAAGTGAAGAACTACAAGAGGCAGGAGAACAACGATTCCTCGGAGCAGGCGGAGGCTCCTGACGGCACGTCGACTGAGGAAGCGAAGGAAAAGGCGGCGGAGGAGGCGTTCCCAAGGAAGCAGAAGCGGAGAATGGAGCTTGATGAAGACTCGAGCGAGGAGGAGGCTGGAGAGGCCAAGAAACGTCGCCTCGAAGATGGAGAAGACGATTAGGATCCTCGATCTATACCTCCTCATCCTCCTCCCCCCTTACGAGTTCCTGAAGAGTCCACAACGACCGATTGAGATTTTAATCTTAAGACCTTGAAATGAAGCCAAGATCGCAACTGCCGAGTCATGCGACAGCCCTCGCTCGCTTCCTCCTCATCTCAGAATAAGTGTTTCCCCTTGAGCGATTTGCCACCTGCCTTGTCCTGCCGTTTGGCGATCGCCTGCTCGTCCGTTCTCAGCTCGTCCATGTGCTGCAGCACCCACGTCTTCTTCCGCTCGATCTCGCGCTTCATCCCCTCGTTCGCCTGCTGGGGCTCAGCAAACCTCCCTCCCGCAGCCGCGAGCTTTTCACCTGGTTCCTTGCGAGAGCCGCGTCCAACTGAGAGAGCTGCGGGCAGTCAGAGGACGAGCAAGGAAGGGAAGAGAGGAGGAGGAGGAGGCAGAACCTGCTGCTGCGCCAGCTGCATTGCCTGAAAAGCTTTCAGAGCTCCAAAAGGAGGGGAAACGGTCGAGAACGAGGCAGGGGAGGAGAGGAAGAGTAGGTGGCTGTCTTCACCTCTCGCGTATGCAGCATCGCAGTCGCCAGGTCTTTCCCCTTGATCCCATCCACCTTGGCCCTGCCACCATCGTGACAACCTGCATCCTCCCCGACCAGCACGAGAGTCACCGTCCCATCGCCTTCCCGTACGCGACCATGGCTCCTGAGCTGAGCACCTGCGAGGCTTCGGGGGTTCCTGCAGCCACGTCATGCCAGGACAAGGATCCCCTACCGCTGACCTGAATTCCACCCCTGCTCATCCTGCAGCTCCCCTGCTCCTCCAGTCAGACCGCCCAGAGGTGAGCGTGGTGGACCTTCTGCTCTCAGCCGCTGAGCCTCTGACGTCCACTTCTTTCGTCCTCCTCTCCTCCTCTTCCCGCTTCCCTCCTGCCCCATCGATCACTCTCCTTCCCCTCGTCCCCTCAGCCTCCCACCTCCTCTTCCGTCACTTGCTCCATCTTGTCGTCTGCAAGCCATCAGAGGTCGCCGCCTCCTCCAGCACGCGCACCTGACACGCCGACCCCCGTCCTGTTCGTCTTCCACTTGGCAAACACAGGGTTCATGATGCCCTCCCCTTCCTTCCCGAGACCGCTTCCATGCACGTACCCCATCCTCCTCCTGTCAGCACCTTGAGCTTAGCCCTCCTCCTCCACTTCTCCTACATGATGCGACTAGCAACCCCTCTTGTCCCGCTCTCCCACGCTCCGAACGCCTTCGCAACGGTGAGGAGGAGAGCTGGGGTCCAGCAAGGCCTCACCTTGTCGCCCCTCATGGCAGCAGGCATCGAGAAGATCTCGAACTCTGCCGCCAGTCAGCCTTCCTCTATCTCCTCTCTTCCTCGCACGTCACCTTGTTCGCTTCCCCTTGCTTGCGATGAGACTGAGGAGAACTGCCCTGCTGTGCTGCTGCTGTGCTCTGACATGTCGTCCCCGCTGCTGTCTGCTCTCGCTGTCATCGACAGCGATCCGCCCTCCCTCCTCTCCCTCCCTCCTCTCCCTCCTTCTCACCTTCTGCCAGCGACTTGCTCCTCTCTCTCCCATACCCAGCTTCAGCGTCCAGTCTTCCCAGTCTTCTCTGCAAGTCAGCCAAATTGAGCACGTGACCTCCTCCGCTTGCCTGCTAAGAAGCTCTTTCTTCCTTTCCTCTAGCAGCTCTTGTTTCCTCCTCTTCCTTTCAGCGTCTGAGATCCGTTCCTCCCCGTCGTCATGCTGTGCAAGAGGAAGAGAGTGAGGCAGAGAGGAGGAGCCGAGTCCAGAAGCACCTTGTACATGCGCACAGGATTCCTCTGCACTATCATCTCCCTCCTGAGATCTTCGGGGTCTAACTTTCCTCCTGACGCGAAGTGCTTGCTGAGAAGCTGCTCCTTCGCCCTACGGGATGCCTCCGACGATTCTTTCTCTGGTCGCGGCTTCTTCTTGTCCCAGGCTTCATTGCTGAACATGTCATCGTCGCTGAGTCCTTGTCAGACGATAAACCTGCTCGAGGCGACAACCATACCTGCTCACCACGTCCTCCTGCTCCTTTGGTTCAGCTAGTTCCATCCAGATCTTGTCTGCCTTGGCCTTCTCTTCCTCCTTCACAGTCTCGCTCAGAAGGCTGATCGCTTCCCGGAGGTTCTCTCTGTTGCAAAGGTGAGACAGCGAGGAGGAGGAAGAGGAGGAGAGGTAGACTTGCTCACTTCAACAGCTCCAAGTCTTCTGAGGGCGGCAAGAGAGAAACATGAGCCAGTTGCTCTTGATACATCTTGAGGGTGCTCGCGGCGTCCATCGCCTCCCCCTCCTCTCCTTCCTCTCCCTCCCTCTCCTCCTCCCCTCCCTCCTGTCCTCCCATGCGGATTGCAAGGGGAGGGAATCTCGAGCTCGCCTCAATAAAAGGAATCCGCGCTCGCCTCAGAGTTTCTGCCGTTGAAAACCATGGCGGACGCTCTGGATGAGCCGCTTCCATCCAGGTACGAGACGGAGGAGGAGGAGGAGGAGGAGGAGGAGGAGGAGCAGCAGCAGCAGCAGCAGCAGCAGCAGCAGTAGCAGATGAATAAGAAGGGGAAGAAGAGGAAGAGGAGATGAAGAATCTGAAGGAGATATGATAAGGGCAAGGTGATGAAGTAAAGGGCGAAAGGAGGCTGGTAGGGAGAGGGTAGGATGAAGGTGAACGAGCAGGGAGGAAGTAGGATGAGAAATGACAGATGAGTGTAATGTGCAAGTGAGCTGGCAATCAGAAAGGAGATGTTGCTGCTTGTAGTTGCTCGATGACTTGTGGTTAGAGGCAGATTCCTGTTGACACAGCTGACGATCGTGTTGGTTCAGGTCTAGGGGCGACGAACCCCCAACAAATATGGCAAGACAGCAGTTTTTCTTTCCTCGAACGTTTTCAGTTTGCACGATCTTTGAGATGCTACACCTGCAGCCCTACGAGCCTCACCTCAAGCAGAGAGTCAGCACAGGCATGCTGGACCGGTTGGTCATCCCTGACACCATCGCATTCCGCAAGGGGTTTCCGGGATACCCCCGATGGTACCTGACGTCTGTGGTGGACATGGGGATGATCAAGAGAAAGAACAGCTTCAACGTCACTCCCCGCAAGATCCTTGAAGCCTTCACCATCAAGAAGTCCAGGCAGCTCGGGCGAGGGAGCTCGGGGATCATCGCGATGCTGATAGAGGACGTGCAGTCGAGCTCATCCATGGCAGGGGAGGAGGAGTTCGGGAAGGTGGTGGTAGAGTACCTGGATGAGGTCATGCTCAGAGACTTTCTGCAGCACAGAGCAGGGACCTTCAGCGGGATCCTGCAGAAATGGGTGGAACCTAAAGGACCGGCTAACAGCATGCTGCATGCTGCCTGGCACAACAACGTGTGCAAGGTCGACAGCGTCACCAACGTGCGATCGCTGAGGGACAGACGATGCTCCATGTACGAACGCGCCGTCACCTTCGATGGAGGGAGCAGCTTAACTCGCAGAGACCCTGTGCCGCTGCTCCTGCAGAAGGAGCTTCAGGGCCTTTGCTCGAGCATATCGCGACACGTGGGGGTGGTGACGGAGCAGAAGGTTAGCGTGTGGGGCATCCAGGGATACTTCAAAGTGAGGGGCGACGGGAAGGTCGTATTCCTGTGGGCAAGCAACCTTAAGATCTCCTCCTCCCCCTCCTCCTCTTCGACTTCCTCCTCTGCTGACGCCTCCTTCGGCAACCGCATCTGCTCCCCCACCATGAGCGCCCCGGGGGAGGTCAACTCTGCAATGAGCACGATCAGGAGCAGGACGTACGTTTGTCCCGTGTCGAACAAGGTGTGCAGGTGGGAGGAAGCGAAGACTTTCATCAGCTACAAGATGATCATCTTGGAATGGAACTCGAGGTTTCCCCCAGACAGCCTCTCCCTCGACTTCCGGCCCTCGTCTGCAAGGGTTCTAGAGGGCAGGAGGGCCCTTGAACCTCCTCCTCCTCCTCCTCCTCCTCGCCCTCTCTCTGCCAGGATCTCCAACCACCGCCCGTTGTCAGCCCGCGTCCTTGTCGACGGGAGAGCAACGGAGGGGAAGGGAGCGACGGGGGACGAGCTGCGAACGTTGACGGAGGGCGGGGAGGAACGGCTGAGCGAGCAGAAGTGCATCCCTGAGCTGATCAGGAAGCTGGAGAACCTGAGCGACGTCAGTCTGTACAAGGCTCGGCTGCGAGATGCGTCCTTCCTCTACAAGCAGGTCAGAGTGTCCGACGAGGTCGCCAAGTACTTTGCAAGCTTCGCTCCCTCAGTCGCCTCGCCGCGGGGGAGCAAGAAGAGCTTCGGGCTCGGTCACTTTCTTGACCACGAGCAGGAGCCTCGTCCTGCCAGCTCCCCTGTCTTCTCCTCTCGCACTCAGAGCACTGAGAGCACCAGCCTCTTCCGCTCCTCGTCGCTGCTGTCCGGGCAGGGAAAGGAGAACGAGAGAGTAATGGCCGGAACTGAGTTGCAGCACAAGACAACGTTCATCCCTCCGCTCAAGATCCCCCGCCTCGATCGAGCCTCCTCCTCCCTCCCTCTGGACCCCGTCAGGGTCGCCGATCGCCTCCTCTCCCACCGACAGCAGGCGGCATTGGCGCTGCACCTGCAGCGATTTCGTGGCTCCCGCGAGCAGCCGCCAACAGAAGAGAAGGAGAGCAGGAGGAAGCGGGAGGGAGGAGGCTGGCGGAGGAGCCACCAAGACTTCTTTATGCTCGAGTCCCTCAAGGCCCGGGTGCCCGAGAGGGTCAATGACATCCGGTCGGGAGGATGGAGTGAGAGGAAGGAGAAAGAGGAGAGGAGCGAGGTACTGGTTCCTACAGCACCCAAGGAGCTGAAGAAAGGAGTAGGAGGTCTGGCGAGTGTGAGAAGGGTTGGGGTGGAGAAGGGGAGGAACGAGGAGGACTTGTACGCGATGCTGGTGCATCATGAAGAACAGGAGCTGCATGAGAAGGAGAAGCTGAAGCAGTTGATCGCTGAGGCCAGGAGGGACCTGCAGCTCATCGAAGAAAGTCAGTCGATGGAGGACAGCATGGAGAGTGTCGTGATCGGACCGATGGAGGACAAGACCGATGAAGAGCATCAGGACAATGAGGAGGACGAGGAGAGGGACGAGGGCGACGACGACGACGACGACGACGACGACAGGGAGGGAGAGGAAGGGCAAGGAGGTCACAGGAGAGAGGAGGGAGCTCTTGATCCTGACGACTTCGCCTCATCAAGCGACGCGGAAGTTCTTTCAGGCGCGTCCTTGCGCTCCTTGTCGTCGGGTCAGGTGGACACGGAGGCCTTCACGCGAGAGTTGGAGGAGCGACGGGCGGCAGGCATGGAGAGGGGGAGCGATGTGCCTCCCCTCGACGAGTTTGTCCTCTCCGCTCTCGAGAGCGTCACCAACCTACCGGCTCACCTTCACCGCGAGCTGATCAACGACCTGCTGCCCGAGCTCGACCCCTCCGAGCAGAGATACTTCTTCGACATCCTCGCGGATTGCCAGGGGTTTGAGGAGGATCTAGGCGTTTAAATAGCATGTGAATACGAGGAGAGGGGATATGAGAGGTTTGATACAAGTAAAGCTCGTGAGAGGTTTGATACAAGTAAAGCTCGTGAGAGGTTTGATACAAGTAAAGCTCGTGAGAGGTTTGATACAAGTAAAGCTCGTGAGAGGTTTGATACAAGTAAAGCTCGTGAGAGGTTTGATACAAGTAAAGCTCGTGAGAGGTTTGATACAAGTAAAGCTCGTGAGAGGTTTGATACAAGTAAAGCTCGTGAGAGGTTTGATACAAGTAAGGTTGAGATGTCTCTATCTCATGGAGATTCTTCTCTGCAAGTCCCTGCGCAGGCTCAGCAGCCCAACGAGCTCTTCCTCCCTGACGTGGCTCGTCTTGGACGGGATGCTCGGCGCTTGCAGGATGGGGAGCTTGACAGCATCGGGGCCTGACACTGAGTTGATGAAGGAGGCGGCAGACGCTCGCGCATTTCCTGGTCGCTCCAACACCTTGACGTGCTTGCGCTGGGTCTTGTCCGCCTGCTCAGACTCCAGGGATCTCAGCACCTTGCCAGGCTTCAGCGACGAGTTGAAATGCTCTGCTGCAAACGCGCGACTGAGAGCCTTCAGCTGCTGCTGGCGATGCAGCAGGAGCAAGTCGACCTCGTACGAGAAAGGAACAGACGGGAAGTCTTCCTCCGCACCCTGAGGCTGCTGCTGCTTCTTGACAGACTTGGCGGGAGGCTCCGGCGAGGTCGAGAAGGATACTCTCCGATCCTTGCGCTCCTGCGTCTTCGCCATGGAAGCCTTTGACTCAGCAAACGAGGTCTCGACTTGCTCTGCTCGCCCGGACGGTCGCTCGTGGTGGCTCGGGGAGGAGGAGGAGGCATGCAGGTCTTGTCGCCTCTCCTGCCTGCTCTGCATCGGAGACTCCGCGTACTTCTTCTTGCTCTCCAGGTTCCAACTCTCCGTCATCGTCTCCTGCAAGCGTTCGCTCGCAACATGCGCGGTCTTGCTCAGGTCTGTGGAAGAGAAGGTGGACGACAGTTTCATGCTGCTCAGACTGGTCGTGCTCGCGATCTCAGGGCCTGCAGTGTCCTCATGTGCTACGATCGGACCCGTCGACTGCTCGAGGGTCGAGGCTGCGAGATCAGCAGAGGGAGCGGAGGTGAACAAGAGCTGGAGGCTATCGAGGACTCCAGCGAGCAGCTTCAGGTGATCCTTCGCTTCATCCTCGTCCTCCTTGAGCGACAGCGAAGAATTGCTGGGAGAAGTTTCGCCGGAGAGAGCGAGGTAGCTCTTGTCAAAGTCATCTTTCAGCGCCGCAAACCGCGACATCAGATGGGATAGCTGCTGGGGTTGCATGCTCGGCTTCTCAGCAGCTCCTCTCACCTGCTCTTCCTCCACCTGCACACGTGCTGCGTCGACCCTCTTGCCTTGGATGCGTCCAGCTGCCTGCTCCTCCTGAGCTGCTTGCTCCTCCTCAGTCTCCTGATCGTCGACTTGTACCTTGCGCTGCTGCCTCACTCGCTGTCGAAGCCCCGCTGCCTTCATTGCCAGCTGAATCTTTCCCTCTACTGCCTGAAGCCTCTCGCTGTAGCCCTCGAGGTTTCCTATCGCCAGATCTGACATCTGAGACATGTCTTGTTCGTAAGCATGCAGCATGTCATGGATCAGCTGTTGTAGCTCAGTACTGCCTTCAGCCTTATCGTCATCTTGTCTTCCTGCCAAGTCGTCGCTACTTTGTACATTTTCGCTTGTTTGAGCTTCTGCCTCTGACTGCGTCGAAGCATCTTGCATGGAGACTTTGCTGGCTTCCAGTTCCTGCATGAGACGATGTTCCATCTCTTCCTTCTCCTGCTCCAGGCTCAAGACTCGCAGCCGCATGCGATTCATTTCCGACGATTGAGATTCGAAACAGTCTTGAGCAGAGTCGAAGATGTGAGAGATATCCTCGGTCAGCGCATCGATGTGGAAAATACGATCTGTGAGCCCTCTGACATAGAGTCGGAAGCTTTCTAGTCTTGTATGAATATCCTCAGTTTGATCATCGATCTGATCCATACTCTCAGAGGCCTGCAAGGAAGCAGCTTCTATCTCCTTCAATTCCTCGCAGAGTTTCTTGTGATTGTCTTCCAGCTCGTCTATCACTTGTTGTTTCTCCCTCACCTCTCCTTGGTAAACCTGCAACCTTGTCTCCACCTCTTTCATCTCGGCATCTCGCTGCTCCAGCTGGCCTTCAAGAGAGGTCACGTCCCCTCGCAACCGCGCGATCTCATCGTGCAGCTTCTTCTCGGATTCAGCCATGGAGAGCAGCTCTGCCAGGTCTTCCGTGAGCCTCTTCGTCGCTTCCGTCATGTCGCCTTCGATCGCGTGGATCTCGTGCACAACCTTTCCCAGCCGCCTCGTCGTCTCTTCTTGTTGAGATCGCAGCGCTACTAGCTCTGCCTTGTGATCCTCTTCTTTGGTTTGAAACCCGTCAACGACGGCTTGCAGCGCATTCACCTGGTCCGACAGAGCTCTCCGTTCTTTCTCTCGCTCCTCTGCCAGCTGCTTTAAGACGACCAAGTGAGCTTCCCTTTCTTTCTCTGCTATGTGCTGAATTTGAGATTCCTGCAGCTCATTACTGAATACAAGTTACAAGAGAGCTTGTCGCACCTTCTCCTTGAGGCCCTTCTGAAGCGCGACTACTTCTTCTGAGAGCTCCTCCATCTTCTTGCTGTAGTTCTGACGGTTTGAGACCACCTCCTGCTTCAGCTCTTGGATCATCCCTTCCTTGGCATTGAGATGCTCTTTCTGTTGATTGATGGTAGCTTCGCACGCGTGCAGGTTCTCGTAGACCTGGTTCAGTCGACCATGCATGTCTGTGTTGAGAGCCTGCTGGCCCATCTTGGACAAGACCGACATGATGGCCGTGAGATCTTCTCGCATCTTCACAACCTTGGGGAACAACTGGCTGATCTCGCTGTCCTCTGACACTGGCGCGGGGTGAGGGGCGTTCAACAGCTCGTGGTACTGAGACTTGGATGTTACCATTGGCAGAGGCCAGACATTCTCGTAAGTTTCAAACCACTCGCAGAACTCGGCTAACTGCTCCTCTCGCTCTTCGCCTGGAGAAGCTCGTCACTGTCTCAGCACACCGCAAGTCTCTCACATGACTCGAAGTAGGAGAAGATCGAGCTGTTCAGAAGCCTCCTGCTGTCTGCCATCCAATCCTTCTCCATCCTCGTCGCCTCCTCGTGCCCATCATCCATGAGATCCGTCGAGTTTGCGATCGCCATGTCCACCCGCGACTTCACATCTACCAAGATGTCCATCTGCTGCTGTGCTTGGAACACAAGAGTTCGAGCTCTGTCTTCGCTCAGCCCGTGCATGTATGAATCTACAATGGTCTTATCGTCTGCATCCGAGTCCTTTCCTTCTGTCTTCTTCAGCGCCTCATCGCGTATTGACTTCAAGATGGTGCTCTTTCCTCGCTCTTTCGAGTGATTGGGCCCTGAGAACAGCAACGACAGGTGTCAAATCAACCGGCAGGAAGGACATGGTAGCGCTGCACCTTTTCTCATATCATCCTTTCGAAGTATCGATTGAAGATGCTTCGTGTTCTTTATGGTAGACATCCCCTTCGTGAACTCCGCTGTCTACAAAAGTTGCGGTCAGAGAGCATTAGATCGCTTGTATCACCAACGACATCTTGCCCTCAAGTTCACTTCTGATTCTTCCTCCTGGGGCTGAACCTATCTCTCTTATCCGCGTCTTTCTTGTTTCCCCATTTGTGACAGCCACTCTGATCTCTCTTGCTATGTTTCCTGGCCTTGTGTCCTCACAGTCACTAAAGACTCTTACCTTCTCCCCTCTCCCTCCTCTCCCTCCTGCTCTACCCGACGCTCCCCCAACTACCACTGCGCATATCAAACCGTTACTACTGTCAGACGTCCAGACGTGCCAGGGCAGGAGGCAGTTACGGGTGCTGCCTTATCGATCTTCCTAGCTGGTACCCGAGGCAAGCTCGCCGTAGTGGCCGGTATCGGACAAGTTCCGAAGAAAGGCCGTCTCTCTAAAGCGATAATTGAAGGCTCGCCCCGATTCAGGAGGGCAGCACCGGGTACACCACCTAGTACCATGATGATGAGACTGATGAAGAGAGCATGCGGGAGAAGTTGAGAGCAGCGGCACTGAGAGGATGAAGGAGGAGTCAGGAGAAGAGCGAAAGCGATGACGATGATACGTCATGACCAGAGCTTCTTCGCTACTCCTGCAAGCCCCCGAGAATCCTGACGCTCCTCTTGCTTTCAATCTTACTGGGACAGACCTTGAAACAAGATGGCGATGCTGATGATGAAGAAGACGAGGATGGTACCCTTCCTGACGTGCTGGCTGCTGGTAATCTCTCAGGTACATACGGATCAAGACATCGGAGATAGCTTGTCCTGGTCGGAGGAGGAAGTTGCTGTGGTCGAGAGTTGTCGTCAGGAAGCAGCGAGCTTAGAGGAGAGGATGCGCATCGCTGACTCCTTCACGCACCAAGGAAATCAGCTTTCTGCACAGGGAATGCACCATCACGCCGTCCTCAAGTGGGAGATCGCAACGACGTGTGACAACCGGTCCAACGTTCCTTGGAACAACATGGCCAACTCCTTCTTTGCCATGGGTAACCTGTCGGCTGCGACGGCAGCGGCTGAGATCTCATTCTCCATCAAGGCCGACCACATGTCATCAACCACGCTGGGCAACGCTTACAGGGCTCACAAGATGTATGAGCGAGCAGAGAAGACGTTTCTTGCCGGGATCAAGTACTGCCTGGACAACAAGGACAGGCACGAGCATCCCTTCTGGTCGCTTGCGATGCTCTACTGGGACCAAGGAGACTACATCGAGTTCTTGAAGTACTCAAAGCTGGGATTGGATCACTTGTCTCGACCCGAATGCGTTGAGACCGCAGAGGAGCAGGTACCATGCCATATCCCCGACTTCGAGATAGACCTCATGACGCGGGTGTACGAGGCGTCGGTGGACTTGGGGAAGTTCCTGGCGTCGCATGGCAGGTACCAGGAGGCCGAAACGAACTTGGAATGGGCTGAGTACGTGGCTGAGACGTATCCTGCCGAGCGACTTGACGTGCAGCTGGTCAGGAAGCACCTGACCTGCCTCAAGTGTGCAGCCGACAACACCCAGCATCGCAGCCCTTGTGACAGTGACCTGGACGCCTGCAGGGCGAGCTGGAGAGACACCAACGGTCGGTACCTGCGCATGATGGCAGTGAGAGCGATGGGATGCGAGTGGCGGCACAGAGAGGAGGATGTGAGGGACCTGGAAAGGATCATGATGTCTCCCAACATGACTGCCCTCCTCAACCATACCACCGAGTTCTACTTCGAGTGCGAGAAGGGGAGGGTGTGCGGAGCTGGGGCCCAGCCTCCTCTGCACATGTGGGGGCTCCCGATGTCCCTCGAGTCCGTCCTCGTCATGGGCAAGGTCCAGCCGCTGCAGCTGGTCGACAGGATGCTCGTCGATGGCCCCCCCCCGCAGTGGGCGTACCCGACGTGGAACCCGAGCATCGGGACTGTGCTGAGGATCGGCCTCTTGTCCAGCGACCTCCTGCGCGACCATCCTGTGGGGAACATGATGCGCCACGTGCTGCACCTGCACGACCTGTCCAGGATGGACGTCACCGTCTTTCTCGTCCACGAGTCGCAGCGGTACGCGGCGAGCAGGGTGGAGAACGAGCACGTGCTGGGGGAGGTCAAGTTCCGCATGATAGGGCGGGGCCCCCATGTCACGCGCTTCTTCGACGCGCAGGAGTCGGTGGAAGGAGCAGACATTGTCAACTCAGCCGGGATCTGCATCCTCTTCGACCTTATCGGCTACACAGCCGATCACCGTCAGGATATCTTCGCTCTCCGCCCTGCCCCCGTGCAGGTGCACTACCATGGCTACATGGGGAGCACGGGAGCTCCCTGGATCCAGTCGTACGTGGCGGACAGGTACCGCCTGCTCCTCTCGGTCTCCTCCCTCTCTCTCCTCCTCAGCTGTCCTCTGTCTCCCTCCGATGTTCTCCCCTCCCCTCCCTGCTGCCTGGTCCTCCTGACGTCGGGGCTGTAGATGGATTGCGCCTCCCGAGCATGCAAACTTCTTCAGCGAGAAGCTTGCTCTCATGCCCGAGTGCTTCCTGGGCCCTTCCCATCGGCTCTCCTTCCAGGTGCCAGCCATACACAAGTTCTCCTGCGCAACTGACCAGCTCCTCCTCTCCCTCTCTCCCTCTCCCTCTCCCTCTCCCTTTCCCTCTCTCCCTCTTCCTCTCTTCACTTCTTTGATCCTCTTCTTCTCCTCTTGCAGTTCGCTGGCAACGAGGAGAGAGACTGTGAGCTCTACGCGTTTGTGTATAATGGCTGATGCTCCTGCAGTCAGTGAGAAACTGCACACTGAGTTGCGGAAGGAGGAAGGACTTCCCCCCGAGGGCCCAGTGATGTAGGAGGAGGAGGATAGAGGAGGAGGAGGAGGAGGTTGAAATTAGAGGGCAGATGCTACTTCAACCAGCATTTCAAGCTGGACCCTCCAACCTTCAAGATCTGGACGGATGCGATCCAGAAGCTAGTATCCTTCAACTCCTCCGCTCATCCAACCCTGTGGCTCCTCCAGGTGACTAGCGTCTCTGCCCTCTTCTCCATCCCTTCTTCCTCCTCCTCCTCTCCTCCTTCTTCTCCTCCTCCTTCTCCTCCTCTCTCCTCCTCCCTCCTCCTTGCTTCATCCTCCCTACTCATAACGGAGATTTCAGGGGTCGCCGATCTCGCATCGGAACCTGAAGCGAGAATTTCAATCGGCAGGCCTGCCCGGGTAAAGTCATTCTCCTCCTCCTCCACTGTACTGATCTCCTTGCCTCCTCCTATTTCTCCTTGAATCCTCCTCCTCCTCCTTTCTGCACCACCACCACCTTCTCCTCCTCTCTTTCCTCCTCTCTCCTCCTCTCTCCTCCTCTCTCCTCCTCTCTCCTCCTCTGTTGTTTCATTGGCCGTCTCCCTCCCATCCTCCCCTTTGCCTCTCGCAGGGAAAATCTGGTGATAGCAAAAAGAGTCCTGGTATATTTCTCCTCCTCCCACCCTCTTCCGTCCTCTCTTAAACTCCCTCACTCCCTCCTACCTCTCGCTCCTCCTACCTCTCACTCCTCTCACTCTCTGCTAAGGTCAAGACGCACATTCGCCGCGCGAGCCTCTGCGATCTTGCTGTCGACACTCCCATGTACAACTCAGGTGCCACAGGAGCAGACACCCTCTACGCTGCTGTTCCTCTCCTCCACATCCCAGGCCTCAAGGTACCCTTCCTGCTGGTGCCGGTGCTGGTGCTGGTGCTGGTGCTGGTGCTCCTCCTCCCCTCCATCCCCCCCTCAACCTCCTATGCCTAAAGGCACCCTCACTGCTGCTGCTGGTGCTCCTCCTCCTCCTCCTCCTCCTCCTCCTCCTCCTCCTCCTCCTCCTCCTCCTCCTCCTCTTTCTCCCTCCCTCCCCCTCCCCCCACCCCCCTATCTCTTCTCCTCCTCACTGCTGCTTTCCTTGACGATGTTCAGGCGGTGGGCAGGATGATGTCAGCGATGCTGCAAGCGACGAGAGTCAAAGAGTTGATAGTGCGCGACGATGAAGAATATCAGGAGGCGAGTAGAAGAGAGGGAGAGCGATGATGATGATGATGATGATGATGATGATGATGATGATGATGATGATGATGATGATGATGATGATGATGATGACGACGACGACGATGATGATGATGATGATGATGATGATGATGATGATGATGATGATGATGATGATGATGATGATGATGATGATGATGATGATGATGATGATGATGATGATGATGATGATGATGATGATGACGACGACGACGACGATGATGGAGATGATGATGATGATGATGATGATGATGATGATGATGATGATGATGATGATGATGATGATGATGATGATGATGATGATGATGATGATGATGATGATGATGATGATGATGATGATGATGATGATGATGATGGAGATGATGATGATGGAGGTGATGATGATGATGATGGAGATGATGATGCTGGTGGTTATGGTGATGAAGAGGAGGAGGAGGAGGAGGAGGAGGAGGAGGAGAAAGGGGGCCAAGACAATGACAACGATCTTTGAGGATCGAGGTTTCGATCTGCTGATTGACCTCTTACCAGCTCATCGTTCGCCTCCTCAAGAACTTTCGTGGTCGCCATCACGATGGCGACAGCAAGCTCGAGGTCATTTCTGCTTGTTCTATCACCTGCACCACTACTCCTTCCCCTCTCCTTCTTCCCAGCTTCCTCCTTCCTCCCTCCTCCTCCCACTCCCTCCTTCTTCCTCTCCCTCCCTCCTTCCGTCCCTCTCTGTTCTCTCCACTCCTTCCTCCCCCTCCTGACTCCCTTGAGCTGCAGAGGCTTCGCAGAAAGTTTCGCCGAGGAATTTTGTGGGGTCCCATCTTTGACATCGCGGTGAGGACGGAAGGAGAGGAAGAGGAGGGGAGGAGACAAGAAGGAAGAGTAGGGCGAGGACGAGGTGGGAAAGTTGAGGGGATCAGCGGATAGGGAGAGAAGAAAGTAGAGTGGATGTCACCTGGAAAGGGATCAGAGAAGGGAGAGAAAGAGTGAGACAGTGAGGAGGAGGAGGGAGGAGATGAGTTAGAGAGTGAGGAGCAGGAGCAGGAGGAGCGAGGAGGGGAAGGGAATCTGATCTTGTTCGCAGAAATGGGTTGCGGATTTCGAGCAGCTCAGCCGGATGATGTGGGAGGTTCACGTCTTCGGCTATGACATGATGCACATCGTTCCCGTCCGCCCGACGAGCTTCTACTAGCAACACTGAAACTCCTCGTCCTCGTCCTCGTCCTCGTCCTCTCCCCCTCACCATCCTCCATCCCTTGCGTCTCCTCCTCCATTCTTTCCTCCCCCCCCCTGCATCCCTCCCTCCTCCTCTCTCGCGAGATATTGCAGAACATTTCTTTGAGATATTCTTCTCCTTGTATTCCATCCCACTTCCTCCTCCTCCTCCTCTCTCATTCCCGCATTCCTCCCTGAAAGAACTTCAACCGAGCTGCCCGAAGCTCATCGCGCGTCAAAACCTTCGCCTCCTCTCGCTTCTCTTCCCCTCCTCCCTTGTGCTTGTGACCTGGATCCTCCTCCTCTTCCTCTTGGTCGATGATGATTACTTCATCTCCTCCTCCTCCTCTTCCTCCTCCATTCTTCTTGCTACCACCACCCATTTCTTGATCACTCCTCTTCCCTCCCCCAACGTCTTCAGCAGGATCATCGTCAATGATAATGACTGCTTCGCTTTCCCCTTTCCCCCCAGCTCCAGCTCCAGCTCCAGCTCCAGCTCCAGCTCCAGCTGATCTTTCTCTTTCCCCTTTCCACTCTCGCTCGTCTCTCCTCCCCCCCGTCCCCCACTCTCCCCACATCCCCTCCTCCTCCCTCCTCTGTCGCTCCTCCCTCCTCCTCTCCTCTTGCATCGACTGAGCCACCGCCGCCGCCACCTCGTGCTCCTCTAGCTCCTTAAGCGCCTTCATCTCCTCCTCTCGAGCAGACTCGATCATCGCTGCCATTACAGCATCCTCCATCAGCTCCTCCTCCCTCACAGTGAACGAGTCCTCCCTGCCCCCAACCTTCATGTTTGGCCGCTGCCGAGACAGCAGCGCTACGGTGTCGTCCTCTACCGGGACCTCAGCGAAGAGAGAGTCTACCAAGCTCTTCTTGCCGCCCACCAGCCAGTCAGTCATCCTCTTCTTCTCCTTCTTCGCCTCCTCCTCGGCCTCCTCCTCCTTGTTCGTGACCGTGCAGGAGATCTTGCGGATCTGAGACTGGAGGCCGTTGGGCACGAGGACAAGGAGGACGCGCTGGTGCCCCCGCGAGTCCTCGAGGGTGCCGGAGACGGGGCAAGAACATTCGAACACCTTCCACTTGGCAACCCACTTGAAGCCGAACGAGGAGGAAGAGGAGGAGGAGGCGGAGGATCCTTTCTGCTCGCTGAGTTTCTTGTTCAGCTCCTCTGCCTGCTCTTTGCGGTTCTCGAGTATTCCTCCTCCTCCCCTCGCAATCATCACCTTCGCCTCCACCTTCACCTCAAAGTTCGCGCGACGGCGACCGCGGTTGATGGCCGAGCAGACGGCGACGCCTTGAGAGAGAGTGACAAGGAGGAGACAGTCGCCTCCGAGGTCGTAGAGGCGATGAGAGAAGGGATGATAGATGTCTCGGATGTCGACCCTCCTCCTCTTGGGCAGCACGAGGCCCTTGTGGAAGACGCGCAGGGCGAGGGGAGCATGAGACTCGTGGAAGGCAGCGGGCGCGATGCTGACCTGCTGCTCGTAGAAGAACCGCAGCGTGAAAGGCTGCGCCTTGCTGACCTCAGCAGCGAGAGGAGGAGATCCCAGGTTGAAGGGGAGCACGAGGTAGTCAGCATCGCCGTCCTCCAGCTCCACACTGAGCACGCAACGATGGCTCCCCTGAGCTCCAAAGAGGCCACCACAGAGCACAGACTCGACCCCTCCCTCCCTGTTGAGCTTGGCAACGAAGAGGCTGACGTCTCCTGGCTTGTAGCTCTTCTTCCGATCTGCTCGACACCACGACCCTCTCCTGTTCGGCTGCAGGACCATGACGATCATCCTTGTTGGCGTCACCGTTCGTACCCTGTAGATGTCTCGGCACACTCTGAGCGGCGAGGACTTGGCGCAGAAAGAGTTCTGGAAGGACCGAGCCTGCCAGTCCCTGTACGCGAAACAGACGTCCACCAGCGAGAAGCCCATCACAAAGTGGGTGAAGTCCATCCTGACAGGACGAGGGAGTCAGACACGTCACTCATCTGTCTTGCCTCCTCCTCCTCCTCCTCCTCCTTCTCCTTCTCCTTCTCCTGCTCCTCCTTTCCTTACCAGAAAGTCCCGTCGTTGACTCCCGTTCGCTCTAGCCCTTCACAGATCATCCCGCTCCATTTCTCCGACGCGTCGCTCCAGTCGCCATTCCACTCCCCAACCCCATGAGGGTTTCGTATCCTCACCAGCCGCACCATCCCGTCCCTCCCCCTCCTGTCAGGCACCTCCCGGCACTCGAGGATCGAGTACGCATGGTTCCCACACAGACCCACTTCCTTCAGCTCCGCGTCCCCTCCCGTCGCGCATCCCATCGGGAACCCCTGAGACTTGAAGTAGAGCAGCTGGTCCCACAGGTGCTCCATGCTGAAGTCCGGGCTGTCGAAGTTGATGGTCAGCGTCGGAGCCCCAGTCAAGTCCAGCAAAGCCTCAGCTATCTCTCCTCCTGAGATCGCCCGGTAGCTGCCATGGGCCTTGGCATACGCCTTCTCCAGCAGGCTCACCCACAGCTGGCAGTTCTGTCCCCTAGAGAAGGCGAGGTTGGTCTCCAGCGCGTGCTCGGGCCTCCGCGGGCTCCTCGTGCAGGGGAGCTGATCGTCGACAAGGATGGTCTGCCAGGATCCGTCGAGGAAGAGGCGAATCATGTAGCAGCCGTTCGCGTTGGGAGCGGTGTCGTAGAAGAGCTTCGCAATGAGATCGTGTCGCTCTGCTACGACTGCCAGAGCAGACAGAAACCAGCAGTCTCCTATCCCCCCCTGCTGCAGGTCCTGCGCTGAGAACCCGAAATCGGTGACGAGGACGAAGGAAGGGAACCGTTTCCAGGTGTAATCTCTGATGGACGACCGCCTGTTGTCAGCCCAGGCAAAGAAGCCGCACTGCCTCTCCTCGCAGTGGTAGTACGGACGCCCTTTGTTGGGCGTATCCTTCTGCACGATGGACGACTTGGCTACCTTGTTACATCTACAGTGAGGAACGGCACCCGGACGAGTCTGATTGGTCGTCGGCTCTTGTGGACCCTCGATCGACTTCCTCTCAGGAGGAAACTCTGCGTCGTTCCATGGCACCGAATCCTGCAAGATCGCCCGCAGTTTCACAAGCTGCCCCTTGTCCCAGCTCTCCGACTCCCCGCTCGCTTCCCGCCAGTCGCCTGCCTCAGCCGCACCATGGAGCGACTTGCCCTTCTTGGTGGGATCATCTTCATCGCAATCCTCTTCTCCTCTCTTCGTCTTCTTCCGCATGAAATCGTCGATGCTCCTCCCCGCCGCCCCTCCTCGCTTCTTCCCATCCCCATGTGCCATCGGTCTGAAACCACAATCTGGGAACTTGCATGGGTGGGTGGTCAATTCATATCTATGGACGGGTATAAATGCGGTTCTTTGCACCGGTTCAATTTTAAAGTTCTACTTAAGAGGGGTAGGGGACGAGTCTCTTTATTGGTGGGCGATCCCTTCACAAAAAGAAATGAACAAGTAGTGCAACCAAGGAGAAGGAGGAGGAGGAGGAGTCACTGACAGAGAAGAGAGCGGAACAAGGTGAGTGACGGAGGAAACAGGCGATCAGGTCCGATTGACAGCAGATGCAGAAGATCGAGAACGCATTAGAGATCAAGAACACAGTGGAAGCGTTTTCATGAGGGGTATTTGACTGCTCCCCGCGCCATGTCGTCTCAAGCTCCGCAGCCATCCTTCGTCTTGCGAGGTATGACCTTCATGATCGTCCCCCAGTTTCACTCCCTGTGCAGGCCATGAGGCCCTGGTCCATTGTGTACAGATCTCTCCCTTCGATCCTGCTTTCCTCATAGCCTCCGACGATGCCGGCAAGGTGGTTGGGTGGAGCCTGCAGACGAGGAGATCCTTGTTTTCCATGCAAGCATCCGACTCTCCCGTGCTAGCAGTTCGCTGCCTGTCGAGATCGACGGTCTTGACCCAGGCCAAGGACGGCATCATCAACCTATGGGACGTCGAGTACTCGGGCACCCCCAGTCATCGTCTGGCGGAGGGGTCGATCAAAGGGGAGCAGCACACCTTCTGCAAGTGCGACATCATTCGGGATGACGGCAAGGCAGCGCAGCTCGTGGCGTTTGCGCAGGGAAGCGACGGGATTGGCGTCTGGGACCTCCGAAGCAGCGACCCGGTCTCAGTCCTGAAGCCTCCTGGCAGCAAACGCTCCTCGGGGTTCTGTACGGCGATGGTTGCTGTGGGGGACAAGCATGTGGTTGGAGGGTACGAGGATGGCGGGGTGAGGCTCTTTGACCTGAGGAAGAACCTCGCAGTACTGCAGGAGCACGTGCACAGTGATCCTGTCTTCGGCCTGGACGCAGTGCGCACGAGGTCTGACAGGTCAGGCGCGGAAGCCTTTGCCGTCATGTCCGGGAGCGCAAATGGAGAGCTGGTGCTGTCGCGGCTGACAGCGAGTGACGGTGGAGAGAGGGACATGGTTTTGACCGAGAAGGGACGGATGCAACTCAAGGTTGTCGTGAGGGCGAGGGAGAGTTGCGGAAGTTGAGGAGGAGCAGGAGCAGGAGGAGGAGGAGGGGGAGGAGGAGAAGATGTTGTGAATGTTGGTGGGGTGAAGGTTTTGATTCTTTCTTGACTGCCATGCAGTGCGCTGAAGAAGCTCGTGGTGTCAATCATTTATGCGCTCGACCCGACGGCAAGATCTTCGGTGCCGCATGCTGGGACGGGAGGATCAGGATTTATGGTAGGAGGCGAACTAGTGGCGGGAGATGGCACGTTGCGCTGATGAAGTCCTTACAGCTGTCAAGAACCCGAGGATACTGGCAAGCCTGAAATGGCACAGCAAGAACGTCCAATGCATAGGTAGCACTATACTTCACGTATCGTCTGCTGACCAACCCACGCAGCATTCTCTCCCGATTCTCAACTGATGGCAACCGGATCCGACGACACCAGGATCGCTGTATGGGAGATATTCACAGAACGAGGGAAAGAGGAAGTTTAGTTTCAAAAATGTTGGTAGTTTTTCGTATTCAATTACATATCATCGCTGTCGCTCTAGCATTCCTTGCTGTTCTTTCTCACTTTCAGATCATTGGTTCATCCTCATGACATGTTTCGATGTCCCCATCGCCATCGCCATCGCCATCGCCATCGCCATCGCCATCACCATCACCATGGCGCCCCACACATCCTCGTCGCCCTACCTCGCATTCCTCCTTTTTGCAATCCCACTCGAGTCCCCTTGTGGCTGTTTACCACCCCACCACCGATATCGAAATTCTAGTACTACCCCCTACAGATAATTGTCCTTACCATTGAAAACCACCCGTATGATTGATACCCCACCCCCCTTTTGTCCACTGAAGTTGTTTGTTGCATCCCGACACGTTGAAGCAGCGCGGGCAAATGGCGAGGGGGGAGGAGGAAGGGAGAGGGCAGGGAGGACAGTGCGAGTACGAGGAGCTGCTGGAAGGATCGAGAGAGAAGAGAATGGGGAAGGGAGGCAGGAGAGGAGGAACTGTATGAAGGTTGCAAGTAGTGGCGGAGGAGAAAGTGATAGGAACTGTTGGTGCGAGGGAGAGAGAGAGAGAGAGGAACAGAAGATTACAGGCTCACGACTGACAGATGTTGCAGATTGCTAGGAGTCGATACCGGACAATTGCAGAGCCATCGCTGTGGAATTCCAGAGGAAATCAGCGCAGCAACCATGTCTAAGGGAGGCAACATGGAGGACCTTGACGTGCTGGTGAAGAAACTTCGAGCCAAGTTTGAAACCCAAGAGACGAGGTGTCCTCGGTGATGTGAAGGAAGTGTGTGATGAGTATGTCAGGGGGTACTCATGGAGGATCGCTCAGATGCAGGGGCTTCGCCGCATGATTATGGTGAACCGAGTCGAGACGAGTTCGAACTGGAGCGCTGACATGCTTGTAGAACCATGAGAGCGAATTCCTTGATGCTTTGGCAACTGATCTCAGGAAACCTTACATGGAAGGGCTGGCTGCTGAGGTAGGACGTGCTCTCGCTCCTCGATGAATCACGTTGGTTTTGCTTCAGACCGCCTCTATGCTCGGGTCAATCGATTACGCCATCAAGAATCTCAAGTCCTACATGAAGCCTCAAAACATTCAACCTCTTGCTCTGACGTACCCCAGCAAAACCACTGTGAGTGAAAGATGCAGATGTTTCTCTTCATGTCAATATGTTTGACTTCAGGTTCGATATGAGCCTTTCGGAATCGTGCTGATAATCGGCCCTTTCAACTTTCCGTTCATGCTTGTACGGCTATCTCCCATTGTTTCGCTTTCCTGATCGACTTCACAGACACTCAAACCTTTTCTTGGAGCGATCATGGCAGGAAACTGTGCTGTGATCAAGATGAGCGAATACTGTCCAGGTAAGGATGCGAACCACTTGATGAAGGAAGGACTGATGCAGCACATGTCAGCTCTGACTTCTGCACTGAAGAAGTATTTTCCAATGTATCTAGACACAGAGTCGTGCAAGTGAGCCGTCAGGAGAGAATCGAAGCTCCCCTCTGACATCATCTTGTAGAATAGTTGAAGGAGGAGTAAAAGAGACGGAAGAGCTACTCAAGCGTCAGTGGGACTTCATATTCTTTACAGGAAGGTGACGTTATCAGTTGTTGCTCTTGGTTGTTTCCCTTCTGATCATTTCTTGCTTTTTTTCAGTCCAAGAGTAGGGAAGATCGTCGCAGAGGCTGCAGCACAGCACCTGACTCCCTACGTATGTCCTTTCTGATCGTTCGCTTTCTCACTTACCTCCATGCAGATTTTGGAACTTGGTGGGAAGAATCCAGTCATTGTAGACAAACATGTAGAGGTAGATGCTGGTGTTGCTCTCCTTTTTTCGCGTCAAGTTTTGTCTTTCTCAGGACCTTGAGGTGGTCGCAAAAAGATTGATATGGGGACGATGCTACAACTCTGGTGTCCTTCACATGGTTGACATTTGCACGCTTTGACTTCTTTTCAGGGCAAATTTGTTTGAGTCCAGAGTACGTCCTTTGTCATGAAGATCACGTGGAAAGACTTATCTCATTGCTGGCAAAAGTGAGTGGACCCAAATCCCCGACGTCGTTGCTAAACTTACTTCAGTACATCCGAATTTTCTATGGAGAAAATCCACAAGAGTCTGCAGACTTTGGAAGGTGTGACCGCTGGTGCTGAGGAGGCTGATAGTTTAACACTGATGAAAGGATGGTCACAAAAGAAGCAGCAAACAGAGTGAAGACTCTTCTTGGTGACAGAAAAAATGGCAAGGTGACGCGCAGTCCTTGTTCGATGTGACTGGTCTAATTATTCGCACGATCGCAGATCGAAGCAGGAGGGAAAGTGGACGTGGAGGACCGTTATGTCGCGCCAACAGTGAGTGCATGAACATGATTGTGCTCGTGTGATGAGGAGCAAGATTCTTTCGGACGCGGACTTTGATTCGCCGATTATGAAGTCAGAGACTTTCGCTCCTGTTCTCACTGTCAACAGAATCAAAAGGCCAGGACGCTAACCTGCGATGTCTCTTTCATTCACGTGCTGCTAGTTTGGATGAAGCTGTTTCCATCGTCGGAAAAGTCTCAGGGAAGTCACCTTTGGCTCTGTATGTGTTTAGCAGCCGAAACTCCTTCATCGAGGTTTTTCCTTCTTCTTTCAAATTCTCTCTCTTGTTGCTTGCCACCTCAAACGTACATCCCCATCTCCCAAGCTTTGTCCTCTCCGAATCTCCCAGCCCCCTCTAACTCCTCGTTCTTGCCTCAGGAATGTTTCTCCCGCATTCAGAGCGGGGGCGCCGTCGCCAACGACTGTCTGCTCACTGGCGTCAGCCTCGAATCTCCCTTTGGAGGGCTCGGGACCTCAGGCTCGGGATGCTACCATGGAAGGTCCGCACCTCTCTGCTTCCTCGTGGTCCTCCCCTGCTCCTTGCTTCACGTCTCCGTCTGTCTTGTTCCCCCTCCTCGCGTTAGGGGCGTGCATGACGAAGGGTCCAGGTTCTCGTTCGAGTCTTTCTCGCACAAGAGGACTGTGGTACAGAAGCTTTTCAACTACAACAATATGGTAGCCACTGCTTCTCTTCCTCGCGCCCGTCCTGATTCCCGCCTGCCAGATTTGCGACCCAGGTCTTCGCTATCCACCTTTCTCCCAGCAGAAAGCTAAGTGGTTCAAGTGGGCGTGTAAGAATGTCGGCATCCTCCCTTCGGTAGGGAGTAGCTGGACATGTTTCACTTGACACGCCTTGACACGGCTGTAGGTCTCTTGGAAGCAACTCGCTGCGATCTCCGTGTTCCTCATCGTCTCTATTTATCCTCGTGGACTTCTTTCCCTTATCCGGTCGTGGATCGTTTGAAGCCGATCCTCCCCCTGGACCCCCTGCCGTGTGCGTGTGGTGGCGTAAAGTTTGTGCTACAACGCATTCAAAGAATAAGAACCTACATACACAACATCCCTCTCCTCCTTATCAGCTCACGGGTGTGGAGCGAAGGGGTTTCTGGTGGCGAAGCGAGGAGAGCCTGCGGTTGGAGTCGTCAGGAACTCCCGGCTACCAGCTAGCAGCGGCGACTGAAGTCCAGCTGGTGCAGGAGAAGCATCTTGTTGCAGCACGAGGATCTGCGGCTTCGCCATGGCAGGCTCCTCTCCCTTCCCTGTCACGCTCTTCCCATAGCCCGCCAGACCAGAGCCGAAGCCACCCCATGGCAGGGTCGACATTCCGCCTCCCGTCCCTTCTACGGTGTGTGCGCTCGAGGGGTTGTGCCCTGGTAGCGGCAAGGAGCCAAGCTGTCCTGCCGCGAGATCTCGGAACGGGCTCCTTTTCGGCTGGAAGACGATGATCTCCTCCTCCTCCTCCTCCTCCTCCTCCTCCTCCTCTTGTGCCTTCCGCTCCTCTTCGCACTCGTTACGGTGCCAGGCAGGAGCCTGTTCCTGATGCTCCATGTTTGTGACCATCATGGCGTCTCCATCGTGGTGAGCGGAGCTTCCGTGCTGCATCATCATCGGAGGATTCAAGGAGGTTGCAAACAGAGCTGTTTGCTTCGACAGAGAGCCAAGGTCCTCTTCCTCGTCCACCTGGACCATTTGGTCCCCGAACGTCTCCTCGTTGACCTCATCCTCGTCTGCCCCAGCAAGCCCCCCATAGTCCTTCAGCTCCTCTTCCTGCTCTACTCCAACGGACGACAGCTTCTCTTCGACTCCTCCGTGCGGGAGGGCCGCATCCTCCACGCTGAAGATCGACTTGACAGGATCATAGAAGGCCATAGGGCGAGGCTGAGCCGACAAGCTAAAGAGCAGCTGGGGAAACAAAGGCGGTCAGGGGACCAGCGCTCAAGACTGACCGAGCTCACCTTGAAGACGCGCGTCAACCTGACCCGGTAGAGAGCTTCATCGTCCTTCAAGGGTTCTGCTCCCACCAGGCTACCGTTCTTCAGACAGTGTCCCAGGCTGTCGAAGTGAGGAGCTAGAGGCCGGAACCCTGCAGGCACGACGCGTCAGCCATGGTCGTGGTCTCCACGTGCGATGATGGACCTGCGACGTTGAGGTCTTCCGGGAGAAGAACGTCGGCCCTCTCGCTGCCGAAGTCCACCTTCCCATCGAAGCAATCCTTGGAGATGTTGAACAGGTCAACCAGAATCTCAACCAACATGTTGCGGTCTGAGAGAAGCTCCTGCCCGACCTCGTCAACCCTCACGAGCCGCAGCGGGTCGTTGAGCTTCTCCCTCGCATGAGAAAACCAGACGCACAACATGGCAACAGGGGCAACGTAGTAGGAGCTAGCCAGAGCACGATGAGCGATTCTCGTCGATACCTGCGGGAAAGACCAAAAAATCTTCAAAAACTAGCAGCGGAGAGTCGAGGGTTGCCTGGAACATGAGCATGTACGCCTTGCTCAGAGCCAGCTGGAAGTCTTGAGGGTCTCCGGGGAGCTTGCTCTCGAGCTGATGGATGCAGAAGATACAAGAGATCACCTGCATGGCAGAGAAGATTGAGAAACTGCCGCAGCCTCATCGCGCGCAAAGAGAGAGTACCATCTTCATCAACGTCTCCGAAGCGTCGAACTTAGATTCAAGAACCGACGTCAGGTGCTCGATCAACAACTGCAAGACGATCATGAACTAGTCTAGCAGCACAAGAGGCATGCACACTGACGTTCTGAGCTCGCTCGTACTCGTGCAAGTCCTTCATGGTGAGTATCATGCTCACCAGCCGAACGAAGATGGTTCCCACGTTCCACAACCTGCTGCTCTCGTCGACAATCTGGCGCTCGAGCGCCTTCCTGCGAGTGAGGTCCTCGTACTTCTTCTTGTTCTTGTCGAAGACCATCGTCAAGTTCTTGTTCGCCGTCTCAAACGGATCCGAGCACAGCAGGGCTCGCGCGTAGTGGTACATGGCAGCGAAGTCATCCTCTTTGTACGTTGCGATCACAGCCAGCTGATTGTGCGGGTTCCCACTGTCATGACAGAGGAGAGAGGCAAGGCGGTAGAGATCCTCAACCTCCTCCCATCCTCCTTCCCCTCCCTCCTTGTACATCTCCCGGTACCTCGTCAAGTCGCCAAGGTACACCAGCGTTCGATGGCAGCTCATGCGCATCTCCTGCTTCTTCTCGTCGGAGTACAGCGATGGGTCGACCGGGCGAGCTTCGCTGGCAGGAGCAAACTTGATTAGCCCTAGGGGAAGCTGACAGACGTGCCAGAGACTCTTGAGGACTCCCATGTAGAATCGGATGATCTCCTCCAGGAATCGGACCAACGCCTTGTTGGTCGCAGCTAGCACCTGCGCCGCTCGTGCACTCTTTGTGGGGTCGGCCATAGCGGCTTTGCTCCTCATGCTTCGTTTCCGGTACTCATCAATCCGCTTGTAAACAACCTGCTTCCACAGGTTCTGCTCGGCTGCGAAAGTCGATCCAGCCCTTCGGTGATCGAAGATCTCTGCCTCGAATCTCTTCAAAGCATCGTTCCTCTCTCTCCTGTCGTCTCTTTCGTCTCTGTCTTCCGTGTCCCTCCTGTCCCTCTTCTCCCTCTCCTCCTCTCTCCTCCCCATCCCATCCCTCCCCTTCTCCTGCATCCCTGCTGCCATGTGCACTGTTACTGAGCACCCCTACCCCCATTATATCAACAATCTAGCTTCTCTGGGTGGGTAGTGACCCACCCTTCGAAACTCGAATTCTCGTTTGGGACTCAGCAGGGTACTCGTTCAAAGTTTTGTAAAGCTGGTGGAGATTGCAGGTAGGGTCATTGATGTACCCACCACTTTTACTGAAAATAGTACTAAAACAAGGGGTCAAATGAATCAGTGGGTGGGGTAGGTTTCCATGGATAAGCTAATGTGCGGTGAAGGAATGGAGGGATGCCAAGGTACCAACGGAGATGCTGGGCGATGAGCAGGGAGAAGAAGAGAGCGAGGATCATGAAGAAGAACAGAGTGATGATCAGGATCCGGCTAGGAATGAGGGGCGGGAGCAAGGACAAGTGCAGTGGAAGGAGAGAAAAGGAGGAAAGACACCAGGATGATTTGATAGACAGTGGTCGTATGCTTACTTTCAATGTCATAGGATATTGGGTGCAGAGGTTTCGTCCCATGTTTACTTTTATCTGAATGCTGGCTGGTTCAAGTGTACGTTTGATGTTAAGTCATGATGCCTTCCCCTTACCCACTACGCCCCCCACGAGGTTCTAACAAACTCTCTCACAGACAAAGCGATGGTGTAAAGGAAGGCCGCTGCTATCTTGAAATGTGGACTAGACAAGCGATCTTTGCTTGCTTGCTTGCTCTCAACATTTGGGGGGTGGAAGCGTTTTCATTGAGCCTCTATTTCACAGCGAGGAGAACAGTCGCATCAAGCGGGGTATCCAGGTAGGGACTCATCGTGACTCATCACTCCGACTCGCTCTCTTATCCTTCATGTGTGTAGGTTGCTCGACCAGAAGTCCACCTGTTGTCTTGCTGCCAGCCACTACCCACTGCCGGGTGATCATGGGGGTTTATCGAACGATGCCATGACATGTCAGGTGTGTGTAGGATGCAGGGGAAGCTACACACACCCTTACAAGCAGCTGGCACCTCAGTCGGAAGGCTCTGAAGAATGTCAGACATGGAAAGTCCTGCAAAGGTTGCCGGACCAGAGGGCATGCGCTGGGCTGTTCCTGAAAACGCTCTTCCTGCTCCTCCTCGTTCTTTCTCCCTTACCGAACATCGCCGATGCTCACCCGGTGCTGATTGCTTGTGGAGAAGCTGAGATGTCTTTGCTCACAAAATCACAGTCGGGGAACATATGGGGACATGGCGCCGGAGCCCTGACTGCCGCTGGCTCGAACAAGCTATGGAATGAACTCTCGGAGACGGTCAGTCTGCTAAGGCCATGGTTTCTGCTGACACGTGTGTGTTTGTTTGTGCAGGAATTGGAAGCTGCTTCGAAGCTTGGATATGATGAGCTGACTTGGGACCTGGTGAGATAGTCTGTCCTCTGCGTGACATCTGCTCTGGTGATGATGATTCCCAGGACGGCAAGGTGCCCGTGGATCGACTTCTATGGAAAGACTTGACAAGGGTACGATTGAACAATAGCTGTTTGTGCTTGCAAGAGAGATGAGATGTGTCACTTTGAGATGGCAGAGTCAACAAGAGGCGGCCAAGGTCTTGAACTTCAACCAAAAATTCTGGGATGAGGATGTCTTTGTGGATATCTACGAGCGAAGGTGGACTTATCTTTTGCTTCTTCGTTCAAGTCTCCCCTGAAGAGCTCGTGACCTCTCCACCTTCTCAGTTGGAACGAGTTGACAGAGGAGCAGAAGAAGGCGGCAAAGGTCTTGGGGTACTTCGATTTATGCGCTGCTTGCAGATGATGTGCGTTGTTAGGTACAAGAAATCTTCTTGGAACAAGAACCTGGATGTCTGGAGCGATACTGTGAGTTGGAAGCAGCTAAACGCGAAGCAGAAAGAAGCTGCAGGTACAGACTGATCGTCCATTCTTTTCTGTCTGGTGACTGCTTGATCCAGGTATCATCGGATACACGGAGAAGGAATGGAATGAGTCGAGGCATGTCTACGACAAGGAATGGGTAAGACTCTGACATATTCCTCGTGATCATGACGCCTTGCTGATTTCTGGCTCCAGAATCAGCTGAGCCCTCAGCAGAAGGAAGCTGCCAAGACTCTTGGGTACACCGTGAAGTAGGTGGTGGTAGACTAGAGCTCATGTCGATTGACAAGGAAGTTCAGGAGGTGGAATGAAAATCAGCATGTATGGAGCGACGATGTGTTGTGGAAGCAGCTCAACGACAAGCAGAAGAAAGCCGCACACGCGCTGGGTACGCGACAAACTTGAATGGGTTAGATGTGCCATAGAAGGTTAATATGCAAACAGGATTCAACGAGATCTCATGGGATCGGGCCACCAAGACAGGGTATTTTGTACCAATTTCATTTCCTTCAAGTCTCTCACTACCCCATCAGCTCTCACTCGTATGATCGTGAAGAAACTCGCAAGAAGCAGGAAAGACAATCTTGGCTGGTACGTGTGCAGACACAGATCCAGATCCCGAACTGACACCTCAATGTGGAGGTGGTAAGATGGAAAAGCTGGATCTGGAAACAGACTATTGGTAAGTGGTCTTAAGCACTGAGACGCTGTTGTGATGAATAAGAACAGGAAAGAAGTACTGCTGGGTGCGAGGAGCTGTTGGCGGTAACTGGGTTCGCAAGATTGTCGGAGAGCAATATGATTTCTTCAGGGGGTCAAAATACTGCAATTATCCGAATTGATGACCAGTTGCCTTTATGCCACGTCCTGCCCAGATGCGTGGCGGAGTGGATTGTAATCTAATTCGATGACGCCAAAGGAATCCAGTGTAAAAATGTAAGGTCGAGTAATACAGCAAAAACAGGGTACAAGAACGAGCATCGTGCTTCATCTCTAGTCGAGCTCCTTCCCACCCGCTGGCCAGGTGATCGATCTCAATATTTTAGTGCTGCATTGGATGTCCTTGGGCAGCTGGACTACCGTTGGAAACGGAGTTTTGCCGAAGCTTCTCACCTCTTGATCGCACGAGTTTCCTCTCACTCTCAGTGTCGGCCGTACACACGGTGACAGGAGAGGAGGAAGACAATACGTCTCCGGCCAGGACAGCACACATTTGCGCTGGGAAGGGGTCACAAGCCCAGCAGCCTGTCGTGCCTCCCAGTACCCTTGCCGAACAGCAGGAGCAAGCGAGTGCTCAATTATGTCCGCCGAACAGAGACGGAGGAGACTTTCGGTTCCACGCAGGGAATGGCCCAGAGCTATGCACAAGAAGATATCGCTCAGATCCGTGTTTTCAAACAAGTCCTGCTCGGCCTCTTTCAAGCTGCTTGAGGTATCATCCCTCGCAATAGTTGTCAAGCTGCTTGAGGAGGCTCCTGCACCGTCAATACCGGTGGAAATAGATATTGAAAGAAGCTGCATGTGAGGCGAAATTCAAAGAATACAATCCCGTGTGGATTTAAACGAGGGCAGGAGGGAAGGAGAACAAGAGCTGAAGCGCCTGAAAGGGAACGTAGAGGAGGAGAGAGCTTCTTGTCAACTTTGATGGAGGAGAAGGAGAAGGATGTGAAGTCAGTGAGAGGAAGGAGGGAAGCAAGAGGATGGGGGAGGAGCAGCGAAGTATCCCTTAACAGCGCATGCAACTGCACAGTGACCGATAGGGCGGGAAGTCAACAAGTGAGATTATAGCTCTAGCGGACAGAAGGAGGGGTGGTATCAGTGTGGGGGGTGAGATACTGAAAGACCATCAAGAATGTAGGGTGGTCATTGGTCTTGAAGTGGGTAGTGTTGAATGAGAAGGGGGTAGGGGTTATCCACGGGACAAAAGCGTGCAGGGAAGGGCTTGCAGGGGGGCAAGGGAACATGTGGGGGTGGTAGGATATCGATGATAGGGTGGGGTGGATGGATGGTGAAATATGCTAGGGGTGGTACCAGATCCCCGGACTTGAGGGAAGTGCAGGGGTACTCAAGTAGAGAAAAAGAGGGTAGGGGTCATTGAATATACTTTTGGGGGTAGGGGTGCACTTGGAGTGAAGGCGGGAAATCCCACGGGAATCTCCAGGAATCTGAGGGAATCTCAGGTCTGGCGGGCATGAGCGGGGATGAACCCAAGTGAATGAGGGGGATGAGTAGGGGCGGGGAGGGATGAGGGGCAAGCTTAGAATTATTCGCTCCCATGGCCTGTTGGACGTTATTGGCGGCCCTCGCCGTGTCGACGGCGAGAGGATGGGAGATGCGAGGAGAAGCGGGAGAGAAGGCCTGCGAGATGAGAGGAGGAAGAAGTACAGGGAGAGGATGCGACGTGGGAGCGGTGAGGGACCGAGGAGGCGCAGGAGACATGGGTCTCGGTGTGGGGAAGGAGGAAGGGGTGGGGGCTGGCGCACAGGATGTAAGGCGAAAGTTTGGAGGAAGGAAGTGGGTGGTTCATATGAGTACATCATACATTGAGAGGAAGTGGTTGATCATATCTGCATGCGGATTGATCATCGTTGTTTCCCTTGCCGTCTACTGGCAGTACGTGAAAGACTTCATGCCCCCGCTCTGGGCAGCGCCGATGGTGGCGCTCATCCTCATGGTGGGCTCGTTGTACGATGTCGAGTCCTCGAACATGCTGAATGAGTTTCTGGCGTTCATCATCGGGATGGTTGTGTATGCTCTCACCAGGACGATCACGAAGAAGAAGGTCCTCAGCGACAGGCTGTGTCACTGCAGGCTGTGCAACCGGGAGCTCCACCAGCTCGACCTGCTGGGCTCTGGCAACTTCGGGTCTGTGTACAAGGCGAGAACAACCTTCCGGGCGTCAGAGGGAGCTAAGATAACCTGCGTCGTCAAGAAGGTCAAAGTCGACTTGGAGCATGATATCAACGATGCCAGCGAGGCGCTGCAGGAGGTGAAGAGCTTGATCAAGCTGGACTCTCACCCGTTCATCGTCGCCTACATGGACGTCTGGCTGCACCGAGACAACCCGGCCAACGCCTTCATCCCCCCTACAACAGAGTTGTGCTTGATGATGGAGTTCTGTCCCAACGGGGACTTGTTCGACCGCCTTGAGAAGTTGAGGGAGAGCGAGGGTGACGAGGCTGAGAAGTTGACCGTGAACAAGATCATGACATGGTTTGCTCAGCTCACTGATGCTGTCCAATTCTTCCACAGCAAAGGCATCACGCACTGCGACCTCAAGCTCGAGAACATCTTCTTGACGGAGGACGACAACGTCAAGGTCGGAGACTTTGGCCTCTCCCTGCAGTTGAGGAAACGATACTCAGCGCTAGATGCATCGAGCAAGGACAAGAAGTCACCCAAGGCAACTTCAAGTCGAGCAGCAAGACAGGCAAGGCGACCGGATGTGGACATGTGGGGGTCGACAAACATGAGCTCTCGAGGTACCCCGGACTACATGGCGCCGGAGTGCTGGCACGACAACTCCAAGTACACGTCCAAGGTGGATGTCTGGAGTGTCGGGGTGATCCTGTACATCATGCTCACGGGCAAGACTCCTCTGCACCACCTGGACCACGGGGACGACGAAATCTTCCTGGGAGAGCTGCTATATGATGAGGAGATGCGGCGGCGGTACGACTACGACAAAGAGCTCGAGGTCGCCCTCCGTCTCGTCTCGCAGAAGAACTTGCAAGGAGCCATCCGGCACATGCTCCGGCCAGAGCCCGCAGACCGACCGATGATGAAGCAAGTGATGGGCGAGCTGAAGCTGTGGAGGTACCTCAACGAGAGCCGAGGGGCGCCGCGAGGGAAGAAGCGATCGAAGCATGGGGCCTCCTCGTCGCAGATCGACTCGGCAGCTGCGTTCGCTCATCGAGTCTTCGATGGAGTGGTGAGGAGATGCAGCGTGACATGAAAGAACTTGAGACTGACTCTCCCTCTCCTTCTCCTCTCCTCCTCCTTCCCTTCTCCCTCTCCTTCCCTCCTCCCTCCCTCTTCCTTCTTCCTCCATTCCCTTCTCCCTCTCCCTCCCTCTATCTGTTGCACGCTGTTCGTGCCTCCTTCTGCTTTGCTCCTCGTTCCCTCTCCGTCCTCTTCTTTCATCGTCTCGTGATCCCACAGGCCTCGGCAAGCGCCAAGGTCTTCAACGTAGTAAGTGGAGGAGTCAGCAGGAAGAGCGACGTGAAGAGGTGAGGAGGTGGGGGAATCGCGCAGCTGACCACCAATGGCAGCGCGTCGGAGAGGGCGGCAAGAGCAAGAGACGGGCTGATCAGGAAGGGACCCATCCGAAAAGAAAGGTAGAGGAGGGAGAAGCAGGGAGAAGCAGGGAGGAGGGAGGGAGGAGGGAGGGAGGAGGGAGGGAGGCAGTGGGAGGCAGTGTTGGAGAGAGGGGGCATGGGCCTGTCTCATGTGACCTCAGGATCCGTCGGAGGGCGAAGAATGAGAACAAGACAGAGGGTTGAGCAGGAGGGCAGCCTGGGATCGCAAAGATAACATTCGTATGTACAACAAACATGATGCTTCGCATGTCCGGCATGGACCAGATGAACATCGCAGAATAAATGAACATGTCCCCTCACGTCTCATCCCGGTCCGGCCCGGCATGCACTCGGCTGCGAGACTCGGCGGAGTCGAGGAATCGAATCGCTACCTCAATCTGCTCCTCGAGGGACTTGAAGATCAGGTCCATGACCCCTGCCACCTTCCTCTCCAGCCCCTCGATCTTGAGCTCCTCGTACTCCTCCTCCTTGCGCTTGCAGGAGGAGGCGTCGAAGGCGTAGATGACGGAGATGACAATGCCTGGTGACATCTGTGAGGACCAGAAGAGCAGGCAGGAGACGACAGACCGCAGTTCACAGCAGCAGCAGCAGCATCGTAGGGATCCGTGAACGCTTGGAAGGCAACGAAGAGGAAGACAAGGGCGAGGGTGACGACAGAGGAGTAGAGGAAGGTTGCGACGAGAATCTTGAAGTCAGAGAGACTGAAGTCAGAGAGAGCCTGTGACATCTCGTCATGCACGACAAAAGAGCGAGGTAGAGAAGCAGAAGAAGGAAGGATGGATGGAAGGAAGGAAGGGAGGAGGGAAGGAGGAGAACAAGGAGGAGAATAATGGGGAGGAGGAAGCGAGGAGAATCAGGAGAATGAGGAGATTTCGAACCTGCGCTAGATTCTGCTTCGTGGCGAACTCGAGTAGGGTGGGGCTAACGGAGATCTGTGACTTCCGCTGCTCGATCCTGACCTTGATCGCCTGCTTGACCCGCCATTGGAACTGCGTCAGCCGGATCCAGTAGCGCAGCGACGTCACGGCAACTCCGACGATTGCGATGAGGTAAGGTGAGATCTTCCGGGGCAGGACCATGGTCCCGAAGAAGATCCAGATCCCGTTGAGGAGGAGGAGGAAGATGGAGAGGAGGGACAGAACGAAGTACGAGATGGTAAAGGCGAACCTGACGAGCTTCCAGATGAGCGCATGCTGGGGCATCGAGAGGTAGAAGGAGGAGAGCTCGATGGCAGCCACGAGCATCTGGGTGTAGGCGAGGGCGTCGAGGATGACGGGGAAGAGGTTGGCCTCCTGTGCGCACTTGCACTTGTTGGGGGCAAACTCACACCTGGTGGTGGACATTCCCATCTTGATCTCAGCGCTGGTTTTCATCACATACCTCAACAGACAAGTCAGACGCCGCTGGTTCATACCCTCTCCTGCCTCACCAGCTCGGCATGCTTGCGATGGTCATGAACACGATGGCGTCGATGATCTTCCTCTGCAAGCTCTTGGACCTCCCGCTCTGTCGGCAGCTACGTCAGCACAGGCCTGCACCTTGCAAGGCGATCTCACCGGAACCGCCAGACCCTCGAGAACGTTGAAGAAGCCGGTCTTGGAGATCGTCTCCTCCTGCTCCTCCTTGCTGTACACAATCGTTGCTCGCTCCCTCCAGATCTCATCCTCGTCCCTCGTCCTCCCATCCTTGCGGACCCGACGGATCTCGTCCAAGAGCACGCTCAGCCCCTTCATGTCGTAGAGAATCTCCTTGCGCAGCTTCAGGATCCCCCGGTACCCCCAGGCTGTGAAAAGCCCCGTCCCCAGAGCTGCGAGGAGGAAGGCGATGGAGCCGCTGAGGATGTAGAAGGAAGTGATGGACTCGTACATAGCCGGGTCCAGCGGCGTCACGCCGATCTGGTTCGTCTTGGGGTCCAGCTTGAACACCTTGGCGTTGCCGACTGTCGGGCGGAAGACGAGGAGGGAGGTAGGAGGAAGAATCCTAGAGCTGCCCGGGGGCCAAGTCTGGAGCACTTCGATGATCATAGACCGCATCGTTATGAGCCGCTTCGTGAAGTTGCTCCCCTGGCTCACCACAGCTGGGCAGAAGCCCGGGTCCAGCTGCATGCTCACCCCGTCGCGCGCCGGGTGCAGAAGGAAGGAGGTAAGGATGTCCGTGAGCCACTCAGGGATGACGAGGTACCTGGGGCCCTCGATCCACAGGAACTCTCCGTCGATGGACTCAGGGGCGCCAGGGCCGGTGAGGCGGATGGAGAACCAGGGGACGAGCGGGCGCTTCTTGCCTTCGATGTGGAACTTGCGGTCGATCAAGTTCATGTCCTGCTCCACGATGTTGGACTTGACGAGCGTGCTGACGTCCCTCGAGACGGCCTCTGGCGGGTTCCCCTGGTACGACGAGACGCTGGGGACTGCCATCGCACGTCAGTACTGACCCAGCACCCACCCCAGCTGGAGCCTACCTGTGAAGTCTGTCAGGGCCGCCAGGGAGATCTGTCCCGAGATCGAGGTGAAGTTCCAGATCTGATCCAAGTTGCCTGACTTCCAGGGCATCGTGACCGGGTTGATGCAGATGCCGCAGAGAGGCTGGTTGACGATGGGAAAGAGATCCGCCTGCATGCCGAGTCTCAGCCATCACATGTTTCACGTGGGGGGAAGGGGAGGGAGAATTGTCGGCAGGACGGGGCTGGAGACACGAGGAGCAGGTCAAACCTTTGCATAGCCATGGCAAAACTTGAGGCAGCACTTGCCCGCAACGTCGCAACTGAGAGTAGGCGGTCAGAGACAAGAGCGCGACCACAGCCGTACGTTCTTACTTGGCTTGGACGGGAACGATGGTGGAGCCGTCGAGCGGGGAGATGCGGCTGTGACTGGTGAAAGCAACCATCTCACAGGCGGGCTTGCAGAGACACTGTAGGCTGTCAGTCTGAGTGCAGGCTTTGCGATCGATGCATCCAGGGACGGTGGAGGTTTTGTTGATGGCGCAACGAGGACAAGGGTAGCGGTAGAGGTTGGGGCAGAAGTCAGCGGGAGGGCTCATGGCAGAGCCAAGAATCTTCACAGGGGCCTTGGAGCCGCTGGTGTCAAGGTAGTCGCACGTTGTCTCGCAGGAGTCCTGGAGGTACAGAGACCCTTGCGCTGCTGATAGGCAGACCTTGTTACCCGACTTCTGCCAGTACTGGATGGAGGTAGAGCGGGTAGTCGTGACGACGAAGTCAGCCGTGATGCTGTTGAAGGTAGCGGTCGGGATGGCGCCTCCTAGCCCGAGGTCATGGGCGATGAAAGATCCATGGTCGATGTTGATGTTAATGTTCTTGGCTGTGACGTTCTGCACGCGGACGTTGACGTTCTTGCCCTGGATCGCGAGGGTGTTGGGCCCGAACTCCATGCCGAAGTTGGGGGTGTCCGAGTCCATGGCGCCTCCACGGATTGACGTGATGTTGTCACCGACGGCGATGAAGGTCATGGCAGGCAGCACGTAACGGTCAGGCACGAGGATCTGCACGTTGCAGTAGTAGCCCATGAACCTGCCGGCATCGGGTCGGTTGTTGGTGACGTCGAAGGTGGCGGCAGTGGAGCAGGTGTCCGAGGCCAGGGTGATGAGGGGGTCTTTGAACTTGTAGGCGAACCGAACCTTAAGCGCTTGCAGCGAGTTGTCGGGGGGAGGGAAGATGGAGGCGGGCATGAAGCGGACGTTGCAGGTGTCGAGGCTGAACTGCACGGAGATGGCCTGATCCAAAAAGAACTCTGCGTTGTAGTTGCACTCGGGATGGTAGTCCGTAGTCATGACGCCGATGATGTACAGGAGGAGGAGGAACGCTCCAAACAGGACGAGGAAGAACTCGACGAACTTGGCTTCTGGAGGAGGCCGAATCTGAAGTTTGGTCGCTGTGATGATGAGGTCGATCCGCTTCTTGCGCAGGTAGTTTTTTAAGTTGCCGTGCCGCCGCCGCAGCCAGGAAGTCAGCATGTAGATCAAGACGCCAGCGACCACGAGCGCAGCTGCTGTGCCGACGGCGATTGGGATGATCTTCAACTGGGCGACTTCGCACTGGCCGAAGGTCCTCCCGTCTCTTGCACTCACCACACACTTCTGGAAGGTGGGGCCCGAGCTCGTCGAGCCAATCATGCACTTGCCCTTTCCCCCGCAGTCGCCCGGGCAGTAGACGCACTCAGCCTTCTGGTTGCACTGCAGACAGCACTCCTTCTCTGTGATCCCCGTGCATGAGATGGCGCAGGTCGCCGGGATCCCGACGTTGATGTCGACGATGACCGACGTCATTCCTGCAACGTCCGAGACGTGTGGGGCCGCGAACCTGTGGTCCTGACATGGCTTTGCCTGCCCGCACTCGTGCTCTCCACTACATTCGCCATAGTTGCCGTTGTCGATGGCGGTGATCTTGATAGGGACATACCCGGTGTAAGTCACGCTGGAGTCGTAGAAGAGCTGCTTGCTGATGATGTTGGTGTCAGAGATTGTCCCTTGCATCGACAGCGTGTACAGGCCGCTTGCGTCCTTGGCCTGCAGGTAGGAAAGCGACGAGACGACAGACTGGATCTGAAACTTGCCGGCCGACGGCCTGTCGACCTTGAGCAGGAGCGTCATGTTGCCGTAGGGGACGTCGTTGATGTCCACGTCCATGATGTCAAGAGCCGTGGACGTGACGCTGGAGGAGATTGGAGGGAAGATGGAGGCGTTGACATCGGAGCACGACACTCCCTCTATGAACATCGAGTTGGAGTAGTCGACATAGCACCGCATCCCCTTGGTGTACTTGAGCAAGTTGGTGGGGTAGGTGATGACCGGGGGATCGTTGACCGGGACAACTCGGATGTCAAGGTTCTGCACTACTCCGTTCAAGACGGCCTGCTGGTTGTTGTAGCATTCGTCCGTCATTCCTTGGTCCGTCACCCAGATTCTGAGCCTGTCCAGCCCGTTGCCGTTGGGCCGACTCGAGTAGGTGAGGTAGCTCTTGTTGAGGCCCTCCTGGATCACTTGCTTCTTTGCTCTCAGGATGATCCTGCTCTGGTTCCTCATGCAGGCAACCTGGTCGGGACATGGGACGGCGCAAAGAGAAGTCCTGAAGGTAAACCGAGACCTGAAAAACGACCGTGAGCGAAAAGGAGCAGGAGCAGGAGCAGATCAGGTCTTACACAGCCAACTTTGTAGAGGCTAGCTTCGTGCAGTCTTCAAAGGAGTATTGGGTGGCGTTAGTAAGGAAGACGAGCCCTGCGAGGAAGTCTCGCCCCGGCGGCGGGTAGAAGGAAAGAAATCCTTCCTGGACGCTGAGCTCGACGATGAGCTCTCCAGGATACACTTCTGTACTTGGATTGCAGATGGACGGGATGGGGCAGGGGCACTCTGCACCACCAAGACACAAGCAGGGCTGTCCGCAGATGCAGCCGCGAGCAGAGAAGACCGCACTGATGCCGTTCCCCTGACAGCAATGGCGGCGACCAGTGGAGCTGATCAGAGCAGCTTCGTCTGAGTCGACGTCATCGATCCACAAGACGTCTCGGCTGACAACAAAGACAGTGTCTTCGTCGATGTCGATGTACCGTCGATACGTGCCGTTGACAATGTCCGACAACTTGACCACCGTGTCCAACATGGGCTTACAGTATGTGTCGTACCTGTTTAGCAAAGGTCAGACCAGAAGAGCCCTACAAGATGATAGACTGACGCTTTGCTCGTGACGCTGATGTGGAGGCAGTCGTACTGAATGTTGATGGACTCGTCGATCGGAATGAGCCGTGGGAGGTTGACGATTGTGGAGGGATCAGCTTCGTACACGCCAAGGATCTCCTGCTGCACAGACAGAGCTCGGCCGATCACGGGAGGATCGTTGACGGAGTCGACCAGCACCGAGATGACGGTAGAGCCTTTGAGATGTCTCGTGGTGAAGTAGTTGTCACCCATATCTCCCTGATCGTCCACCTCGATCGTGATCGACTCGGGTATCCCATACCGAGTGTTGAAGTTCGGATCACTCAGGTATGTCAACCCCTTCAGCGCAAGATTGAGGTCTGCATAAGTTCCCGTCAGAGACAGGAACTTGTTTCCCACTCCGAACTGGGGCCCTCCGTAAGCATGCAACCCGCTCGGTCTTGTGTTTCTTGATGTGTACCAGTCTCGTCCATACTGGTTGTAGCTGATACTACAACCATCCATAACGTCCACCGCGCACTTGCAGCAGGTCAGTCGGGTCTCAGGTCCGCACTGTACACTCGCATCGCAGCTCTGCCTGGCTTTCGCGACTGCAAGGAATGTTTCGTTCAAAAAAACCTTTCCGTTGGCTACCGTGATGTTGAGAATGAATGGTTTGTCGGCGAAGTCATAGTCCATGTAATCGGGATCAAGAATCTGAACCGGCAGGCAGTGGTACATCAGGACCCCATAGATTGCTCGTCTCACGTTCGCGTCGGGGCACTTGACCTGCGCAAAGTTCTCCGGGGAGAAGGCGAACTTGACATCTTCAACGGCAGAGATGAAAGTCGGCGAGTCAATCTCCGGTCTATCGTTCACCGCGGCAACACGGATGTTCACAGTCTTGGTCGTGATCTTAGGGTCCCTTTGTGAACCACCAGAGTTTCCGTTGTCTCCCGCTATGATCGTGTAAGTGTCCAAGTCATCGCTCTCGATCTTGAACGTCGCGGGGTCTCGCTGAGCGACAGGGATACGGTACCGACGGTTGTAGTTCAGGTCCGTCAGATACAACACTCCGTCCAACACTCGATTCATGTCAGTCAGAGATCCGAACCCACTCAGCTCCTTCGTTCCAGACGTTCCCAGCGTCTCCAAGATGGAAGACAAGGCTGTACCGTCATAAGCAAAGATCGAAGAACGACACAAGTTCGAGCCTGGCCCCGTGTACGTGCAACTCTGCCCTGACCATTTTTCGTTCCGAAAGATAAGCGGGATCGTCGAAGCATCCTTGTAAGGCCCACAGACCCCAGGGGCAGTGAAAGCTTTCCCGATGCCGTCAACGATCGGAGCCCCTGGGGAGCAGCCGCAGAGGCTGAAGGGTTCGCTCTGACAGTCAGCATCGACTGAGCAAGGTTTTGTGAGGTTTGCACAGCACCGGCAGGTACTCGCTTGTATCGCCCCCCCCTGCACGTAAGGGCTACACTTGACCAAACTAGTCGAGGCGCAAGTGAGGCAAGGTTTGCCGGATTGACAGTCGCTGCAAGGCTTGCCAAATGAAAAATTGTTGGGCGGCATCATCACAGGTAGCCCGCCACACGTTCGATCCTGAGAGGCTATCACACCGAACGTGTTCCGTCGGAATTCATCCCACTTGTTACGAGACCTGATCGAAGTTGAAACGACAGTGAGCAAGACGACATAGCACTGGAGTGCAGAGACCTGTTGAACTTGAGAAGAAATTGAGCGTTTGGACAATCACTCCGGATGTCGCAGACGCAGTTGACCTCGTTTCCTGCGCTTGCTTACAGAGCGAAGATTTCAATCAGCATTCACGTACCAGTAGGGCAAAGAGAAGTTCCCACGTTAGCCAGAGAGCAGACGCTCTTGAACTCCATGGAACCAACTCTAAAAGAGTCCGTTCCCAGACTCAAATCGCTGACAAACTTGCACCAGTCAGCGTTGTAGAAAGAAGGCAGCCATCCAGCGATAGAGAGATAGCTGTCATATTGAGAAAAAGTCAAAAGACGACAACTCTCCGAGTTCATTCATGAAATTACCTTGTCTCTTTGGTGAAATTCAAGAAAATGTTTCTGAAATAATTCAAATATAGATTGCCTCTCGTCACTGATATTGTGATGGACATCTTGTTCAACTGATACTGATTCTCCGCTGCTTTCTGCCAATCTAGATCTGCCAATGATGAGACGATGACTTCGTTCAAATCTACGTCCGAAACAACGATCCCCTTCAAACCAAACACTATGTCTTCCTGGAGGTGCGAAAGTTAAAGTGAGAAATCATGACAAAGAACTGTTCACCTGGGCAGCAAATTCAAGAAAATCAGAAGTGATGACAGGTGCATCATTCACAGCAACGATCGTAATAGGGATCTGAGTCGAAACGATCTCGGAGACTCCGTCGGCTCCCGTACTTCCCTGATCTGATACGGTCACTGTGATGTACTCGACCTGTCCTCTGCATAATTCAAAATCAGCGTGAGAAAGATCTTCGATCTGAGATCCACGTACCCCGTCATAGTGTTGTAGTTCAAAACTGTGCTGCCAGGCTGATTCACCATGGTTTGACTTTCAACTTGATAGAAGAGAACTTGGATTGCAGAGTTCACTCTCGCCAGAAAACCGCCGAAGCCGAGCCGACTGACCCCATCTGTACCCTTCTCATCCTACAGAAGCCAAATTCAGAAGATGAAAATGTTGGAGGGCTGATGCAAGTACCTGGTAGACAGCAAGACCAACTCTTGTGTTCAAACCCGTCATGCCCTTCAAGGTAGCAACGTTTGCGTCGACCTTTTTGCATTCTGGAAATGCATAGGTACACTCTTCGAAAAGATCTATATCGTCGGCTTTGGTGTTGGGAATAGCAAGAATTTTGTCAGTATCCTCGTATCTAAAAAATTGACCGAAGTGGCATTCCTCGAGCGTAGATAAAGGATTTGCAGTACAAATAGGACTCTTCTTCCATCCTGTCGTCGGATTCACGAGAGTCGGAGCATTGTTGACATCCACGATATGTACAATTTGGCTGATATTTGCCACCATCTTGCCCAGCATTTCAAGTGATATTGTCATCTCTTCAAAAGGTAGCTTTTGTGCCGTCTTTGCACTCAAGTATCTTGATTTCAACCTCAGAAAGTTTTGATTCGGCTCAGCTTTGTAAGTCAAATTTTGCATCGCTGCATCCACCATTGCATAAAGGCCGCTGAACTTCAAGATTCTGGCCTTGGGCAACAGGTTGGTCTCTTGAACGAAAGAGAACTCTACACTAGACAGAACCGCTGCGGAGGGAAACTCAGGGATGAGATTACATGTCTTGATGCTGGGGTTGCACACAGTGCACACCAAGTTGCCTGCAGCAGGGTCTGTCGCAAAGTTGGTGGACTGATCGGGACAGTACTTGTCAAGGCCATAGATTGAAACGGCTCCCCAATGGACCTTGACCGTAACGGTTATGATTTCGGTTCCATCATATGCAATTGGATCTATCGAGGGCACAGGATTTTCTTGAAAAAAGCGAGTTCCGACAGCGCTCCAAGTGTCTTCACGTGCAATCACCACAGGCTTACACTCTGCTGGCCAGTTCTGACCAGGAAACCCGTTGTTCCACTCCGCACATGCGTAGACCCCGCTGCTCATGCAGTCGCAAGTGTCTTCCTCGGCTTTCATTCTCTGCGTCGCACACGTAAACTGAGTGGAAGTATCAATCGTGCAAGTCTTGATTTCTCCCCCAGTCCATCTCCATACAGGTTTAAGCTTATTCCAACCTCCGTCGTCGTATCCTATGTAGTAGCTGCCACACCAATACTTATTCACATGCGCACCAGGTGCCGCTTGCAGAACATAATTTACAGGACCACCACACAAAGCTCCAGCTAAAGTCGTGTATAAGGTTGATCCGCATGTTGTTGTCCCCTCGGGACAGCAGAGGCCAGGATTGCTTCCTGTCGTACACTGACCTTCCACGAGTGCCAGGCGGAGGAGGAAAGGCAAGAACCTGAGAGCCTGGCTTAACGTAGCTCTCAGCATGATGAGCGGATGTTTGGACATGCTGGTGGTCAAGAGGGAACGAAGAGAGAGGGGAAGAGAGGAGGAGGGGAGTGCGGGAGGAGCGCGGCATACGCCGTCCCCGCTGCCGCCGCCATTGACTGACCCCTGACGCTCGATGCGGACAGACGCGCCAGGCCAACCCAAGCAATGACAAACCGTTGCAAGACGGTTACAGAAGGTATGGACAGGTTACAAGTTTTCATCACCGTTACAGGCTTTACTCACAGATGATCTGCACTTTGATGCGTTATTTCCGTTACTTTCAAGATGCGGGGATGAGGGCCCAGGGCGAACATGGTGGTGGTGGAGGTCGGCGGGCATGGGGTGAGGGTGGAGATGTACCAAGACGTGAAGAACTCAGGTATGTGGGGCAGGCATGCTCTTGCCGCCCTCTCAGCGAGAAGCCTTCTGCCTTGCTCCCTCCATCACCATCCTGATCATGACGGAACACTCACCTCAAGTTGCGATGTCCTTTGCTCCTTGACGGAGAATTCTGAACCTCACTGAAGTATCGTGCTGTTAAATTAGCTGCATTGAGGGAAGAGATCATCTCGAAAAAGCTACAGGTTTCTCTTCTCGATGCGAAATGGTGAGTTTGAATATGTTCTTGTTGGATCCTAAATGTCTTTGACCTGCGCGCTTTCATAGATTTTGGATGTTTTTCAAGTTCTGATAGCTGCCAAGAAAGCGTTGTACTCCGCAGACAAAAACAGTCTTGCAACACATGGTTGCAATGGAAACAGGGTGAATTCGGCAAGGATTGACTGATATTCAATCGCACAGGTCTGCACACTGAACTCATCTACTGCTTGTCGGGACAGAGGAGTATTTCGGCAGCTCTGAACACGTTTGGGGTACAGGCCGAGAGGTTCCATCGTACATGTTCGCACGTGAGAGGATGATGATGCTTGCAGCAAACATGTGGTTGTAGTCGTCATCGATGATGACGGAGAGACCTTCAATACGATTGCTACACTAATAGACGGAAAACATGTGAAGAGCGATGCTGCTGGTTTGCTGACTCTGTTGTAACACTCATTGTAGGGTAACCTCGATGTACTGAAAGATATCAGCGACACAGAGAAGATCAAGAAGATGTGCGATTGATCTCACACCACGACATAGTCCTCATTGCATTTTGTGCGCAGATATAAAGTAACGGCAGAGGAACTCTCGCACCCTTCGTCTTCACTTTTGGATTCAGTGGTACGTCGAAGATTTCGCCATGGCGAGTTGTTTACCTTGGTCATCCCAGGTCACGAGGATAGCAGCACGAGATTCTCTATGATACATGACTTGCTTTATCTGAAAAGCTCTTAAACGTGACTGAATATTGTCTCACTAAATTCCATCGCCTCGGAAATCCTCTCACGAACTTTCGAACTTCCGGGCCTTGAGTTTGTCAAATCTGCAGGCTCTCATTATTCAGGAGATTGCTGTGAAGTCATCAATGCCGACCCACCTGATATGCTCTCTGTCGAGGCAGTCGATTTTTCCTCGACCACGAAATTCTTGGAAGAGTTCGATCGTCTGCCAGCAAGGTCATCTACAAAGGCCTCCAAGGTGTGTGTGTGTGTGTACAAGAAATCTGGCTTCGAGGACAAGGGCCTCCTCCGAGGAGGTGACACTGATCGGACGGTCTCGCGGCCCTTGTACGACGGTTGGCCCGACAGGGGTCTTGCCCTCGTGAGCCTCAGCTTCAGCTCATCCTGTAGCTCCTTCATCTCTTTGATCTGCTCCCTTCAACGCAAGTCAGCACGACACGGTTGACCCCGCAGGACATACTTGGTGGGGAAGACAGTCGGGGAATCAGGAGGAGTCCGGCTGGGCGAAGCTCCGTCGACATCGCCATCGAGCTCCAATTGTAACGCTGCTGTTGCTTCCATGAGCGTGCTGATGAGCAAGTGAGTCGGCAAAAGAGTCGCGGGAGGTGAAGCCATGGCCACTCACCGATGTATCTTGTCGTTGACTTGTTTGAGAGCCCCGCTGTATTGAAAGTCGTCTCCCACTTCTGCGACTCCGTAGTGAAAAGGTCGAGAGGACAGCGCCAGATCAAACTTGGCAGTACACACCGTGAGCATTCTCAGCCTCTGCACCGTCTCTTGGTGTCTCTGGTTGGAGATTCCTCGATGAGGTCTGTATCATCGTCGACATGAGGTAGTTGGTGTCCTTAGATGCAGACTCTTCTGCCGGGAGCGACGGCTGCGAGAAGTTGAGTTCTTGTGTACTCAAGCAGTCGAATCAGATTCAGTCACCTTCCTCTCACTGTTTCCACGGAGTTTTGAAAGTACAGAGGCCACAGCACCATCGCCTTGCTTGTATTCGACTGCCGCGGTAGCGTCTGCCAAGAAGATCAGATTGTCCTCTTCAACTGTGTCCTCAGACTTTGAGATCCAGCGCTGAGGTCTCGATTCTTTATCTGGAGCAGCAAACGTTCAACCGATGACGAGAGGGGGGAGAAGGAGACGTTACCTGATCCATGGCCTTGTCGCGAAGCGTCTCTTGGTAGTCTGGCTTTTGTGGTGCGTAGATGAGACTGTGCCTGCATAGGAAATGAGACCCATTCGCTTATGAGGTATGTCAGTGCAGCTTACATGGATTCGTAGACATTCTTCCTTGCGCTCTCAAGAGCTTCTTTCAGATTGTTCAACGTCTTTTCAAATTCATCTTCGCAATCAATCAATCAATCAATCAGTGGGCATCTTCGAGAAGAAGGCGTCACCGATGGACAAGATGCTTGCCAACTCTTTGTATTGCCTCTTCTGATCCAGAGTCACCCCCCCGCGGTCCAAGATCTCGTCGGTTGCGTTGCTTCCATCCCCAGACTGCAATCAGGTCGCAACATTCACACTTCCCTTTCAAATCTTCTTCATGCCAACAGCCGACCTGAGTTTGTGCTCGAGCACCTCGGATGTCCTCGTTGTCTAGACTGTCTACAGCCTGAACATCCAAGTCTGTGAAGAGCAAGGGAGTGGCAAGGATTCTACCGTGAGGTACTTTCTTATGCTCTCTTCGTATCCCTTGAAACTACAAATAGGGTTTCCTGCCACACAGTTATGCTGTTCACGCACGTATGGACTTTCAGACCTTCGAGTTTCAGATCGATCAGCGAGGTCAGCCCTGCCATTAGCTCCATCTCTGAAAGAAAGAAGGCGATCAACTTTGCTCGTCCCATGGCTGGAATTGGAAGGAACCTCGTAACTCCGCCAAGTTGTTTCCGCTGAGGTCAAGAAATTCCAGGCCAGGGCAAACCTAGCATAGCGACCCGATCAGCTCAGGCGGCAAACGAAGCAAAAGAACGAAAATCACCGTTAGGAGGGTCTCTGAAGCCGTTGTCACTTGATTGTGTGAGATGTACAATTCTGCTAGGTGAGGAAGTCTAGTTGTCGAACGTCAATCACAACTGCGCAACAGGAGGATACACTGACTTCGGCAGCCCACGAATGTCAGAGATGGCGTTATGGTCCAATCGAAGAATTTCGAGATTTACACATGTCTTGAGACCCTGACAGGAACCGAATCAGTCTTGACGGGTTGAGCTTCACCTGATGTCTTGCCTGGACTGACGCTATCTCGTTGTTGGACAGATCGAGCTCACGAAGTCTGGCCAGCGCGCTCATGCCCTCGATGACTCGAATGCTGGAAGTCAAAGGAGGTCAAGACTTGGCATCCGACACATGATGCGGGACACCTGTTGAAAGACATCGAGAGGCTTTCAAGGCACTTGAGCATACCCAGCCCTTCCAGGCGTGTCAAGTGATTCTGAGAAGCGTCAAGCCGCGTCAGCATGACGAGGGAGTCCAGCCCGCTGATCTGTGTCAGGTTGTTTCCGTCCAAGCACAAGGTCTTCAATTTCTTGTTGTCTCGCAGACTTTGCTTGCCGATCGTCTCAACCCTATTGATCTCTAGGTGGAGAGCTTCGAGCGCAGTCAGCTTCATGATTCCATTGAGCACTGTAATCTTGATGGATGTGCGTGTAAGTCAGGGACAGATCAATTGAATCATTCACCTTGTTACAAGTTAGCTTCAGTTCCCTCAACTGGTAAAGGGACTCTAGTCCCTTCATGGATGTTATCCGATTATACGAAAGATCTAAATTACGAAGCATGTGCATCTTATTCAATCTGGTGATATTCGATATCCTCAATCCCACCAGAGAAAGGGATAGGAGGCGGCCAGCATCCGAAACGTTGGAGTTATAGAGTGCCTCGTCGATCATCTCTCCTGAGATCTCCACTATGTTCTTTTCCTCGTCTTTCTCATTCTGAAAGAAACCCAAGCCTCCGTTCGGACGGTCGCGCTTGAGGATTTCTTGAAAGTTGATGGCTACCGAGGCTGAGGACCTCAGGCTGAGGTTTGATTGATCCAGAGACTTGCTTGCCCCTTCCTCGTCCACCGCCTCACTCGCACTGTGTGATTCATCGAGAGACAAGGGCATGTTTGCAGGAACTGATTCCATCGTGTGTTAAGTTAGATCTTACGACACATCATGCTGTTCCAAGGAGACCTGGTGGAGACATCATATCAGGAAATACCACCACACAGCATTCCATTGTGTTTAATCTGCCATTTGTCCTTCCTTCCTCTCCCTCACCCCCTCTCTCCCTCTCTCCCTTGCGATCCTCGATCGAACCCTCGAAACTTGCTCCTTCTTTGGATGCTACACCACCTCTCCCATCTAACTCTCTCTGTTCCTTTTGGGCCTAGGTGATCAAATCTACTTGTGATGTGCTCACATCAGCTCTCCTGTTCTCTGACTCTCCTCGCCATCATCATCGAAGCCCTCCTGCCCCTACCCCTGCTCCCCTGCTCCCAAATCGCCATGGTCAAAATTTTTCAACCCGTTGGTCAGAGAGGGGATGAGGTTGGGTGTATCGAGGTTGAGGGCGATGAGTTCCGTGGGGATCATGGCGAACCCTCAGCGCATTGGTGAGATGCGGCGGGATGGCGGAGGAGGACAGGAGAGGGACATGGGACGAGGATGGGGAGGAAGAAGAGGAAGAGGAGAGAGGTTCTGCTCGCCTCCCAGCCTTCCTGTGCTCCCCTTCCCCCCCCGCCCTGCCCCCTCTGCTGTTAAGAAGATGGCCCCTGCTCGCTGTGTGGCGTATCTATGGGAGGGGAGATGCGAGGGCCCGCCATGGAGGGCGAGATGTCAGTCGAGTCTGAGCACTTTTCATAGACAAGGCAACGTTGGACAACATGGGCAAGAAGGAGGTGCTGGAGGCGCTGCAGTCCATTGCGTCCCTTCAGTTCCTGCAGGACTTGAAGCTGGCAGGTGCTTGCTGGCCCTAACCGACCTCGAGACTCAGAGCTGCTTCAGGTTCCGCCAGTAGCGTGCTCAAGAAGGCGAACAAGGACAAGCTGGTCGAGGCCTACGAGCTCTGCTTCGAGAAGGGCGCGTTTGGCACGGAGGAGGAGCGACAGGCCGAGCGACTTGCGCAGGAGATGGAGAAGGCGAAGCTCGAAGAGGCAAAGAGCGCCAACCAGGCAGACAAGAGTACTAGATGCCGTGTTGCGACATGACAAGCTGATGACGCGGCGAGCAGGCAAAGATAAGGAAGAAGCACAGGAGCAAGAGCCCAAGGGGTACAAACTCGTTATGATCAGCAAAGGAAACAAGATGAATTATCCCAAGAAAGGCGACAAAGTGAAGGTGAAGGCATCATACGTACATTCTTGAAGCCGACGATGTCTTCAGGTCAACTACCATGGAACGCTGCTTGACGGGACTGTCTTCGACAGGTCATTCCCATTGCAGTTTGCTCAGTGCGGATTGTAAGCGTGCCCGCAGCACCACAGATGAGGAGTTTCTCAAGAAGAACAAGAGGAAGGCTCAACCTCTGACTTTCAAGGTGTTGCCATCAAGCCGGGGAGGAGAATGGGGCGAAGAGGACTGACTGAGAGGCGATGCTGAGGCGAAGAGGACTGACTGAGAGGCGATGCTGAGGCGAAGAGGACTGACTGAGAGGCGATGCTGAGGCGAAGAGGACTGACTGAGAGGCGATGCTGAGGCGAAGAGGACTGACTGAGAGGCGATGCTGAGGCGAAGAGGACTGACTGAGAGGCGATGCAACAGGTTGGCTCGAACCAAGTGATCAGAGGGTGGGACGAAGCTGTGCGGGAGATGAGCGTGGGAGAGAAAGCGACGCTCACCATCGAGCCGTCATGGGCGTACGGATCCAAGGGAGTGCCTGAGGTCATGCCCCAGTCACTCAAGGGAGGACGGAGGAAGGTGACGTACTTGTGCAGGCCGGGATCCCCAAAAACGCAACTCTCGTGTTCGAGATGCACCTTGTCGGGATTATTTGAGGGCTGCCGGGCTGGCAGACGTCTCAGTTGTCAAGTCTTTAATGATTTTCACTCCCACAGAAGAACATATCATTTCAGTCTTGTGAACATTTTCATAGCACTTCAGTCTTGTGAACATTTTGCTTACAATAAAAAAATAATCAACACTCATAACCCTTCTATAGAACGTCCAGGCTGCGAATAAACTAGTGAGTTAATGCCCCTCCGCTGCAAGATCTCCGACGATATCCATCGCTTCGTCGCTGACCCGCGAGGCCTGGAGGAGAAGTCAGAGCTGCATGTCTTCTCAGACAGAAGCGAAAACCTGCATAGCAGACCGCGAGAACCCGGTGGATGAGTGACCCTCCGAGCTTCTTAACCTCTCCGATCTGAACGAAGAATCTTTCCTTGCTGCTTTCTGCTTTTCAGCCTGATCCCCCGCCTGCTGCTTCGGAGATGCTGCTGCCCTGCTCTGCTTCACCTTCGGCAACTCTCCATGGCTCTTGGCGAAGAAGATAGCTGCTGCCTGTTGAACATGGATGTGAGAAAACTGAGTGCCAAGAAAGACAATTCAAGACCTCGTCCTTCTGCTGCTGATTTCCAGTAACGAGCCAGTCCTGGAGTTGAGCATCTGTTGGTCCTTTACCCTCCGCATACTAGGATTGTACTTTGTCAAAAACAAGGGGGTTGGAACACCCAAGGGTCACCTTCTTGATGGCTTCCTCATCTATGGTATGGGAGTCCGGACAGATACGACTCACGACAACACAAGCAGAGTCACAACAGCGCTTCGCCTGTCAGGTTTGTGTCAATGAATAGAAGCGCAAATTCTGCGTGTCTTACCCCCTTGATCATCTTCGGTTGTTCAGTATGTTGTGCGAGGAGTTTGTGTTTCTTCGCTTCTTTCTTGGCATCCTTGACGACAGGGTAGCTGTAGTTGTCCTGGTCACATCCAAAGTCGTCCTCGTCATTGCATTGTCGTCACCTGTGATCCTCTTCGTGCTTGTACAGCATGGCAGCAGCTTCCTTCTTCTGAGCGTGACTGCCCGAGATGAGATACTGGGAAACCAATCACGTCAATCGGATCGTGCGCCATCAAATGTTCAGATCAATCACTTCAATCAGCTCGTGCTGGGTGGCATCCTTCGGGATCGCTCCAGCTGGTAAGCTCACAGCTTTGGGAGCCTCGACTTTTGCTGATGACACAACTTTGCCCTTCAATGCAGGATGTAGAGTTCTTTCCACATTCTGCTGTTTCGAAGCGAGCTTCTTCTCTGCATTGTGAACGGAGGTTATTGATCATTCTAGATTCCAACATTCTACAACACAGACCTGCGGTGCTAGGATGCAATGGCTTTTGTGCCGCGTTTGCAGCCGCAACGCTTGTTTGTTGAGCGTTGCCTGAAGTCCGTGCCCGACTGTGCGCAATTGCTGCTGTTGCAACTAGAGAGCATAGTGAATCAGTTTCCATGTCACATGGTGGTGCAATAAAAAGTCAACCTTCTTGAGCAGCTCTCTTCAGCGTCTCCGGCACAATATGAGCAGAGAGGAAGCTTCCTGCATCAGATTCCTGGGGATTCTTGTCGAGAGCAGCATTCTTTTCGACCTTCTCATTGCGCTGCTTCTCCGCCTCAAGCTTGGCGTTAATCAGCTTCTCCTTCAATTCGGCATTTTGAGCTTCTTCCTTGGCAAGCTTAGACTCCAATTCCAGCTCCTTCATCCTCAGCGTCTCCGTCTCGACATCCGAAGTTTTCTTCGCATCTTCTCCATGCTGAGCTGAAGATTCCTTGGCACTTGACAGCACTTGGCGCCTGTCAGGATGGGAAGACAGAGCACCAGCATGGGCGCCCGCATGAGACGAGCGGACTGATTTGCCTGCGGCTGGATTATTCTCGTTCATGGTGACTGTCCCGGCACTACCTGGATATCTTTCCTGATGCAATATCTTCGCCCAAGCTTTGTTGCTGCCAGAGCCCCATGCTGCAAGCTCTGCTGCTGCTTCGCCAGGAGACTTCGCATCTGCCCCAGGTTGGAATTGACCTTGAAACACTACCTGAGACTGCATCTGAGGGGCAGAGGCAACAATGGCATTCGAGAGCATGGAGTTGTGCTTTGACAATTGATCTGTTGCTTCCATTTCGATCTTTCGCTCCATCTGCTCCATGGCACGTTCTTCAGCCACCTTCTTCATTTCAAGTCTGGATAAAAGTTGTGAGAGGTATAATCTTTTTCTGAGGAAGTTTGAAGATGAAACACCTTCTCTGCGCCAATTCCTTTCGTTCATCATTCAATCTCTGCTTTTGAATGGCGAGCATGGAAGAAGATTTCGACTTCTTTGCCCTCTTGTTAGCAATCCTGCAATACGAGGATCCAATCTTAATGCCGACAGAAGAAACATGATAGGTATTCACCAGTCATGAGATAGTTGCTTGTCGAATGCTCGAAAATCTATCTGTCTCAACGAGGTTGATTCTCCCACACTCCCTTGGTTGTTGACCCAACATATGGCTATGATACAGGCAACAGCCAACACACTGGCCAGAACGACTCTTATCTTCCTGGAGTCCATCGATTCCTGACGGCTGCGAACATCAAGTTAACGACATGTCGGATTTGTTTTCCTTCCTCCACCCCCCGCTCCCCACCTTCCCCTACTATTCCCACCTTTTCGCATGATCTCTTCCTCAAACTCCTCATCGCCATCTCCCCTCTCTCCCTCCATCACCTCCCCCTCCTTCCTTGTCCACTTACCCCTCAGGCATGGACGAATATCGTTCTATTTCTGGTATGGCCCTCGTCCCCACTCATAATAATCATCACCCTCATTCTCATCAGAAATTTTCAAGCCCCTCATCTCCCCTCAGTCCCATCTCAAGACGTTATGAATTATGGGGTGGGTGGTAACAGCTCAAGTCCGATAGGTACCCCCAATTTGTCCTTTCCAATGATGGGTACTTTTGGGATTGTGTTGGGGTGCCTGCCTCCAAAGGGAGGGTCATGGTGGAGGCGGGGGGGAAATGGGGGGTGGGGGTGCAAGGGGAGGCGGGGGGCCATTTGGTGGTGCGGCAGCATGGCGGAGGGTTGGAGCAGAGAATGGCGCTAGGGACGGAGGAACGAGTTTGTGTGTGGAGAAGAGTACAGTGAGGTAGCTCAAGAGGTAGGTGATAAGGGTGAAGCGAGAAGAAACAACGAGGAGGAGAGCATGTGGAAGGTGGAGAGGAGGGAAAAGTGAACTAGAGGGAGTACGGGGTAAAAAGTCGCAAGGAGGGAGGAAGGTTTGTAGTTGGGAGGCAGGACGAGAAGAGCTGTAGAGGGATACGATATCTGAGGATAAATGAGTAGGTAGTGAAATGGGTGGGAAGAATGAAATCGGTGCAGAGGGCAAAGAATGAAAGATTTAACGGACATTCGCGTTTAGACGAATTAATGTTTGAGTAGAGACAGCAATAAGAGAGAACGACAGGCGAAATCATGGACTAAGACGAGCCATATGCTGCAAAGTGCTACTGCCTCCTAGACGTGGTGATATCACATAACATAAGTAGAGGGCGGATCGAAATAATCAGGGATATCTTCAAAAATACGATTGAGGGCTTCAGCATGTGGAGTACGAATGGGTAAATGAAATTGCCGTAAGATGCAAGATGAATAGGTAGAAGCATATGAATAGAGACGAGAAGAAAAGCAAACACGAGAAACAGGGTATGAAGACATCCGACAAGCTCTGACATCACAGCAGGAGTGCTGATTCGAGCTGAACAATGAAATAATCGGTGTGGTTGACGCAAATGGAGCAACCAAAAAGGGCTCACCCCCGAGGACGTGTCAAACCGAACCTTGCTCTGCTTGGCAAGAAGGTGTTTGTCACTCCGACAGACAAGTCCAGCCAGAACGAAACCGCTGCCGATGAGTCTCCATTGCCGGAGAACTCCAACGAGGGCGAACAGAACGTAAGCCTACCAATATCTTGCAACACAGAGTGCACTCAAGCATCGAGCCCAAAGTCAGTTCAGGAATCTGTGAATGGGGAGAAGGGCGATCTCCATCAAAGCCCTGACCCCAAGGAGTCGGACGTTCATAGTGCACGTAGCACCCAAACTGCCGATGCTCCATCGGGTGCCGGCAACGCCCAGCAACAAGTATCAGAAAGGTCTGGCTCACAAGTCCATTCAGACGGTGCTGAGAATGCAGCCAGTAGCGGTATGGTCTTTGCCTGTAAGGTCTGCCTCCGTTGGTGTGAACGTGAACTTGCAGCCAATGGTGCCAATGACGCCCAAGGCGGGTCGGAGGCAGAGAGTTCAGCGACGAGCCAAGGTGACTCTTGTTGTCTTGTCTCGATCTCATCTCAACATCCTAGCGAAACGTGCGCATCCTCGAGGGCGAGTAGCGCCAAAGATCGGAAGCAAAGTCTTCTCAGCTCCATCGGCCAGCAAAGCAGCAGGTGTGTACCAGCGCCGGTAGCTGATTGACCCCTCACATCCTCCTCCCTGCTTTCTGTTGTTTCAGAACCACCCGAATCTCCGACAAGGGCTGAGACGAGTGAGACGCAGCTGGAAGTGGTGATCCTCTTGCGGATTCACCGGGTGAAGCAGACCAGTTGACTTTCCTTGACCAGCCCACACCAACCGCCAATGAGGAGTCAGCTCCAGCTGCTGATCACGGAGAGCCCGAGGTAAGCGATCAAGGCTTTCTTCTATGAGCCTCTGCCAACCCTCTCTCAGCAAATGACACAGGTTGACCAGGTCAGCTCAAGTCCAGCTGCCCAAGTTGAGGCTGGATCTAATCAGTCAGGTACTCGCGTTGTCAACTTTACGATTCGGATCTGACGTGCATTGCATCTTTGCAGAAGCAAAGAAAAGCCGAGCTCATCCTCGAGGAAAGTAAGAAGATGTGCATGGATGTGCCTTCTCTGAACCGTCGATCTTTATCCGTGAACTTGGTTAAACTATCTCTTGTTGTAGAGCCGTTCCAAAAGTGTTCAAGTCAAATGCGAAATCTGCTCAAGACGCTGAAAAATCAAGAGAGAAAGTCCCTAGCACAGATCAACAATTACCGTCAACGAATGAAGGCGAATCAGGTTGTCAGTTGATCTCGATTGTGTCGAAATTAGGATACTGCATATCGTGTTTTGCTTCTCTGTTATGTCCTGGTTTCTGGAGTGTGTGTAACTTTTGTATTTAAGTAGCTGCTGAAGGCTCTGAAAGAGATACGGTTGCAACAACAAGAGAAGAAGAAACAATCTCGTCAGCAAGAGGGCGAGATCCAGCTCAGTCATCGCGACAAACAGCTTCGTCATCAGCTGCACGAAACTCGGCTGGAGAGGGGGAGGAACAGTCCTTTGAATTGGACGCCTTGGCTTCCGCAGGTACGAGAGACACTTGATCGTGAAGTGAAAGCCATTCATTTCATTCTTCCTATCCTTATCGTTTCTTTCCTTGCCACAGCGAGCGCTCAGTTGAAGGAGATAAGTTCCTCAGCCCGTCGATCTCAGGAGGGCGCCAGGCCTTCTTCCTTGCCTCAAGACAACCAACAGCAAGACGAGGATCCGTAGCTGCTCCTCTTAGAGACTGGCCGTTGCTCATCGTGAGATGCAGGACGTGTGCATCGGAGGAAACGACGAGGACAAGGCGGGCTCCAAAGAGAAATCGAAACTCAACGGCAGCTGGAGATGTTCCCAGCTCGCTTGCATCGGGACAAGTGAGTTTGACCATGAGGGGCCTCCGGCGATGGTTTGACAGGCTGGTTTCGATAGAGGGACGAGTCTGAACCTCGCACTGAAGTCTCGCCGTCTGGCACAGCACAAAACAGTCCAGCTGAGAAACCAGGTGGGCAGAACGAGCAGATTGGAAGGGAGGGGTGATATTGTCAAGCAGGCCGGAAGAAGAAGTCGAATAAGAAGAAAGCTGCAGCAGAATCACACAATGGGGACGGAGACACACAAAACGATTCAACAACGGGCAATGAGGGTGCAAGTGTGAATGGCAAGGCAGCAGAAGGAGGAGGTTGAGAACCGATTTCATGACGTCCTCTTGACAAGTCGCAGCAGGAAAGAAGCGAAAGGCCTCGGCCAAGGGCAAAGGCGTCTCCTCTGAAAGCAACGACCCCAACGCAGAACCAGCCTCAGCTGTGCAGCCTCAGTCACCCACAGCAGACTCTACCTCAGGCAGCACGAGCAAGAATGTCAACGGGGGCAGGAAGTCAGGTGGTCTCGTTCCTCCTGCTAGGGGATCTTGACGTGCTCACTCCGCCATGGCAGAGAAACCTCGGAACTCGCGACCTCCTTCCACCCCCGAGAAGTCGGTGGAGCAGCGGACGATCCGCGAGCTCATGCGTGACCCTTCCTACGGCATGCCCATGTCGGCTGAGGGGCAGGTCGCCCATGCCTTGTGTTGGGCCTCGTGCCCGGTGGCTCTGACTGCACATGCAGGCCAGGGCAGAGAAACGGAGGAAACGAACTGGAGAACCGAACCAGCCGACGAGCTTTGTACGTGATTGAAGCAGACCACGAGGAACCCTGACGCGTCTGAACTTGACAGGAAAACGACGCGCCGGAGTCCCAAGTCGACAACTCAAGTGTCATGGCCCCGCAGGTGCGCCTCTCCTCCCCCCCTTGTCGCCGCCCGGTCACGTGACCTGCTGCAGGTCCGGACGGTCGGGGGGCGCATAGTGATCGATGACAGCAGCTTGACGATCAGCAATGCGACTGAGAGGTGAAGTATCTTGTTCCATTCTCGTCTCCTGGTCTCATGCTCTGCTGCAGCAATCTCGACATGTCAGATGTACGATTTGACTGACCTTCCTCTCTCTTACATCAGCCTGCGCCCTTGTCCCTCACCTGCTTGTTCTTTTCTTTCCTCTCCTCCCTCTCTCCTCCTCTCTCCCCCTCTCTCCCCCTCTCTCCCCCTCTCTCTGCCTCTTCAACTCTCTCGTTCCTACTAGCGCCTCGTTCACTGCAGCAACAGATCGTTCTTGACCAGAGCGGTCGCGGAACCAACGCCTGGAGCAAGAAGAGGAAGGTGGGAGCTCCAGGTTTCGCTCTCCATGCTCACTCGTCGTCAGCATTGCGACCGTTGGACGGCAGAAGAAACCGAAAGATTTTACGTCGGGCTCAGAAAAGTAGATCTTCTTCCCTGCGAGGTGCTGGCCACTCACACTCTGCTCCTCAGTTCGGCCTCGACTTCCAGCTGATCGCCTCGTGGATGGGAGATCGGCGAAACGACAGGCAAGGAGGAGGAGGAGAAGAGGAGGTGGAGGAGGAGGTGGAGGAGGAGGAGGAGGAGGAGGTGGTGGTGGTGGTGGTGGAGGAGGAGGAGGAGAAGGAGGTGGTGGTGGTGGTGGAGGAGGAGGTGGTGGTGTTGTTGTGGTGGTGGTGGTTTTGTGGTGGTAACAGAACCACAGGAGACACGTGAGGAACAAGTTCAAGAAGGAGGAGCGACTCAACCTCGCTAGGATAAACCAGGTGAGACCTCTCCACGTCTTCAGCTCCTTCCTGCCCCTTACCTGCCCTCAAGGCTATCGCAAACCGCATGCCCGTCAACGACGAGGACTGGAGGAAGGTGCGTCATAGGAGAGTCTCAGTCCGCCTTGTGAGACTAGTCCAGGTGAAAGGACTCGGACCGGAGACGCTCGGACAGAACTCCAAGTGGGTGGAGGAGGAGGAGGAGGAGGAGGAGGAGGAGGAGGAGGAGGAGGAGGAGAGACTTGAGACGAGGGAGGATAGCAGCATCATGCTTACAGCCGGCTTCCAGGATTCCGGCGCAAACGCCAGGAGCAGAGGAGGCTGCAGGTCTTCCAGGTATACGCACATGCTGAGGGCTGTTTATCATGCTCATCCATGTTCGAATCAGGAACGCCGAACGCTATGGAGCACGAGAGCGGAAGCGACTTGCCTGAAGACGATGCCAACGAGAGCGACGACTATTGAGAGGAGGAGCGACCTGTGTACTTGTAGAATACTATACCGTAACTAAACACCAGCTGCAAGCCGTTCAATGTGTAAAGCTTTCCGGTGACGGTGTGGCCCCCTGCAGAAACTTGAAAGCCAGCTAACTTGCCAGAAACTTAGAGTCGGCCATGGCGCGGCCGCCCCGCCCGCGCTGCATGATGGGTCTGCCTTCAGTGTGAGTGCCAGGGCCCTGCGGCGGCGGGCTGACTCAGTTATGATCATCCTTGTTGGGCGGCCCGGGCTGGCACTCCGATGGCAGCGGCCGGGCCCCGGTTCGGGGCCCTGCTTGCGCCGGGCCCCGACCTGGTGGGGCTCCCTGGTGCCCGACTGGTGCCCGACTCACTGGCCCGACACCGTAAAGGATGAGTGGGGATGGGGGACGCATAAGTATACTGGAAAGAATGGTGGCGTGATGGCGGGGAGGGAGGGGGGCGAGCGGGGAGAGGAGGATCTTTCTTCTCTTCCTCTTGTCTTGTGGAGCACAGACGACGAGTCTGAAGAGAACTCGGTAGAGAACGAGCACGAGGAAGCAGCACGAGAGTTCAGCAGAACTTTTTCTTCCCTCCTGCCCTCCAGCAAGCTAGGATTCGTCACCTATGTGGTCCGGGGAAGGGACGGGGAAGGATACTCAGCGCGAAGGGGTCAGCTCACAGAGGATTGCAGAATTATTCCGCTCCATGGCAAGTATGAGAGTTCGAGCACAAGGGTGGATGGCTCAGACAGGATACCACGAGCAATTCGAAGTAGCAGTGTGGATAAGATCTCGACTCTGTACGACTTTGATGTCTCAATCAGCCTCGAGCAGTGGCTTTCTCTGGTCAAGCAGGAGAGCAGTAGGAAGGCTCCTCTTTCCAGGAACTGGCAGTGAGTCACGTAGACACGCTGCGTGCAAGAGTTGAAACTCGTTCATGTAGGTCACTTCCGATCGACGAGCTGAGGCAGCTAGCGCTCGAGCGAGGGATGGGAGAGGACTCCAAGGAAGCGGAGCGAATCAAGTTAGTGAAGTTCTTGCGTGAGGTATCTGCATCCAACGCCGAGGTTTCATCGAACTGACTTTATTGCAGTGGGACCGCGAGTACAGAGTCCGCTGATGCCTGCTGGTCGTTAGATCCGCGGGTTCAAGAAGTCAGGGATTGGAATGCGAATCCTGCGCGCCATGTAAGAATGTATCCATAAAGACACAGACATCTCGTCACTGGAATCCGTTGGTGAACAACTTGTGTGCGATATCCAGCGCCTGGCAGGGGTGGACTGGGTCAAGTTCTACCAACCCCGAGAATGGCAGCAACCTTCAAGGCCCAAGGGCGCGCTTTCTCCCAGAACTCCAGGATCTGCGTGTTCCTCTCACTCTCAACCCCCTCTCCTTCCTCGCAGCAGTAACCTTGTTCTTCATCTTCTCATGCGCCTTGGCTGGAGGGAGAGGCTTCTTTGCAGTAACGTACCTGCCCCGTGGTGTCAGGGTTGTGGGTGATCTCGTTCAGCAGGAAGCAACGAGGCAACCACAGGCTCTCCCTACCAGGTTCGCTTCACATTGAAATCGTCGCGCGGAGATGTTCCATTCGGGCTGACCTGGGAGGGGGTTGGAATTTCAGCCTTCACAATATCGAAGAGCGGGAGGTATTCTGAGTCACATAGCTCAGATCCCATCCTTCTGCGATCTCTGGATTGCCGAGCTCCTACGAGAAGGTGAACGAGACAAGTCGAGGGAAAAGCTCCAACTCAGCAGTACACCTGTTCAGCTACGTCTGTCCAGCCCCAAGTCTCCAAGAATCGTGCTGGGGAGTCAGTTCCCCATTGCCAACGGCTCCCATTCGTTGCCGCCGCTGCACTCACAGCACTCAACCCGATCCCTTGCGCAAACATGTCAAGACCAGACATCTTGTACGATCGCAACTTACGGGACCCGGGTGCTGTTACGTTGGAAATCTGGGTCATGATCCTCTGCACATCGTCTTCTACCTGTTGGCACCACGTGCATCAGAAGATAGGGGGCAGGACATTTGCGGGAGGTTCAACTCACAAAGTAGTAGAGAAATCCTTCGAGTAGGAAACACGATGGGTATTGTGACTGGAAGCCGTATCCTGCCGTGACTCTAGTCAGACGGACCTCAGCTCGTAAAGGGCCCTCACTCTTCAATACGCTCATCCAGTCCTCAACCATGACGTCAACGCCGATACGGAAAGTGAGCGGGAGCTTCATGCTTCGGGCCTTCAAGTACCAACGCACGTGACAAGTCAAGTTGAGTCGTTCAACATGGCTGTGGTCACCATGTGAGAGTCCATCCCGGCTCGTCTCAAGATGCTGTTCTTCTTGTTGATGATCTCGGGGAGGTCAAGCTCCCAGATCGTCAGCCGCTGCCCGTCCATCAGCTCTCTTGGCGTCGAGGGTGGAACCTCCGCCCAACGGAAATCCCGACCCCGCAAAGCCCTCGCATCAAACCCGGCGCCGATCAACACAACCTGTTGGTGTCATGTGATGCGACAGTAGAGAAGCAGCTGTAACCTCTTACCTGCTTGATTCCAAGCTCATGTACTGCTTCGAAGATCAACTTATCAAAGAATTTCGTCCGAACGGCAATGCGTGCAAGCTTTGGGGGTTCTAGTTTGACAGTTTCCTCAAGCTTCGAAGGACACGTATCTCTTGCAAACAGAGCTGCGTAGGGATCGTCGATAAAGGACTGATTCACCAAACTAACAATGCAACCACCATCAGACGCAAGGATACGGAGCTTTCTCAGAATCAATCTTTACCTCACTGCTGCTCTGTATGCAGCTATGGAGCCCGCTGTTGCTGTGATGTTCAATCCAGTGTCCTCCAAGTACCTATCTGCTCCCTTCCATGCCCTCCCTGCTGATGGTTCGGCCATGGTGGAACTTCCGCCCCTTAGAGCCTTGAGTGCATACTGTGCTTGCAAACAGGAGCCCGCAGGAGCATCGCAGTTCACTGTTCCTACACCGAGAAAGACAAGGAGGAGGAGATGTTGCGGCCATGAGCTCTTGCTTGCTCTATATTCTTCTCTCCCTCTTCTCACCATGTCGCCTCCTCCGTTCCCCGCCATGCCGACAGGATCTGGCAGGAAAGTAGACCGGGCGCCCGAACGTCAGTGGAAAGGCAGCAAAAATATATGGTACATAATGTAATATAAGTTATATACTGTCCTGGTCCATGTCCAATTTAATTTGCTGAGGCGGTTTCCCCTTCTTCCTCGCTCATTCTTTTAGTCAGCGCACTGAAAAATGGTGACCAGGTAGCTCGCCCATGCCCTCGTCCTCCTGTCATGCTTCTACCCCCCTTCCTCTGTCCTTGCCGTCCTCGACATCCTTCTCTTCTGCGCCTTCATCTCTCCCCTCCTCCTGCGTTCTCCTCCTCTCTGAGTTTCCTTGGTTTCGTCGTTTGTTCTGGCGTGCAGGCTGTGACCTCTCTATCGTCTGGTATGATGATGGGAGGGATGAAAGGGAGGACGGACGAGAGGGCATGAAATATTTCATGTCATGCGATGTTGGACTAGAAGTGAGGGGGAGATGGAGAGAGGAGACACAGACACAGGCACAGGCACAGGGAAAAAGTGGATCGAATCAGATCGCGTTCTAGCTGACAGCTCTTCGTGTAGGTGTGGAAGAGACAGCTCCGGAGACTGTGATCGGATGAAGATGAAAGCAAGATGAGGAGCTAATAACGAAATGTCGAGCAACCCATCAGATCCCTTCACACTGTGGCTGTCCAAGCTGGACAGCATGTCATCAGACTTGCAAACTGAGCAGAGAGAAGTTGGGCTTGCTGGGTCAGGCATGGACAACCTCAAGTCATGGTTCACCGACTCGATGCCGGCACAACTGACCAACAAGCATCATTCGGATGGAGATCTGATAAAATCACTGCAAAAGCTGGTGAGACCTTTGTGATGATGAAGAGAAGTTTGTGACTTGGGTGCACTGAACGGCGTAGACGGCGCGAACCTTCGATCCTGTGGAGCCGATGTCGTGCTTCCATCCTCCTTCCATCTTCTGCTGACGCGCTCCTTCAACAGGAAATCGAATAGCAACAGCTGGCCCTGGCCATCTCAACAAGATCACGACGCCAGAGAACAGCCTGTAATTGCACGTGTCACCGAGTATCATGAGCTGAAATTTTGAAGTTGCTGGCCAAACTCAAGCCGAGTGGTCCGCCGAAAACTCTTTGCAGGTTCAAAAGAGGAGGAGGATTGGTGTGCCTTGTTATCGTTGAGCTCGCTATGCAACAGAGATCTGCCCAAGAAAACTTCCAATCCTTACGCTCACAGCGTGCTGCGCACTCCTTCCGCCGTGGCCATGGCTTCGAGAATAGAGGCCGAGGAAAGGATTCGTTCCCTTGAGATCTTCGTCTGCCTCATTTTCCTCTCTCCAGGTCTTTGTCGAGCAGCCCAACTCTTGGCGCACGCCTGATCCTACCCCTCGCTATTCAGCTCGAGAGCATCGCAGCGAGGAGGTGCTGAAGACTTCAAGGAGGTGAGCGAAGGGGAAGGAGTGAGAGGTTGCAGAGGATAGACAAGGATCAACGACGGGAGGAGCGCGGGAGTGCATCAGTGTAGCGTTTCGCTGTCATGGTTGACTGTGCTGGACAGTTTGCACAGTGCTTTCAACTCCAAACTCAATTCCAGGGACGATATTACCATCCTGTCCGGAGAAAGATTTGTAGAGAGTTTGGATCTCCCCAAGTCAGCCAGATCTCCGAGCAAGTCTGTAGATCTCGAAGGCATCAAGAATCAGGTTTTCATCGTCCACTCGACGCCGAGTCAATTGACATCATTTCAGGTTAGGAAGCTCTCGTCGCACTTGTCTCCTCAAACGCGATCTTATGAGTGAGTCAATCATGAGTGGATGAGTTTTACATACTGTTGTGCTGACTTCGCATGGTGCGCTTCAAGAAACGGTCCCATGACACCATCATCCCAACAGCAACTCTGCCGAGACATCACGCCAGGAATGAGGTGAACTAACTGTCATCGCCGCTTTGATGTTGATTCAAGCTTGCAACTTAGGAACGGGGAGCTGTGGCATCAAGACCTTCAAAAACGACTGGAGAATCTCCTCTCACCCCTCAACTCATGGAAATGACCGCATGAGTCCATATTCTTTCACTTTACATTTCTTTTCTGTAAAACAACAAAATATCCCCTCTGAGACATTTGTATGCGAAAACCTCAAACACTGCTCATATGTCGCTCGCTCGCAAAATCAAAACATACATGGACGCCTTTCCAAGTTTTATTTTCAAAAAATTGGCTTAGATGATTCCAATCTTGTTGGCAACATCGAGAGCATCAAAATCCTGTGTCAAGCGCACATATGCCTTCTTGACCCCGTCCGGTCGTACAAGAGTGTTAACCTTGGAGCAGGAAATATCGTACATCTTTTTAACTGCTTGAGAGATCTGGCGCTTATTGGCACGGACATCGGTGATGAAGACAAGGGTGTTGTTGTCTTCGATCTTCTTCATCGCAGACTCAGTAGTTAGAGGGTACCTGCATCTCCGTCACACAGACCACCTCCTCTCCCTCTCCTCCTCTCTCACTTAATAATCTGGAATTGGTCGAGCTTGTTAGCCTTGGGGGCAGACTTGCGCAAGTACTTGGGGGCCCTGGGCTTCTTGAGGGTCTTGGGGCGGTGGAAGGTGGTGTTCCTCCTCACTTTCGTGGGCTTCTTTGACCTGAGCCCCTCCTTGACAGCCTTCGCGGCCTTGGTGGCTTTGGCAGCTGGGGCACCCTGAACCAATCAAAGTCAAAGAGCGCAATGCTGAAAATCTTCCTTTCACACACGCATGAATGAATGATTAGAGCAACCGTACCAGAAGTCACAACCAACTCATAGAACACTGAATGATCATGGCCAAGTTTCAAACAGAACCCTTGTTGCACCCTTAGAAACGAATCCAACGAGCAACGCTCACGAGCTCATCGCAATCAAGAAACGCATGAACGGTACAGATTTTTGCAGAAACCACATTTTCCTTACATCTTAGCACCACATCTCAGCACCATTCCATCACTTTGCCTCACTTCTTCATTCAATGCTCATCAGGATCCCGTGCAAATTGACATCCCCCATGCAAGTCCCAGTTCATCAAACGAATTTCTTCTCTTCCTCTCTCAAGTTTGGCAAGCGCATCAGAAACAATGCATGCCTTAGAAACACCTCATGAACTTTTCGAGCAACATTCATACTCTCATCCCTCATCTTCACCCACATCCTTCAATCTTCCTCATGCATTCCCCCAGTCTGGCTTCACTCCTCCTCAACAACACACTCAACAACCTGGCAGATGACTCTCTCAACGCTCGCTCCATCTACTTCCTATGTCACCTCTCCAAGCTTTGGCCATAGCCCTCTCTCTCCCTTTCGCCATCCTCCCTCACCTTGGCGGTCGCAGGCTTCTTGGGCATGGCGCTTGTGAAGAGCACGAGGGCACGAGAGAAAAAAAAGCGAGAGAAACGTTACAAATGTAACCACCAGCGTTAAATTTTGTAACTGCTTTCGGGGCCAGGGGCGGGCCCGGGCGATTACAACGTTGCTCGCTTTTATGCCTTGTGAGGGTAGGTTTGGAAAATTCTTCAGTAAATTTGTAATTATTGAAAAATATTTGAAATTATTTTCAGGACCCGGCCTTGTTTGTGAGTTTGTGAGGATTTCTTGACTGGCCTTGAGACCCCCTTGAAGTTTGCCCTGCCATGTTGCCAAAGCCCACGGCACGAGCAGCAAGCGGGAGTAGCGGCAGAGAGTGGCAGCAGCAGCACAAGGACTGTATGTGCATGAGACGACCAGGCAGATAAGGACACTGAAGAGATCACAGCATACGCGAGCATGAAGGACCTTCACGCAAAGCTGCTCAAGGAGTTCAGAAGCTTCGCTCGCTTGTCTTCCTGGCCTTTGCGTCAAACTCTGGCATGCGGGCTCTCATGCTTGATCAACCTTGAGGGGGACAACAAAATTTTTGGTGCGAAAATTTTCGCACCTCTAGTATCTCTTGTATGCATCACTCCACACCTTGGTTCGACTCTCAAGACATGCGAGATGGCCGTGCTAGGTCTGGTCGTGGCAGCAATCCTGGGGTTCCCCATGGCTTTTATCATCACGCCGAACCTGCTCGTGCTTCATGTTCTCCTGACAGTCTCCAGCATCCTGATCCTCCTGCCCTCTCTGAATCCCTTGACAGCGAAACTGGCTTTGGTCATCCTCACTGTGCTTTTGACCTCTGCACGAGAGGATGAATCTAGCCTGCAGAGGCAGTGCTGCGGTTCCCCGCTGCAGGATCTCGCATCAGCTGCTGCAGGTCTGCTGGCTGCGTTGGTGGTAGCTCTGCTCCCTCTCCCAGGAAGCCGGGCCCGCAACATCGCTGAGAGCACTATGGCGGAGGCTGAAACGAATGCGGCAAATGCAGCAGCCCTGCTTTGCCATTCCATTGGAGCAGGAAGGAGCAAGAGGGCGATCCTCGCAGCGCATGCACAGATTCTGATCGTTAAGTCTGTGCGATGCCAAGAGAGGGTCAGGATGCTCCTGCCAGATGTCTCATGGGAACTGCACTTGTTCGCACTGCTGCGCTTTCCTGACCGCTTGTTCTACTCGAGCATGGAAGAGCCGAGCCATCTGATCGACCACATTGCCAAGCGCCTGGAGCAACTGTCTCGAGTCGATGCTGCTCTCTTTGGCATCCTGCGATGCCTCAACAACGACAACTACGAGGACTCGGTCGTAGCTTCCTGGTCCACCATCCAGCGATCCGACTCCATGGAGCTCCAGAGCGACTTTATCACCCAGCGGAACTGGGACGGATGGGAGCACATTGCAGCCGTCAAGGCTCTGCACATCAGCGTGCAGACACAGCTGGAGGTGCTGCGCACTGGCATCGTCGACGCCACTGAGAACTTGGGGCAAGTTTTCAGCGAGTTGGCGGTGGTGAGGGGCTACGAGAACAGGTTGAAGATCATCGCAGACCTGGAGCAGGTGACGCCTCTTGTTGTAAGTTCCTCCTGTCGTCCTGCTCGCTGACCCCGTCGCAGGCTGTCAAGCTCCTCGACAGGGCCACTTACGACGCGAGGAAAAAGGCCTTCTACAGCAGTGGGAACGATCACACCGAGCAAGCGATCGCGGCGCTCGGGCCCCCGACCTCTCGACTTTTTCTCCTGTACCCTTGTGCTCTGCACCTGCTGCCTCAGGTTGAACCTGCCCTTCCAGGTTCTGCATCATGGAGGTGGGAAAGATCTGGACGGACATCTCTCCACCTGTGCGAGCTCCCAAGAGCCTCATCAGCGATCGAATTCGCTCCATGTGGATTGACTTCAGCCGTTCTCGAATCCTCTACGTCTTCAAACTCACCCTGGCCATCAACTTAGCGCTGGCTGCAGGAATATACTGCACAGGTGATGTTGTCTCCCCTCCTCCATCTCTGTCTCATCCCCGCAGGCTCGGGCATGTGGGCGGCGGTGGCCGTATGCATGGTAGGGCCTCGATCCCTCATGGAGGTCGGAGGAAGCTTTCGCGCTGCGAAGCTGCGTTTGAGTGGAACAGGAGGAGGAGCGATCTTTGCTGCCGTCGTGATGATCCTCGTTCAGTCTGTAACTCTGGAGATTGGCCACTTCCTCCTCATCCTCCCTTGGGTCTTCGTCATGGGCTATCTCCGCCACAACGTGTCCATTGCGTATGGAGCTTTTATAGCCCAGGTGAACCCATGAGCTCCCAACTGTCCTGCCCTCCAACTCCTTCGCTCTCTCACCTCCCCTTGGCCTGTTCCTCTCGCTCCCGCTCGAACTCTTCTCAATTCTAACCAGCTGAGTTCACAGGTGACTCCCTTTCTCATGATGCAGAACTCGCTGATCAGCTACACGAGCGTTGAGAGCTGGGTGTACCGCAGAATCTCTCAGAACTTCTTGGGTGTTATCATCTACATCGCCATCGAGGTTCTCATCAAACCTGTTCGCGCCCTGTCCATCTTTGAGGTGCAACTCGGAAAGAACTTGAGAAACATTGCGTCTGCCATCGACACCATCATGCACGAGAACTTGGGGGCTCTTTGCTGCGAGTGCAGGTCGAGTTATGCGCAGAAAGCCTCCTCGCTGCTCTCTTCCTTGTATCAGGGGATGAAGATGCAGAAGAATCTGGTAAGACACACAGATTCTGCCCCTCCCATGTCCTCGCTGACGCCAGCTGTTTGCTCGGCAAGATGTTTGAGGTCTACGATGAGCCCAGCTGGTTGATGAGCAGCGCTATCCCTCCTCGGGCGGTGGAGACTTTCTTGGAGAAGGTTGCGGACACATCTGTACGTTGCCTGCCTTCTCACTCCTCCTCTCCTTCTGCTGCAGAGCATAGAAAGTGTCGACCGACTGCTAGGAATCATGCAAATGGTACGCAAGCTTCATGTCAACGTCGGGCTGACTCCTTGCTTGCTACAGGTCCTCTCCAACTGGACGCGCGAATGCGCTGATAGCCCCGAAGACATGGCTCAATTCCTTTTTCCGCTCAAGGACCCACTGCTGAAGGTGAACCTCTTTCCCCCCCTTCTCCCTTCCGTGCTCCTTCCCTCAAACTCCTTCTCTCTTACCTCGCCCCTGAGTCATTTTCTCCTCGCAGCTCAAATCCATTATGGTCGCCTGGTACGAGTCCCTCGCTGAGCGTGCAGAGAGTCACACGCACGACTCCCGCAACGAGCTCAAAGCGGTCAGACTCTGCCCTCTCATCCTGCTACCTCCATCTCCGTCAGCTCTCTGCTACCTCCCCCTCATTCTTCCTTCTTCCTCGTCCCTCGTTCAACCTCCTCCCCCTCGTGACATCACACGCAGATCGAGATCTCCTCGCAGGTCCATGCATGCGTGACAGCGCTGGAGAAGCAGCACGCTTCTGCCTGTGCGAAGATCATCAAGAGCATTCGGAGCGAGAAGAGCGGATCGAGCGAGGGCAGCGAGGGAAGCTCCTCTATCAGGGACAAGGTCCCCACTAACGACACAATCCTCCCACTGAGCGCCATCCTCTACTGCACGCGAGCTCTCTCCAAAGTCTCGGAAGGTGACGCATGCTCCACTGCCCCTCAGGCCTCTGCTTGTCTGACTTGTGCTGCTGCTAGAGGTCGCATTCGGCATGCGAGAGCTCTCCATCTCCGTCAACCCGGACTTCTCGATCCTAAAGGATCATCACAACATTCAGAGAGGCAACCTGGCCGAGGAAGTGGCGAACACCCTCGCCGACGCCAACGGCGAGATCTCCTCCACCACGTTGGCAACGTCGAGGATCTCCTTCGAGCTGGGGTTTGTCAACGGGAATCACTCGCTGACTGACTTGAGGGGCATGGAGGCTGACCCCCTCGTACGAGGGTCCAACTTGCGAGACTCGAACGAAATCGCTCTCGAAGTCTCCCCCGACAGGTCTCAAGGGGAATCCGAGCAGGAGTATGTCCTCTGCCGCCGCTGCCAGAAGAGAATATGAAGGCAGAGCGCATCAGGCCTCAACGGGACGAGCATGAATACAATGAGTCATAGCGTTTCTTTCCGTGGTGTCAGAATTTGAGTACCAGACTCGTGGGTGGACGAGAAGAAAAGAGACACCCACGCTCCTCATGTGTTTCACAGGCATGAAGTCCAACAGCAACAAGTTTAGTGTTCACAGGAAGGCTGAGCTTTATCCGTAGTTGAGTCGAAAGATGTCGTTGAGGACCCAGAATCCCCCACCTCCTGGGAGGGGCATGAGGACGAAGGTCTGGCTATACTTGAGAGGAGGACGATCTTCTGCCTCCCCTTCTACTTTGAGGTTGCCGCAAACATGTACCAGAACACCATCGCCTGCGGTCGGGTGAGAGTCCATGCTGGTGACCTGGTGAGCGACTTGCTGGAAGGGCAGAGACTGTAGCAAGCGCAGATCAGCGACTTGAGAGCAGGAGAGATCGCACAGGCACCGTGAGCTTGTTCAGAATATTGGCCTGTCCTTGAATCTTCTCTCCCTCCCACGACAACCTACGATGCTCACTCAAACATCGTCCTTCACGCAACGACATTCAAATTACATCGACTGATCCTGATACAAGCTGCCCAATCCAGCTCTGTTGGTATCGAATGCCTGGTAATAATGGGCTACAAAAGCCTTCCCAACAGTTTCAAACTGGGGCTCAGCCATCTATTTAGAAGATATTCGTGTCAGAACGCAAGAGTAACATCGAGGCAGGTCTGAATATGACCAACACATCTGTGCTGCTACTCAACCTCGCAGTCAGTTCACTTGTCTCAAATTCCGAAAGAGGAAACAAACAAGAACTATGATTGATAGAACAACAAAAAAACGTGGAGACGATGTTTGCACAATGTGATCGTCTCAATCTAGATTCCATTGATCACTACCCTTTCCATCCATCGGGTTGGATGAGCGGATTATTAGTTGAAGCATGCGAGACATGTTCATCACATGGAGTTTGAGCTAACACAGCAATAGTCCGTACACAAGAATGGGAAAATATAACACCTTGTAACAGATTTAAGAAGGAGCAGCAAAAATCATCCCAAACATTCTGGTCAGATTACACAACCCCCTTCGTCACGACCACGCTGCAAGCCCCCCGTCTCCTGCTTCTAAACCTCCTCGTTCCCAATTCACAATCAGCATCAGCCTTCTTTTACTGCTTTTTCCTCGTCCTCACACATTTTCGGCATGATCCATCGCCTCCTCGTCCTCCTCGTCCTCTTGTTGTCTAGCGATCCCGCCATGGCACGCGGCGAAAGTTCTGGAGAGGTAACAAGTACCCCACCACCTCTACTACCCCCACCCTCTCTGCCTGTTGCCACCCCCTTTTCCATCTACACAGTCCTAGGTCCAAAGACATACCCGGGTCCTAGAATCCGTGTTAGGATGAATGCCTCACCCCAACCAGATATCGATCAAGATATTTGAGGGGGTAGGGTAGACAGTCTGAGGACCCGTAGTTCGGTCAGATCTGGAAGGGGGTGATGATGGAAATTTGAAAATTCAAAATTTAGGTGTATTTTAAACCAAAGTTACTGGGATACTTGCCGAATGTCTTCATGAAAATTTGGAAATAAAATGGGAGAATTGTTCAAATTCCAAATTTCTTCAAACAGTTCTGCTTTTTGAGATTTTGACCCAAAGATCCAAATTCAGCTTTTATGAAACCGAATTGATATTTTGAAAATTATAAAGAAGATTTCAAAATCGGATAGGAACTTGGTCCGAGGGAGAAATGCCGGACGTCGGTAAGCGGAAGAGGAGGAGGAGGAGAGGAGGAAGAGGAGGAGGAGGAGAGGAGGAAGAGGAGGAGGAGGAGGGCAAGGAGGAGGAGGAGGAGAATACATCTCTAGAGGGAAGAATGGATGGCAGGAGGGACAGCGAAGCTGTCATAGACATGTTTTTGGTTGGGCCTCACAGGCACAATGCTTTGTGCAAAATCAAAACTTCTCGTTGCAAGTGAATTACAATGCAATGGTTGAGTTTCGTGTTAGCTGTGAAGCTAAGTTTCCATCATGTTGGTCTCCTGCGATTTTACACTTGTTATAATGCATCTGCCTTGCTTTTGCTCCTTCCTCCAAGTGTTGCTGCCATGGTTTTGTTTTGCTTTGCCTTTTCTTTTTCTCTCTTTGTTCACCCCGGAGGCTTCTCTCTTTGCTCCTGATTCCTCAATACTCACTCCTGTGTTTTCGTTTTTGATCGACGTGTCATTTGCATCCGTGCAATTCTTGGTTGCTGTTGGCTGTGTGTGTTTGTGTTGGCCAAGCTGATCGTGTTGTTGTCAAAGCAGCTGCCATCTCAAACAATCACGAACAAGACGAATCGAAGCAAGAGCCTTCGCAGCCATCTCAAGATGCTGCGGGAACGAATCACACAGATTCTGTGAACAAGGATGATTCCAACGAAAGCAACCTTACTACCTCCGTCGAATTTCGAAATGGCTCGAGCGAATCACTGGAGAAAGAGGCCGAGATAAATATACAAGAAGGCAAAGATCAAGAACAACCAAAAATGCTTGACAAGCTGTACAACTGCACGTACCCAAAGCCTGACATTTTAAGTGATGAAACGCCTCACTACTGCTCGCAGGTGGAAGAATGGTACCGTTCAAACAGCGAGAATAGTTGAGAGAAGGCAGAATAAAGATGGAACATGGGAATACTATTTGCATTACGAAGATTATGATAGACGCCTTGATGAATGGGTTCCGTCCGATCGCGTGGGAGAAGAAGTCGTGAAGCAACGAACGAACGATGACCATCGCTCATCGCTGGATTCTGTTCAGAAGATGACCCGAACCCAGAAACGAAAATTTGATGAAATCAATACCACTCTACCTGGCGACGTTGACCCAACAACAGCAGCCCTGGAGCATGAGCGAGAACAAGCAACGAAGGTCAAGAACATTCAGGAGATTGAAATGGGAATGTATGAAATGGATACATGGTAAAAGTCCAATCGAGCGCTGTCAAATATCTCTGATGTTGCTCTTGTTCATTCAGGTATTATTCTCCATACCCTGAGGAATTCAGCAAATGCTCAAAGCTATACCTATGCGAGTTTTGCCTCAAATACTTTCGGAAAGCGAAGTAGAGAGAATCGAAAACCTGAATTTCACACACTTAATTGTTTTTGCAGGACACTCGATAGGCATAAAGCCAAGTGTGAGTGGCGACATCCTCCAGGAGATGAAATTTACCGTGATGGCAACATCTCCATGTTTGAAGTCGATGGGAAGAAAGCAAAAATTTATTGTCAAAGTTTATGTCTGTTATCCAAACTTTTTCTCGATCACAAAACTTTGTATTACGACGTCGACCCGTGAGTTTGAGCGTTTTTTTGGTTTCGAAGTGACTCTTTCTTCAGTTTCTACTTTTACGTCATGACTGAAGTGGACAGTCGGTATGTTCCCTTTGGACTGATTTCCATAAACATGAGATGACCTCCGTTGCAGCGGATGTCATGTGGTGGGTTACTTCTCCAAGGAGAAGGAGTCACCAGACGATCACAACCTTGCTTGTATCATGGTCCTTCCTCCTCACCAGAGAAAACGGCAATTTTGTTGGGATCTGTGCATGTGCTGGCTGATTGCCCACAGGTATGGACGATTCCTCATCTCCTTTTCCTATGAACTCTCGAAGAGAGAGGGCAAGGTTGGCACCCCCGAACGCCCTCTCTCAGACTTGGGATTGCTCAGCTACAGGAGGTGAGAGTGTGATGTCTTGAGTTCACAGGGTGTTGATGGGATGCAGTTACTGGAAATCTGTGCTTTTGGACGTCTTGTCGAAACGGAGAGGAAATCTCAGTGTGAAAGACATTTCACAGATGACTGCGTTTAAGCCAGGTTCCCCTCATGATGTTCATGTGGCCCTTTTGCTGATCTCTCCCCTGCAGATGACATCATCACTACTCTTCAGAGCATGGGGTTGATCAAGTACTGGAAGGGGCAGCATCTGATATCAGTATCGCCGAAAGTGATCGAAGAACATCTCTCCAAGCAAGCCAAAGACCACTTGGCGTTCGATGAAACTAAATTGAACTGGATTCCGCCACAGAAGGAATCCTCCGCGAAGAAGACAAGATAGTCTGCCAAGTGCTGTAGAATACAAGCTTTCCAACTGAGATTTTCATGAGGTCTTTTATTCTTGAACGTTTTTCCTACTGCCTTACTGGTGAGCGCACTGTACTCGCTGTCCTCCACGCATGTCTTCATCGTCATCCTCGTCATAAGCACCAGATCGACCGTGCCCAGTTCCCTTGCCAAGGTTCTGGATGTCGGCGTCATGCATGACAACCTCCTCGGCTTCGTTGTGTGGAGGAACTCCTTGAGCTGGCGGCAAAGCCTGAAGAATGGTCAGATAATCAGCGTCCAAGGTTTGCCAGAGGAGAGGGGAATGAGTTTTGCGGTGTCTATTTCGTCCATGCTTTTCATTGTGTTCGAGCACGGTCAGAGAACACCTTTGTCTCAGCAGATATGATAAAATTCCCATAACACAATAGCGCTTGCGTTCAGGAGGACAGTTCTGCTTGATACAAGAATGCACGAAATACACGCAACTTACCCCGATCAGAGCTTTGACGTCTTCAGGTGCGATGCTTCCGTTCTCAGGGAACTCGATCTCGAACTTAACGTAAAGCTTGCCCTGTGCTATCGAGTCAGAACGAACATGTCTTCGTCCACTTGCCGACCTTCACGAAAGGATTCTTATGCATGGGCATGCCTTCATCTTCAATAGTCTTAACATCGCCAGGACGGATCAGCTCGCCCTCTTTCGTCTTCACAATAAGCTTTCTCTTGTCAAGATGCTCAACGACGAAATGGCAGCCACAGAGAGCTTCAACAAGTTTGATCTGACCATGCAAGTCAAAAGCTCGTTGAGAGGAGGAAAACAATGTCATACTCTCTGTTGCATCAACAAGTCATCGCCCTTCCTAATGAACTTTGGATGCTCTTTCTGTTGTACAACGAAGACGACGTCGCCGGGCAACATTCCAGGCTTCTGATCCGCCTCACCCGCAAACGTGATCTTCTGGTTGTGCTTCATACCCTTGTCGATTTGGACCTCAAGCACTTTCTTCTCCTTGGTTGTCTTCTTTCCGCTACATTCTGTGCACTTGTCCTTGGGTTTGATGCTGGTGCCGGAACCTTCGCAATCCGGGCAGCGAGCTTGCATTTGCTGGATCATACCAGGAGCAATTTGTCTCACAACGAGCTTCACACCATGTCCATCACATGACTGGCAGGTTGTGTTAGCGTTGGGATTCTTGCTGCCAGATCCATTGCAAGCTGTGCAGATGATGTCCCTGGTGAGGGCAAGCTTCACGGTCTTTCCGTTGTAGAGGTTTTCCAGATCGACTTGGATCGGATGAACCAAATCCTCCCCTTTCTGCGGACCTCTCTGCCTTCTTCCGCCCCCTCCAAAAAATGCAGAGAAAATGTCGTGCGCATCGCCACCTCCTCCTCCACTCTCCACGGCTTCCTCGCCGCCTTCATCGTACAGCTTTCTCTTGTTCTCGTCGGAGAGGATCTCGTAAGCTCTGGTGATTTCCTTGAACTAGAAAGCATACATCGTCAAGAAGTACCAGTGACAGTTTCGTAAAAGAGAGAAAGGAGACACAGAGAGAACTAAAGATTTGTGCGCATCGGTTAGGAAGAGGAAAATATTTTGATTCAGGCATGAAATTGCAGGAGCACAAGGCTGTTCGACATTAATATTTCTTTCTCACCGTTGCTTCGTCTCCACCTAGAATCAAACGTCAATCGATCAAGCATGACAAGCATCTCACGATTAGAAAGAAAAAGAGCGACAAAGCACACGCATGCTTGAGAGAAATGGACAACAAAACAAGCATGCAAGAGCAGAGGTTCGGAGAGGCAAGTTCTGCTACCTTTGTCCGGATGGTGCTTGATAGCAAGCTTCTTGTAGGCTTTCTTGATCTCGGAGTCCGACGCGTTCGACTCGAGTCCGAGCACCTTGTAGAGCGAAGTGTTGTCCACCTTTTGTGAGCCTCTTCCAGCGCCACCAGGAAAGCCTCCTGGAAAGCCATCGAAGCCGCCGCCGAAGAACATGACGCTGAGGCTTCAGGAGATAACAAGAGAGTGGAACGAGTTCAGGAAGCAAGAGCTAGGAGGAGAGGAAGAAGAAGGGAGGAAGGACGAGCTGGCTCTGGAATGCAGGAGCGCAGTCGGCGGCGATGCAGGCTGCCTGATCGGCCAGCGGGTGGGGTGCTCAAGGCATACCAGGGGTACTTTTCTCGAGGTTTATGTGGGTGGTGGTTGATGCATGGGTGTTCGCAGGAGGGGTGGTCACTTGAAAGGCGGGAAAGTGTGCAGGAGTATGAAAAAAGAAAGTCTCCAGAGGGGTGGGGTAGTCTCAACTGACTTGAGGTGGGGTTATAGGGTACTCAAAGAAAATGGCGGGGTGGTTTCATGGATTTTCAGGGGTAGTTTATCATATGGGGTGGGGACAAACTAGGAATGTGAGAGGGATGGGCAATATAGACTTCAGAGTCATCGAGAGAAATGCAACCTAGGGGGGGTAAGGTAGACACCAGTTGGGTACTCAGTTGCTAAGAACATATGGGAGATCGATTCTAGAAGAGATCCTTCAAATATTTCATCACATGGTGAAAATTGCCAGGAAATAGGTGCTCATTCCTAGGTAGGGTATGTGGACCCTCGAACAAATGGGTTAATATATGGTACAAGGAGGGGTACAGTCGCGACATCACGTGCGAACAGCTAACGCAACGATGAGATTTTTGACCTCTCAAGAAACTAAAAAGGACGGGTAGTAATTTCATTTTGTTTCGTGCGACATTCCGTACATTCTCGAAGACTCTTGCAATGGACCCAGGGCCTCTCAGATATAGGGTGGGTCAATAGCTTTCCGAATGGACGTGGGGTAGGGTACCAAACTTAATTGTACATGGCCCAAGGACCCGTGATGGTACGTAGATAGGGTATATTATGAGGGACAGGTAGGGTGGTCAGGTGATTCAGGTGGTGGTGCAAACGATGGTGGGTAGTAATGGGAATTGGTGGGGTAGTGTGAGGAAGATGATGATTGCGTTCAGGAGGTGTAGGCATATAAGGGGAGCCACAGGGTAGTAGGGGTAGTCTAAACACGCGTTTGCGGTACAAAGGGTGGGTACTTTCTGGGGAGAAGGAGAGGTTGGTAAGTTGAACACCCTGTCAGGGGTCGATGACGGGTAGCTAAATCATGATGAAAGGTAGGGTGGGGTGGTTGAATCTTTGTCAACAACTGACTAGTACTCACTCAGTCTGACCCGGGAACTAGACCGGGCGGGCCGGGCCCGGTAATTTGGGGATGAGGGGGGACAGCCCCTACATCAAATACGAAGAGTCAGGATTGACTCTTCATATCGTCCGAATCGGTATGGCAGCGAGCGAGGGGAGATTGCGGGTAGAGCAGCAGAGATGGCGAGAAGGCTGCAGGCGGAGAGCGGAAACTAGAGCGGTTATAGAGATAGAAAGATATTTGGAGGCAGGACAGGGAGACGGTGGTGAAGTGGATGAGTTAGTTCAGATGTAGGTACCGATTTGAGACCTGTCCGTGAAGTTTGTCGTGATTCATGCCTCTTTGTCTTTATGCACTCATTCCAATTTTCTTTTGTTGAGATTGATTTTGGTATGAGAAATCAAATCTTGCATGGTTTCATTGCGTGTTTGAGTGTTGCAAAGGTTCGGACGTAAATACTGTACGATGTATTTCGATATTCCTAATAGAGTATCTTATATGAACATGCTTGTGCTGTATGACTCGGCAGTGTTTTTCGTTCTTTCGTACTTGTTATAAGTATTTGGCTGAGAAGCTTGCATCGACTGATTTTTTTTTGCCTATAGAGATGTTCACTCAGCTTCACCGCGACTCCTCTGAGTACAACAGCGTTGCTCCCTTCACCATGCCTTCCTACAAGTCGGTGATGAGCCAGTACAGCGCCTCCACCTCCACCTACGAGTCCAAGGCCCCCGTCGAGTTCTTGTAAGCTCCGCATTTGCAGTGTGACCTCGGAAGGATGTGCGAAGGAGTCTGGGAGATCTCTTCCAGCTGTTTGTGAATAAACTTTCAGTATCACTGAGGTTTTGTAGTTGTGTTGTTACATTTTGCTATTTACAAACACAGAATATGACATTCAGAAATGGTGAAACTTTAGCAGTGGTCCTGCAGTTCGTCAATGTGAAAATTTGCAAGCATCATGCTTACCTGTCGTTGTTTCGCATATCTCGATGTTCCCGTGCCCGATGACATCTCGCAAGTGAAACCTGTGCAACCTTCACTACCTGCGACCTTGAAGAGGATTCCACTTATACCGCATCCCGAGCGTCGAAAATCTCAACCTGATCTTTTCGATCTCCTGCGGATCGCAGGTTGATTAGTTCAGTGCTGTTGAGGGATCAAACGTAGATACCCTAACAAGCATCTCTGAAAAGCGTCTCTTCGAGATGACCTGCCTAATTGTCACTCCCTACAAAACGATCCTTTTGCCCTCTCACATTGAGAATTTCTCTTCGTCCCTGCATGATTTCGTTGAAAAAAGGCCCCATCCCCTTCGTTCAAATTGTTGTCAACCACAATGCGGAATCTTCGGGCAATGCCAAACCGGAAGAGCAAAGATGAAGGAAAGGTTGTCTCTTTGCACCAGTACGCCACAATCGGTGAGTATCCTCTGGGCTACCTTCACCTGCTTCGTGTTGAGAATGGGAACAGAGGAGTCCAGCGATCATCACGTCTTCATCGCTCCAGGTTTCTGAGGATCGCAGAGACGATCTGAAAGCATCTTCGACATCGTCAGAGAGCCATTCTTCTCTCCAAGACAGCAGACCCGGCACGTCGACAAGCTCCGGTGGAGCGAGCTTGAGGAAGTCTTGTAAATCAGATTGCATTATTGTTGGGTGGTGACACTGGAGAGGTTTGTTTGAGCATCGAAACAACGAAAGAGGCAACTAGGACCCGACTGATGACACATGCAACGAATCGGCTGAACACTTGAAGCTGTGGTCACCAACCTCGAGCAAGCAACAGTCCTGCTCTCTACCTTCTTCCACTCCTCTTTTTGGTCGATTCAGTTCTTCATCGTTCTTAGCTTCTATCTTCTTGCGCTTCGTTGAGCCTTGACTGCAAAGCTGGTCCGCGATGCGAAAAGCTGGACGAGGGCTATGAAGGAGCAAGGAGATGTCAAGGAGGCACCTGTGTCGATCTGTTTTTCTTCTCGAGATTCTGTACATCTAGAACGACTAGACAAGGGGCTTCAGACTCCGAACGGACCTGATTCCAAGTTCTCACCTCGCTTTCTTCCTGAACGTAAGGACTTCTTGCAGGAGGCGCAAATAGTCCGGAGTCTTCATGATCAGCTCATCGTTGGCGTATCCTATGAGCTTGAAAGTCCGGATATCCTGTCGGAATATCAGGAACCAGGAAATGTTGTGATAACAGTTTCACCCTCTTCTTGACAGCATTGTCCAGCTGCCGGTCGACTTCGGTTCGGCTCTTGACGATGGAGTAGATCTGATCATGCACATAGAGGTGAGGATAAGAGAACACCTCCACCCCCTTCCACCCGCAGAGACGGCACCTGCGAGACCAAGACCACAGGGTAGGCGCCCGCAACTGGGCACTTGGGATACTGTTGTCGCAACAGCTCGAACGCAACCTGAAAGCACGTCACATGTCGCATCCCATTGTACCAGCATCTCTCTTCTGCTCTATCAAGGGAGACGGTGACATCTTCTCTTTGTTGTCTAGGCGCGGGCAATGGCGGCCAACATACAACAGTGATCGTGGAGGTAAGCATGGCTCACCATGGCATCGTCTGGCAGCTCACTGAGTATGAGTCTGTTCTCCTCTTCGTCATCTTCCTTCTCGTCGTCCTCCGCCTTCCTCGCGCTCCCTTCGCCATTCCCGGATCTCCTCCTTCGTTTCAGCATTCGGAGCGATCTGAGAATCGCCCGATCATAGGGCGCGCGGCCCGCCGCCCGGCCCGGCCGGGGCCTGACTCGCGGCCGCCGTGGACTCGGACTCGGCCCGGGCCGTTACTAGTAGGCCCAGGGTTCCGGTGCGGCATCGTAGCACATCCTCCAGCATAGTGACGGTTGTAAGATGGCGGAGTTGAAGATCAGTCGCTTGTCGCTCAGTATGGCCAGCCGCGATCGGATGAAGATCAGTATCTTGTCCCTGACAGTATGCAGCCGATGAGCCTTGTCGCCTTCGAGAACTTGAGCCGGAGTCCGAAATGCGGCACTGAATGGTTGAATGTTAGCATGTCACTCTGGCTTGCGGCAGAGCTCTGTTGGTATCCCCCCCGAGAAATTGCGGCACTGAGCTCAGACTGATCAGACTCTTGCCACAGACGGTCACGGTGACTTAGTGAGTGAAGCATGTCACAGTGTGATGGACTCGGAGGGGAAGGAACTTCGGAACGATCTTCTGAGACAGTGACTGGGGCCGGCGTTCAAGGGGATCAGCGAGTGTGACAAGCTCTGATGTCAGCATTCAGTTCTGCTAGGGAGATGACTGTGAATCAGCCGCACACTATGCACGAGGAGGAGGAGGAGGAGGAGAAAGGAGCGCAGACCCCGCTGCAGCGGGATAGTGTGACAATGTTTCGTGGGACAACAGCAAGGGTCGACCAGGAGGACATGGAGAGGACAAGAGAAGTTGCGAACAAGAGGCGGAACGCCAAAGAAGGGAAGCAGGTTGGAAGCAAGGCCATGTCGTTCAAGATGAGGTTTCAGAAGCAGACTGCGCACCTGCATGAAGCAGACGAACTCATCCACTCCCTCACTGCTATGAGGGCGATGATTCCCTGCCGTGACTCCTTGAAGCAAGACCCGTCTGTCAGGTCCATGCTCGACATGGCTACCCTCTCGACGGCAGTCAGTGAGCAGCAGGGGCCCAACCGCGGAAGAAGCCAGCGCGAACCATCACGCCGATACCAGTGGACAAGATGGTGGTGAGGACCCTGGGGGCCCGAGACGCCTGCCATGAGTTTGTCGTTGAGTTCAGCAAGAAGTTCCACGAGACGTTCTTGGAGGTCGAAGTCTCCTCCTTGAACAACGTCTACGAGGCCCTTGACTTCTACGTGAGGAAGGGGGAGGCAGCGAGCCCCACCATGTTCGACATCGGCTCAGCCAAGAAGAACTGCATTCACATCAGGCCGGGCCGGAGCAAGTTCGGGTACGGCAGGTACTACATCGCCGTCGCATCCAACGGGCAGACGACGAGGTACAGCATCACGTGCCGGCAGTTGTACTTCCGGCCAGACCTGTTGACCCCGCATGAGAAGGCAGCAAGGACCATGATCAACGCCGAGTTGAAGTCGCGCATCCACCAGGCGGAGAGGAGGAGGGCGTACAGCAGGAACGGCTACACGGAAGCGCTCGACAGGAGGAAGTATCTTCAGGAGACGTTCAGTGGCGGCAAGGAGACGCCAAGGTGAGACGAGGACCTCTGAGAGGAAGAGATCGACTAAGTTGCTGTGCAGCATGGAGCGATACTCCAAGTGGATGAGCGACGTCTGGGAGCCCTTCACTTTCCAGTCGCGCAGTGTCACAGTCAAGGATGACATGTTCAACCCCATCAAGCTGCGACAGGTCCTGTCGGAGATTCATCGCTGTAAAACCTACAAGGAGGGAGAGCTGGAGGGAGTCTACGAAGGTTCTCCCCACCCACCCCCTGATTTCTTTCACTCCTCCCCCTCACTTGATGCCTTCACTCGTTCCCTCTCAACGCCCCTCTTTAGCTGCTAACCATGTCTCGGCCCCTGACATGCCCTGACCAGGGAGCACGCCGGACGAAGCGTGCAAGGAGTATCTGCAGTCGTACCTGTCCGCCTCGATCCCTGGGAAACGAGACGTGACAATGTTCTACTCAGAGTCAAGCCAGAGCAAGGTCAGAGGCCGCAAGTCACCCGTCGAGAAGAACAGATACGAGCTGATGCCGGTCGACCGGAGGATCCTGAGGCTGCTCGCGACGGGCTCTCTTCCGAGCGGGCCTCTTTATGTCCTCTTAGCCGACGCCGTCGACTTCCGCACGCACTCATGGGAGCACAAGTACCTGCGGGTGAACCAGCACGGGACGGTCCAAGTCTATGACGACAAGGACGATCTCAACTTCAGGGAACTCTTCAATCTCCAGGAAATCTCATCAGCAGAGGAGATAGTGCTCGACGAGCAGCCCTCGAACTTTCTCAGCTGCAGGGTCGTCACGTCCAAGGTACCCCAGCTGCACCCCAACTCTCCTCTCACTCCCCCCTCCTTCAGGACACCGTCATGCTCGCTGCCACCAAGTTCGAGGACTTTGACAAGTGGGTCAGAGCCTTCCGCATGTTCGTCAAATATGAAAGTCCGCGGACTAGTCCCACCCCGATCTCCTCCCCCAAGGAAGGCTCATCGCCTCGATTGAAGGCCAGCTACCGCTCGCAGCTGCTCGAGCTGGAGAGGGCTGATCGCCTCGACGATAAGCGGAGGCCGCTGTCGGCTCAGAGCTGGGGGAACTCCCTGCGGAGTTTCAAGTCTGCACAATCCTCCAGACGCTCTCTTATATGAGCTGATGCATACAGAGTACTCAAGACTCTCGAGACAACAGTATACAAGAGTTTGAGTAGCAACTCGTTGTAAAGTACACTATGAATGCTCCTGTGTCTTGAACATGGATTCCCCCGCTGGTGAATGCATGAATGATTCCTAAGAAAAGGCGATTTCAGCGAAGCAAACTCATGCTAGTCAGACGTGTCTTCACCATGGCTAGTGACCATGCAGCAAAGCCTGCACATCCTCCTGCTATCCCCACTCCTCCAGCTGATAGCACGGGTGACGAGAGTAAAGGGGCAGTTACAAGTCACCTTTGCGTGCTAGGAACGCCCCGGACAAGCAGCCAGCGTAGGCGGAGTTCTTGAGGTCAGAGCGAGCTCGATACTAGAAGGAGTCAGGCATCAGAGAGAGGAGAAAGACAGGCACAGGGAGGCATCACCCGCTCAACAAGACATTCACTGAGCGAGTATACCGCCCCGATAGCTGCAAACGTCTTTCCCATGGATTTTGCTTTCGAGGCTGTATGATGCCAGGTCGCTATCGCAGTTTCCTTTGCCGTTGTAGTCTCCGCGGCCTGTCAAAGAATGCCGTTCAATGCCAGGATGCTCAATCACACACAAGCAGCCGCAATATTTGGCCGAGCAGCGACAAAACGGCAATCATGTCATGTCGGAGCACACGAGCGAACACACCAACCGTATCCCATCCAACTCACCCTCAGTCCATTCACACCGTCGAAAGGTGCGAGGAATGCGCCCAGAAGGATCCCTCCTCCTCCTCCGATCGCCCCGCTCATTGCTGTCTTCACCGCGCAATTCTCAGCAAAGAGTCTGTTGAACCCTCCCTGTTGCACCCACGCCTCGAACCTCGCCTGCCCCTCAGCGAATCCTGCAGCATACGCGTCCTGTGTAGCCTGCATGTTCCGCTGCGGCATCTTCGCCCATGGTGGCGCCATGGTCGACCAACCCCCATGCCCATCGTTCTTCTCCATTTGCTAGCCCGATCCTCATGGGGGTGGGGGTAGTTACCCTACCATGTTTTGGCAGATGATTTCAATTGAAAATTGAGGGTACCAAATGCTTTGGGCAGGTGGTTTCAGCCGTCAGCCTCCGAGCACATGCACTGTGAATGAGAGGGGATGCGGGCAGACAAACAGACAGCGGGACGGCGGGCGGGACGGCGGGCGGGACGGCCCGCCCCGGACTCAAGTGAGACACAATTCACCCGGCAGGCTACAAGCCTGAGACTCGAGCTAATCGCTGAGCAGCAGTGGGTTCATAGTGACATTTACAGTTGCCATACAAGAGCTAAGTTATCATCGCCACCAGACACAAGATGGTTGTCTACAGGCGACGCCGCCACGTCCATGACAGCGTTCTTATGCCCTGTGAATCGTGCGAGACAAGACCCAGTCTTGCCGTCCCATGCCATGAGAGTCTTGTCAAGGCTGGTGGAGAGAAGCATGTCGCGTGTAGGATGCCATGCGATCTGATGCATTCGTCAGGAAGTGGAGGAGAGAAAGCATGAGGAGCTGACAGACCTTCGTGACCCCTGCGCGATGCTGGCACATGTACCGTGGCACGTCATGGTTCATCTCGTAGACGAAAATCTTACTGTCCAGGCTGCCGAAACGATCATGTGAGAAGGGAAGAGAAGCGAGTGTTGCAGCTGACCTTGCTGTCGCTATATAGTGTGTGCGAGGTGCGATGGCGACACTCTCCACGCCGTCAGTGTGCTGCCTGTAGGTGGTGACGACCTTGGCTGTGGGAGTTCCGTCGGCTCCGAAGTGGATGGTGGTGAGGATTGCCGTAGAGTCTTCACTACCCGTGAGGAGGAGATCGCCTTTGGTATCCAAGCATGTCACCCCCCCTTGATGGAAGTGCCCGGCGTTCTTCGGGTCCGAAAGGTTCACCAGGCAGCTGCCGTCCTTGGGGTTCCAGATGCGAGCTGAGCAATCTGCCGAGCCGGTGATGACTAGCTTCCCGTCCTCTGTGAACTGCCCGCATGTGACGCTGTCGCTGTGGCCGCTCAGGACTGTCATGCACGCCCCGGTCGCCGCGTTCCACATCCAGATCGACATGTCAGAGCTGCCTGCGATAATGACGTCACCCTTGCTGTGCCAGTTGATCCAAGTGATGTCCTCCGACGGTCCTTCCAACGTCCTCAGCAGCGAGCCGTCCATCGGGTTCCAGATCTTTACCAGCCCGTCCATGCCGGCCGACGCCAGCATCGACCCGCTCGCATTGAAGGCGACGCACACGACTGTGTCGGAGTGTCCGGCCAACACCCTCCTCTCTCCCGTCGACCTGCACCAGCACGCCAGTGAGACAAAGTGGGTGGCAGTGACACAAAACGCACTTGCTCCAAATGGACGCCGTGTCATCGCCGCTGCCCGTGGCGATGATGTCAGCCATGGTAGGATGAACGGCAACTGAGTAGACTGGATCTGTGTGTCCGATCAACTTTGATGCTGACACATCTTCAACTTCCTGGTTAACTCGTGAGTATTGCCAATATTGCTGGAATATTCACATTTAGCACCTCCTCTTCCTCTTCCTCTGCCTCCTCGTCTACATCCTGCCCAGCTTCATCATCGTCGTCTTCTCCCTGCATTTCTTCCATTTCCTCGTCCTCGTCCTCGTCCATGTCTTGGCCCTCCAGCTCAACAATCCTCCTTCCACCATCGGCTTCTGGGTCAAGGAACACCTCGTCCTCACTATCGGATTCCTCGTTCTCATTTTCGTTGTCAATCCTGGGGACCAGAAGACATTCAGCACGGAGTTTGCAATTAACTGAATTGTGACAGGTAAATATCTTTGAGAACGAATATAGTCCGACGATCCCCATGGTCGAAATCTCCCCTTCGCGTCACCAACATATAAACCCACATAACATCTCCTCAATCTAGCTCAATATCAAAGTCCTCACCACCGTATCGATCTCATCGAGTTAACCACCACAAAAATCCCCAATCAACATCGTCATCGTCATCGTCTCGTCATGGTTCTTCAACTTACACTTCTTCTTTTTCCATTCCATCCGCCATTGCGCACGTGCCCTTTGCCCCCTCTTCCCCGCTCAATCCTCTCTCAGTACCCCACCCACCCTCATGGAACACCTTGATGCAGTACCCGGTCTGTAGTAATGTTTTTGTATCAATTAGTACCCCTCCTCCAAGTACCCCCTTTGTCACAGCTCGGCGCTTCACGTGAACAATGGTAAGCTTAGTGCTGATGCTCTTGCTCCCAGTCCTGCTGCTGAACACACACCTTCCACCGCTCCTGCCCATCACCACACGCACCAACAGCACTGTCTTCACTGTCTCCTCTTCTCCAAGTCACCATGTTCCCTTCATATGTCATGCCCATGCACAGAATCTTTCCTCGCGATAGATTGTCAATGCTATGCGTGAGGGACAAGTCTGATGCTATATCAACCTGTGAAGGCTTCTTTTCTCGAACGCTGCGTTATGTGTTCCAGGGCATGTTGCTTTCGCAAATGTCATCTTCTTGCTTCGCAATCTGACAGGATTCTTTCCTCTAGCAGACTAAGAGGTGGATATAGGCACGTGGGCGACGGAGATAATGGTGAGCGTGAGCTTGTGTCTTGTGGGTGATACCGAGCGAGAGCTGCCCGATGATTCACATGAAAGTTTGAGGATATCTGAAGCAGGGAGGGGTGCGAGGATACGAGGAAGGCTGGGGTGCGACATGAGTACAGCTTTTTGCTGTATTGTAGTCGTAGCGCTGTCTGCCTCGTTCCAACCAGCCCTCGCTGTTATGAAGTCAAACTTGCCGTGAGGGATGTTTGAACTCTTTTTGACTCAATGACTGTTCTGCTCGGCTCCTAGTGACGGATGATGGCAGGAGATGGTCAAGGATGTCTGGAGGTGAACGAAGACCTGTAGCATCGGTCGTCCATGTACATTGGGTTTTGTACAGTATTGTATCTATGTGAATGATTCTGTATGTAGAGTAGAGTTTTTCTTTTGAAAACAATTACATGAGTGTAAAGTCTCTCTGCCTAGACGTTCTCTTGCCTCCAGCAGTGCGCTCACTTCCCCGTCTTGCTCTTGCCAAGGCGACTGACACCGAAGGGCATAGCTGGAGCTGCCTTGGGTTTGCTAGTGGAGCTGCTCTTCTTAATAGCGTTGATCTTTTCCATGAAGTTTCCCTTGGGGGCAGAGTCGGACTGGCAAGTGAGGTCAGCAAGGCGTACTTGCACTGGGGAGTGCAAACTGTTTACCTTGTTGATCAGCTTGTTCTTCACGGAGAAAAGATTCGACAAGTTAGACTTGTTGTCCTTGATGGGACGCCCCGTCGGGGTCTCTGCTTTGGAGCGCGAGCTTGGGCTCGGATCAACAAACCGTCGAGGCTCATTGTGAACCTCTTCAGGTTCCTCGTCCATCTGGTCTCTAGTCGGCGAAGCAGGTTCAGAATGCTCTTCTACCGGGGCTTCCTCCATCAGCATCATCGGCTCTTCTTCCTCAACCTCAAGCTCCTGGAATCTCACTTGTCGATATTCGTCCATGATCTCAGCAAGGTTGGGAAGTCTATGGCGGTTTGCAAGCGTGATGGCTGCTTCGAGCGCTTTCTCGCTAGAAATCTGTTTCGCCAAGTCCAGAGCTTTGGCCAATTTGCGCTACACAACATTGCTTTAGAACCAGAAAGAAAGCGTATGAAATGAAGTACCTGCTCGCATGCTGCGTTGATGAGTTGAATCAACTTCTTGTCCAACTCCAACTTCATCACATCAATGTCGTCGTCGTCACCTCCGGATTGAGAAGCTTGAAAATTGACGAAGATGCTGCCTCTCAACCATGGTTCCTCCAAGTCATGGCCCGGAAGGATCGGCATCTTTAAGTCATACTTGACTAGCACTGGCTGGGGCACGTCTGGGTACCTTTGGAACACGCGTCATCAAGGAATAATTGCATTTTTGCAATACCTCTTCTCAATCTTGCATACGACACCGAGCAAATTAGAGTCCGTGATCCGAATAGGCCAGAACCAGTCACGTTGATGCTTGTTGCAAGTCTTGATGTCCAACATCGGGATCCATTGCCCCGAGAATTCTGCATGACTGTACACCATTACCATGCCTTCTGAATCCATTATCGCTACCATGCCTGTCTCTGTTACCTGATGGATTTCATAAATTGAGGTGCATTAGAAAACGATTGAGTTTCACCTGCAACCATTCCAATTTTGATCCAGGAGACAAACACACTGGTCCGCGTGCGACTGTCGTCTTCGTACTGATATTCATGAGGAGGAATTGCAATTCTTGATCTCCAGACAGTGAAGGAGACGAAGGTGTATGATAGATAAAGCATAGGAAGTCATTGCAGCCGTGCATACAGAGTGCAGGTCCTGGGAACATCACTGTCATCAACTGGACACAACTAGTGCTGAAGATTCGCAAAATCCGTTTTGAAGTGGCAGCAGCTACCCAAGATTCGCTCGTTGCGACGGCCATAATCTCCTCATTCTCAGGCATGGTTGTTGTCCAATCTGACTGGGATGCCCACGAATCGAAGGGGCGATATGATAAAGTGCTCAAATTCAGATCTCCATTCCTTTCTCTGACCTACGACCAGACAAAGATCAGATTGGTTTTCAGCTTGCAAAATATTAAATACCTGAGGACTTGCAAATACAGCCCCTGAAGCGTCCATTGCGGCCATCGTGAATCCTGTGAAATCGTTGAACCTGATTGGACGATGAGTGTTGATATCTGCAAATTCGATTTCGATAGCGTTGTATGTCGATTCGTTGCGACTTGTGATATGCCCAACAGTGGTGTAGGTGAGAAATCTTCTCTTCAATTCAACTGGCGTCGACTACCACAGGTGAGTTGCGTTTTCAAGTGCAAGGATCAAGTACCTGAGGCTGAAAGGAAGCTTGAGGAATCGGGCGACTTATAGACACTGACTGCACGTTGGATTGTTTATATGCAGATGGGTCTGCTTGATCCAAGTCCAGCGCATCTTCATCTAAATCACCAACTGAATCGACATCTGCTTGGTCACTATCTACTCTGTCATTTGGACCAATTTTGTCGCTTGGAATAACACCATCAACGAGTCCGTATGTTCCTTCAACAGATATCAAAGCAATACTGTTCGAAAAAGGGTCCCATCTTGCAGACAGAATCTTTGATGAGTTCTCGTACCTGCCGCACACAGTGAGCACAACAAGCAACAACACATGAATGCACCTCTTGATGGACTCTCTTGAGCTGATATCCCATATCACAATGACACCGGAGGTATCGACAGACAGCAAATAAAGCCCGTTGGAGCTGAATGCAAGATCGGTGACATTTTGCAAATGTCCACCAACGCACGATTCTGCCTCTTTCCAGTCTTCCCGCTCAAAGATCTTGATGTCGCGAGAACCTGCAACTGCAAAGATTGATCCATCGGGGGACCATGCTACTCTGCACAGGTTGGCAGGGACACCATCCTTGATGGAAGATGCAGCATCCTTTTCCAGGACTTGGCTGATTTTGTGCTTCTCTGTTCCAGACTCAACATCCCAGATACGGAGGCTGCGATCGGATCCAGTGGAGAGCAAGAATTCGTTCTTTGGATCAAAGCTCACAGACTTGACACCACCTTCATGCCCCTGCAAAGTCTTGAATTCTTCAACATTGTTGACGTTGACGATTTTGATCTCAGAGTCATCAGAAGCGATAGCAAGGAATGAACTGTCCTGGCTGAAAGCCAGATCCCGGATTGGAAGGGAGCAACGAGTGACGTTCCGTTCAAAATCTGCATCCTCCATTCTGAACAACGCCACAAGGCTCTCTTCTCCACCAGCTGCAACACTCTGTCCGTTGGGACTGACGGCCACAACATGCACTGGGCCATGAAAATGGTCAATCTCCTCCACATCATTGCCTTCGTCCCCGTACTTCTCCAGGTCGTGGATCTTCACAAGGCAGTCACTTCCGCAAGTCACAAGTTTCCTGTCCTTGATCCCGGGGGCGAATTGCATGGAGCAAAACCCCTCCAGGTGAGCATTTCTCGTTGTCAGCCTTTTCATCTGACGGGGGCCTCCGACCTGCAAAACAACAAGATCCATCAATATTTCGGTACCAACTAGGCACTGACACGATTGTTACTTGTCTACAATCATAGTAGACATCCTCGACATCTTCGCTCCTGATACATGCTCACGATCAAGATGAATCCATACTTTCATTTCTATCACAGCATGCTGAATGTTGGCACTGGTCGATCAACCATATTTCTTGGACACTCTTGAATCACTGACAATCTCCTGCCTGATAACCTCCTGATCCTGTTCCATTGCCTCCCACCATTCCTCCCTCCATCTTCATCCCTGGCTCCCTCGCCTGCATTGCCCTCCCCTCGCCCTTCATTTCCCGCCTTTTCTTCCGATGACAACCCCTACGCTACAGTCCCAGAGACCACCCCACCATTCCAATATGACAAGTACCCCTCCTTCAGACCACCCCATCGAAAGCCTTCTAAAATACCCCCATCATCTTGGAAACGTTACATTACGTTTCAATAAAATTTAACGGTTGTAACGTTGAATGCCCCTTCGGTATTATCATGGCGATGGTGGGATAGAGCAAGGGAGCAGGGGGAGGTACAGGTAGATAATGGTGAAGGCAGTTGGCAGGCAGGAAGATAGGGATACAGACAGGAAGATAGGCAGATAGAAGATTAAGGTACAGGGCTTACTTTGACAGCATCATAGATTGTTGGTATTGATGAAAGCATGTATTCACAACTCATCGTGCGGAAGTCAGATGGCAATGGAGACAGAATAGCAGAATATGGGCATTATTGATCGAAATCTTGACTGAAGGTTAAAAGGATTCTTGTTTAACATTCAAGCAGGTGACCATGAGGGCGTGGGCTATCCTTGCTTCATGTCTTGCAGCCATCGCTTGCCTCGGCTTGATCGTCTACAATAACACCGCCCACCAGACAAGCTTGCAGCAAAAGAATGTTGTGTACTACAGACAGAACAGGATCAATTCTCTCCCCGTAGCTGTTGCAAGACCGTTGGCAGCAAATCAGCACATTGCCAACGCTCATTATCAACAGCGCTCGATTCAGCATTCTGTCGATCGCCGCTTCGGGAAGAGATCTGATGGTGCGGGCATTGCAGCAAAGCGAGCCAAGGAAGAAGCGGAGAAAGATTATCTCAAAACGTACAACATGGCGATCCAGGTGCCTCCGATTGAATGTATGAAGTCGCTTGTTGATACAGTCCAGGCCGAAAATGCGGAGGAGACTCAGGAGCGCAAGTACAGGGCGTTGAGAGCTAAGGTACTCTACTCGACTTTTCATCCTGCATGTTGAATATGGGCATGCAGCATGAGCAAGAGAGAACGAAGGTTTTCAACGAGTTGAAGAACAGAGCGAACAAGTGAGTGCCTTTATGTGGCTTCATGTGCATACACTCCGTAGTTGTCGCTTTAATAATGACTGTGGATGTTGTTTGACATGAGATTCCTCGCAGGAAGGAAGGGTGGGACAAGCTGGAGCGCGAGATGGGAATGATCATGGACGGTGTTGACGGCCTTCACTACAAGGGATACGCGCGTGGCCATTGATACGGACGAGGGCATCGGTCATGATGCTGAGACACCAGCTAGAGCTTGTAGCGTATTGAACTTGCAGAAAGTGTCTTGATGTGTCGATTTATGATCCCACTAAGACTGTATAAGAGCACCTGAGGTCTGCCGGCCTTATAACTTGGGGGATTTTTCGGACGCCTCCTTCTGGCGACCTGAACATCGGAGTAGGGGATCACCGACTGTTCATAGAATCCTTCTCATAGTAGTTTTAGTCAAATTCAACTCCAAAGAGAAAATTGACCTAAAAATGTTTGCTCCGTCAATTTATGCCTTTTCCGTTGCCTGGGCTGCCGTGCCACTCGAGACAAGGAAGGGCAATGTTGAGCAAAACTTTCCTCTATTTGATATGAATAGGCGTGTATAGTTACTGAGATCAAACAGCTCAATCCTTGGCTGAGAATCACACCTATAGCACGTTGAATGTGTAAGGTATGCATTCAAATTTGCACTTGCGTACCACAGCACTGATCAGCTATAGGTGTTGGTTGTTCACATCCAGAAGCCTTGAAGGGAAACATGAAGGGAACCGATCAGAGAAGCAACCTCGAAGACATCAAGGAAATTCGATTCTCCTTGCTGTGTTGAGGCCCTAGCTTCCTTTACCTGAATGCTTCGTCGGTTGAATATGAAACATATTTCAAGAGACTTCCTGTTGCTTTGCCATGAGGCTAGTTGATATGCCTGATCGCCGCGAGAGAAGATGCCAGAGGAGAGACGGTTTACTCAAGACCACTAGCGAATCGGAAGGCAGGAGGGCGAGGAGGACATGAGAGGAGAGGAAGGAGAAAGCTACGGGTAGAGACGGTTTACTTGATATCACTTGCGAGGAAGGGATGCTTCAGAGCCTCCTGTGCTGTCATCCTCGTGCGGGGATCGATGTCGAGGCAGCGGTTGAGGAAGTCCCAGATCGCATGTTCCTCCTCCACCTCTAGCCAGTCCTTGCATCCCGCATCCGCGCCCAGGGAGCTTGTCAAGGTCCGCCATGTTTGCTTCAACCCGCGGGCATAGCTGAGATGAAGTTCCAATGGTCCGAACTGCCAATGACATCAAGTTAGCAAACTCAGACTTCCCGCCTCCATATCACCCTCATCCTCATCCTCATGATACAACAACGCCGACGACAACAATTTTACTTCAACGTCGAGCTTGAAATCTTCGATAACATCTCTGATCTTATCTCTGTACTGACCCGTATACCCATAGTTGTGCTTCCACACAGCATCCATGCTCTTGATGTACATGCGCGAGCTGCCAGACATTCAGACAAGCGCACTTACCAAGTTACACAAAGATCGTTAGGCCGGAACCACTGGAACTGTGTCGTGCGGCACAGCAGGGTAAGTAGTACTACCCCAGCAGCCCACACGTCCACTGCTGTGGTCTGGAACTGACTGCCCATGAGCACTTCGGGCGCTCGGTATCCCCGAGTTCCCCCGCGGTTGACTGGAAGTTCGAGTTTGACCCCTGAGTTCCTCACTGTCACCGATGCGTTCGTCTTGCTGACGCCCAACATCCGCCTCTTCGCCATCTGCTGCACCATCCATAGCTGCCTGTTAACAGTATACCGGACCCACCTACTACTGACACGTGTCCCATAAAACCCCTTGGGATCCAAACGACAGCGGAATCAGTGGCGGACCTACTCCAAAGCTCCCTAAGGCTGAGATCCTACCAGAAAGAAAGGAGATCCTACCAGACTCTCAACAACCTACGTCGAACACTTTCCGCCCAGTGCCGCGGCAGTCTACCATGGCCAGGAGTTCGAACCATAAGAATACAGGTAAAATCATCCGCAAGCTCAATCAAAACAAATCTTGCAACAGTTTCGAAAGTCAACTCTATACCAATCTTGCGCCTATCACAGTCGAGATGTTGAGATTTCAAAGATTAAATCCGATTGAAGATCTTGTGTTTATCAATACAAAAGTGTATCGGGTTTCCTGGAACAACATTTTCGTCGCGGAGAGATCGGCGAGTCAACTCAAAGGCATTTCTGAAGAAATCAAAACGTACAGCATCAATTGCGAATTTCAGTTCGATCTCTATTTTCGAATCTTACCGATTACCCCAACCATGAGTTTGAGAGGAATTTTGGAATGCGTACTGGACTTTGACGATGCTTCGGAAGAAGCCAGCTCGCTCGTCATCGCCTTACACACATACGGTAGAGAGGAGGACGAGGATGCCAGAAAGCAGCTAGAGCGTCTTGTTCTGATGGAAAATGATCTTGTACATTTTGAATTCACTGAATGTACCTCAAGTATTGTACAGAAGCTCTGGCAACTTGAAACTGCTTTGTCGCTCAGGCAACAAATGTGGCCACCGGACCAGGCTGAAAGCAGCAACACCAGGCTGGTGGCGATGGGCGTGATAGTCGGAGGAAGCAAGACGGTCTTCGTCGACAACGCCATTCATATTGCTAAGCAATGGCAGCTCGCCAAGGAGGCAAACATCTTACTAGCTCAGTGCGGAGTACCAATCTTCCTGTGTCATGCAGAGCCTCAGACTGTCTATGGCATGTTCAATGACGTGAGAACGAGCCTCAAGGTATGACGTCTCTAATTCTCGACATCGATGACTCGCCCCTTTAAAGGAACTTCGAGACGAAATCGTTCAAACGGTTGAGAAACACATGGTATGTGGAGCACGGTCACCGGGTGTTAGTAGCGGAGGCTCGAGTCTCACTGAGGGATTGACCGTAACAATGCGGCAGGAGCCTGTCAGAAAGGATGTGCACGAGCTCGAGAGCAAAATGGATACGGGGCTGTCGGTCAGTGGGAATTTGATCAAGCTTGAAGACAGTCATAGAGGAGCTAACGAATGTGCAGGAGGTCAAGAATGAGGTGCAGCAGCTGAAGGGAAGCCTGCACGAGCTCGAGAGCAAAATGGATACGGGGTTGTCGGTGGGCCCAGTCACTGATCTTGACACATAGAGGAGCTAACGAATGTGCAGGAGCTCGAGAGCAAAATGGATACGGGGCTGTCGGTCAGTGGGAATTTGATCAAGCTTGAAGACAGTCATAGAGGAGCTAACGAATGTGCAGGAGGTCAAGAATGAGGTGCAGCAGCTCAAGGGAAGCCTGCACGAGCTCGAGAGCAAAATGGAAACGGGGTTGTCGGTGGGCCCAGTCACTGATCTTGACACATAGAGGAGCTAACGAATGTGCAGGAGCTCGAGAGCAAAATGGATACGAGGCTGTCGGTGGGCCCAGTCACTGATCTTGACACATAGAGGAGCTAACGAATGTGCAGGAGGTCGAGAGCAAAATGGATACGAGGCTGTCGGTGGGCCCAGTCACTGATCTTGACACATAGAGGAGCTAACGAATGTGCAGGAGGTCGAGAGCAAAATGGATACGAGGCTGTCGGTGGGCCCAGTCACTGATCTTGACACATAGAGGAGCTAACGAATGTGCAGGAGGTCGAGAGCAAAATGGATACGAGGCTGTCGGTGGGCCCAGTCACTGATCTTGACACATAGAGGAGCTAACGAATGTGCAGGAGGTCGAGAGCAAAATGGATACGAGGCTGTCGGTGGGCCCAGTCACTGATCTTGACACATAGAGGAGCTAACGAATGTGCAGGAGGTCGAGAGCAAAATGGATACGAGGCTGTCGGTGGGCCCAGTCACTGATCTTGACACATAGAGGAGCTAACGAATGTGCAGGAGGTCGAGAGCAAAATGGATACGAGGCTGTCGGTGGGCCCAGTCACTGATCTTGACACATAGAGGAGCTAACGAATGTGCAGGAGGTCAAGAATGAGGTGCAGCAGCTCAAGGGAAGCCTGCACGAGCTCGAGAGCAAAATGGAAACGGGGTTGTCGGTGGGACCAGTCACTGATCTTGACTCACATACTACCGAGGAGCCGCAGTAACGAATGTGCAGGAGGTCAAGAGCAAAATGGATACGGGGTTGTCGGTGGGCCCAGTCACTGATCTTGACACAGAGGAGCTAACGAATGTGCAGAAGGTCAAGGGTAGCATGCAGGAGCTTGCGCAGGATATGCGGCAGGTGGGTCAAGAGATGGCTGAAACTCAGTCCACTGAGTTGATTCGTGAAAAGATGTTCCATCAAGCCCTTAGGGATATTTCGAATAGCAATTTCCCGGCGCAGCAGCAGCCTGACCGTGGCACGACTGTCGATGACGGCCGCGGCGCCTGACCGTCACGGCATGGTATAGTAGAACAGTATAAATCTTTCAGTTATTCTTTCTCAGTCATCCAGTCAGCCATCAGAGTCTCTATGATAGTATCATAAATGATAGCGCCTTTCCTGTTCGCAAGTTCCGAGCGTCACCGTACTATCATGTGTAGTATCAGTGATGCCGCCGGGCCCGGGACTCCGGGAGGCGGCCGGCAACGGTTCGGCAAGGAGTCCGACCAAGGACGCTCACAGGCGGGCCCGCCTGCTCCATCCGTCTCTCCGACATGGAGGAATATGCTAGGCTATGCAGCAAGAGGAGGGCGGGAGAGGAGAAGCTTGACGAGGGAGTTGTGGATGTGGGAAGGGAAAGAGGAAGAGAGGTCATCTCAGGTCCTCCCTCCTCCTCCTCCTCCTCCTCCTCCTCGTCTCAGCGTCAAGCTCCAGAGGTTCCCGCAGGAGGCGCCTGGTGGGACGCTGTTTGCCTCTTTGCACGCGGGCAGAGGCAGAAGGAGCTTTTCGAGTCTCTCGTCGAGTTCCGCAAGTTGAACGCCATGATACCGACCTTCAACAACTGCATGTACCTCGTCGTCGACATCGAGGACGGTGGCGCGGCCGGTCAGAAGTTCAGCGTCAACAAGTTCCTCAAGGAGTTGAATGAGAGGATGATGAGGGAGGGAGGGAAACACTTAGAAGAGTGCAAGGTGTCTTTCATCTACTCCAGCATCGAAGATCTGTGGATGGAAATGCATCCCTGGGGCGAGATGTTCGCTCCGTGCTCTCATCCTGTGCTCCCACACGTTCAGACCAGCACCATGGTCGACTTCAAGCTTTCTTCCATGTTGAGCCTCGCGGCCCACGGCAAGGCGGGGATCTACTTGGTGAGCGTCGGCAACGTCTATCTGCTCGATCCCTTCAGCATCCCCTCGCGCTTGCAGCTCAGAGATCACAAGATGTTTGCGCTGGGCAGGCGTCAGGCAGCAGGGGCTGACGAGGCCCGAGGGGTCTTGATCGCGAACGATGAGGCAGAGCGACAGGATGAGTCGATCGTAAGATGCAATCGTTACATGAGGAGAGGCGAGCAGGAGCAAGGGGACGCTGCTGCTGAGCAAGCTACTGCAGACGTAGGCGTCGTGCCCTCTGACCTCTACATCGAGCATGAGCTCTTCGTGCTTTTGGCGGAAACTCTAGAGCACAAACCATACAAGAGCCTGGTCGATGGCATTCTCGCCAGCGCCTTCTCGTGCAACCTGAGCATGGAGGAGGAGAACAAGGAGAACCTCGTCCACCTCGCCATCAGCTCGAACCGCGAGCTCTACATGCCGTGCGTCGTTGCCGGACCCTCTGAAACTGTGAGGTTGGGGAGGCGTCAAGCTGAGGCGGGAAAGACGAGCAGCGTGCTGGGATCTTACGTGGACTCGAGCAGCAGCGTGGAAGGCTGCAGCATCTTGAACTCCTCCCTTCACTCTGTCACGGCGCAACCAGCGAGCCGGATCGAACTGTCGACGATCATCCGGGCAGAGGGGCAGGAGGGATCGCATACCATAGGGAGGTCCTCGACCGTCAGTGGCGTCTTCTACAGTCATCCTACGACCCCGCTGGTCCTTCCAGAAGACGTCCGGCTGCTGTCGTTCCCGATCCTGAGTGAGGGAGGAGGAGTCAAGTTCCTCACAGCCTTCACCGGTGCTAGCGACGATCTCGAGGAAGCACCTGTGCGCAGGTTCCTAAACCTGCCGGTAGAGGCGATCTGCGAGAGACAGGGCTCACTCCGAGAGCTTCTCGCCCCTCCTCATGACCTCCTCCATGCTCCGCTCTTTCCCCTCCACGAGGACCCCACCACCTCCGTGCTGCTGGCACTGCACGCCATCCATCAGCTGCTGGGCAACGAGCAGGACGCTTCCTTGTACGCCAGGGCGATCCCTCTTCCTCTGACGCCCCAGAAAGCCGACAGGACTTCCCTGCATGCGGCTCTTCCTCTGTTCTCGTCGCAGCAGTGCTACGTAAAGTTCGCTCCTCTCCCGGGCCCGTGCCTTCAGTCCGTCACCTTCCACAACTTGCACTCCTGCTGGTCGTTCCCAGCAAGGGGGGTGAGGCCAGCACAGGTCCAGCTGCCTGCGCGGCTCATCGTAGCGGGAGGATGGACGGATACGCCTCCTGTTTGCTTCATGCACCCGGGCGGGATCTTCAACCTCTCCTGCAGGCTTGACGGGCAAGACCCTCTGCAGGCGCGGGTGGAGGTGGTAGGAGGAGAGCGGCTGGAGCTCTGCTCGGAGGACCAGCAGGCGGAGGAGGGGTACGGCAGCTGGGAGGAGTTGTACGAGGGCATGAGGGCAGGAGGGCATGCGCTATCGCCCTGGAGGACGATGGGCCACGAGTCGTGCACCGCTGTGCATGCTGCTGTCATCTCCGTCCTCTTCGACTCGAACCTCTACGGCAGGATCAGCTCGCAGGCCTCCTCCTCCTCTCCCTCTCCCTTCCCTCGCGGCATTCGCCTCCTCACCAACTCTCTTCTCCCCAAGGGCAGCGGACTCGGCGGCTCCTCCATCCTCGCGCTCGCCTGCGTCCGCGCGCTTGAGGATGCGTGTGGGCTGGAGATGAGCCTGCGGCAGGAGATGGACGCAGTGCTCATGGTGGAACAGCTGCTGGGCACGGGAGGAGGGTGGCAGGACCAGATCGGCTGCGAGCCCGGAGCCAAGTTCACGACCCGGGATCAGGGAGGATACCACGTGAGCAGAGTGAGCATGTCAGAGGAGCATGCTGCCCTCCTCAACTCGCGCCTCCTCTGCCTTGGGACCAGCATGACGAGAGTCGCCAAAACGGTGCTGGTTGGCGTCGTGGACAAGTTCTGCTCCGGCGACTTCAACATCGTCAGCATCCTCGGCAGGCAGCTCGAGCTCAATGCCAGGAGCATGAGGGATAAGTTCCTCCGGTTCGCCGCCTGCTCCCTGAGGGAGGAGGAGGAGCTCGAAGCTTGCCTGCGCGACATCGGGGAGGAACTTGAGCGCTACCGCGAGCACTGCGAGGGCTTACAGGGCAGCACGTTCATGCCCGAGAGCCTCCGGCCGATCTTCGCAGCCATGGCAGGGTACACCTACGGGGCGAACCTGATGGGGGCAGGGAACGGAGGCTTCATCGTGGGTGTGGTCAAGGCGGGGAGGAACAAGGAGGAAGTTCTGCTCGCTTGCCAGCAGGTTGCAGTGACATGTGGCGTTTCGTTGACTCTGGCGAATGTGGAGGTGACAGTGTGAGAACAAGGACGGAGAGGAGAAGGAGGAGGAGGAGGAGGAGGAGGAGGAGGAGGAAGCAACATTAAAGATCACCAATTTCATTGTGTGTTATGGATTAAGTTAGAACACATAAGATTCGAGAAGACAGGAGAGACGGGGGGAGGACGAGGTAACAGGGAGGTCAATCTAGAGCAGCCATGCTCCTTCATCGTCGATTGCGTTCTTCTTCCTGCGATCCTCCTCCAGCTTGCGGTACTTGGCCGACTGTGACAGGGGAGTGAGAGAGCGGGAGGATCTACGGAAGAGCATACATCTTCGTCTGGGATCAGATTCGGGAGGGGAAGCTTGAAGAGGTCGATATCTGACAAGATAAGTTAAAGGAGGAGGGAGGGAGGGAGGGAGGGAGGGAGGGAGGGAGGAGAGAAAAGGAGGAGGAGGAGAGAGAGTTGACGAGACAAAGGAGAAGTCAAAGGAGGAAGAGGAGGAAGAGAAAAGGAGGAGGAAGAAGATCCTCACTGGGCAAGAAGCTGGAGCTCTTCTCCTCAGCTGCTTCATTTCCTTCCTTGACGTCCGCCTGCATCCCCTTCGCATCACAACACCCGCCCCTCTCCCCACTGCTCATCACCTCAGCCTTGGACTTCTTGGAGGGGGACGATGCCGTCGGAGACTCCGAGGTCTGCGCCTTGAGTTGCCAGAAGGACCGTTTGGCAGCGAAGTCCTTCTCCGACACAGTCTTGCTCTCAGCCTTCTTCTGCTCGGGTTTCGCAGAGGAGGAGGAGGAGGAGGAAGCGGTCGTAGCAGTGGTGGCCTCCTTGGCTGCAGGAGGGGCAGAGGAACCCAGCAGGATGTTGTTAGTGAGAAAGTCGAATGGCTGGCTGGGCTGGCTGGGCTGGCTGGTGGTTGACTCCTTGCTCTGCTTTGAGGGCGCAGCAGCTCCGAGCTTCGTTTGACCTCCCTTCTTCTGCGCGTTGCTCGAGCTCTGCTGCTTCTGCGCAACACGGAAGGAGTCAAACATCAACTCCAGCACTGGAGGGACGTAGGAGAAGGGGGATGAGGAGAGGGCAAAGCAGTAATTCAGATCACCTTGGCGTTGCCCGTTGACTTGTTGGAGGAGCTCTCGCCCTTCTTGTCCGCTGGGGTCTCCCCAGCTGCCTTGCTATCCTGCATGGAGGAAGTCACTTGAGCCTGGCAGGAGGGGGGGGGGGTGAGAGGGTTACCTTCATCGAGTACGCGATCAACGAGGCGATCACAATCGCCGCGATGCTGGGGGTTATGATTTGCTTCAAGGCACCAGGTCAGGACCTCAGCTCAGCCCCAGCAGCCTCCCTACCTCGGGGGACATGGTGTTGGTCCAGGCGTACCAGGACGAATCGGAGTCGGCCTGTTGCTGGCCCAGTGCCGTCAGTCGACTGGAAACTATTGCGCGACCAGTCACCTTGTTCGACTTCTTGCTCCTCTTCGCCTCCTCGGCCTTCTTCGCTGCAGCTTTCCTCGCTGCCTCCTCGGCCGCAGCCTTCTTCTTGGCCTCCTCAGCAGCCTTCTTCTTGGCCTCCTCGACCGCAGCCTTCTTTTTGGCCTCCTCGGCCGTGGCCTTCTTCTTGGCCTCCTCGGCGGCAGCCTTCTTCTTGGCCTCCTCAGCCGTGGCCTTCTTCTTGGCCTCCTCAGCAGCCTTCCTTGCACTCTCTTCCTCTAGTGAACCGACAGTCAGCGGTATTCATCCGCCGGTCTATGACTTGCCTTTTCTCTTTGCCTCAGCGCTGGCTACGTTGTCGCTGCTTGCCTGCGATGTGCCAGGTTGAGCGGCGAGGAAGCAGAGGCAGGGAATCACCTTAGCGTTGTAACTTTCTGAGATACCGCCGGACAGTGTGTCCGTCAAATTGGCAACCGTCACAAAGGCCTTGTTCATCACCGAACTAGCCTGCAGCCAGTCGTCACATGCTGTCGACGACACTCACGAGTCTTTACGGCAAGGCCAATCCTTCCACTGATAGCACCCTTGTGCTCAACAGGGTCCCACGTGTCATCGATGATTGCAAAACATTGTCCTTGAATATGATACAAGTCAGTAAAACATGGAGCTGTCGCAGTAGGGAACTACCAGTCAGGCAATCCTTGCGAGCCAGGCAGCCTGTTTCCGGTGCATCAAACCAAGCGAAGGAGAAGCACTTGTTTCCTCTCCTGCATTGTTGGGATCAGACGTGACATAGAGTACTCAAGATGCTCTCGAGAAGAAACACGATATCAGTAACGCTTTCTACGTGGCTACCTGTCCTTGTAGTTGACGCACGCAGTCTCGCACTGTCCAACCGTCGGAAATGTGCCAACGTATCGCTGATTCTTGTAGTTTCCTTGCCATCTTGCCCTGGGAACATGCTCGTAAGTTCAACATCAAGGCAAGCAAGCATTTGATACTTTGGGGCGTTGTTGTAGTCGGCATAGCATGCCATCTCCTTGCAGTGGTTTTCACCCAAGAATGCAAATGTGCATGCACATTGCAAGACCAAGAAGCAAGCGAGTAAGCACTCGCACGAGTGAAGTTTCCCCAGCATTGCCTGCAGACGACAGCGTGAGCCGTGCTGAAGGTTCACCACCCTATGGGTCAGGCATCCAGCGAATGTACGTGAGCATGTTGGCAGGTGTGATTGTGAAGATTGAAGCAAATGACAACAATATTCGATCATTCATCAGAATTCTGCTCAAGACAAGCCAACTGTACATCAATCTCTTCAATCGCTGGTATTGACTTCGACGTATCTCCTTGCACGCCTACTCGTTTCACTTCGTACATCGATTGCTTGCAATCATGCATACCCTCCAGCCCCCAATCCATATACTCCTCTTCTCAGCATTCAGGCGCTATCAACTGCTCACCGTTCTAGCGAAAGTGAAGTGTCAACCAACTGCTACACTGCTCTTGCAACAGGGCAACAACATAGTGGATAATCTTCCCTTACGGTCTGCTTTCAAGCTCGGCCATTCTCACACAGTTTATCTCAACTACATGTGCTGTACAACTTCCCTGCTGATACCTGATCTCCACATTCTCCCTCCCTCCCTGCCCTTGGCATCTTCGTCTTCCTCCTTTCCATATCCCTCCTCCCTCGGCACCCCGTCATTTCGGCCTGGGGCGCTTGAAATTGTCCCTGTACCCCCTGATTTTGCAATGTGAGGGTACTTAATTGCCTACTACCCGTACATAGTATATCACATGACCCACCTATTTGACTACACCTATTTCCTACCACCCCATCAAGGGTAACCCCTACCCACCTAAAGTCTCTTCCCAGCCTGATTTTCGAGCTCCTGCACCCGAACTCGGAGTCCATTACCCACCCCAACCTTATGACTACCCCACCCACTACAAATCATAACAAGGACCCCTAATTGAAATATATCCACCACCCACCCATATGAAGGAAGTAACTGACCCCACCTACCTTTACACCTTATCAAAATGTAACGCCACTACTACACCACCCCTTTCTTTGCAAACCCTCATGAACCCCTAGTATGTACCCACCCCACCCTCTTTTTTCCTGGCTCTATCCCCACCCTTCATCTGAACTTAGCATAATAGCCACCACCCCAACCTAACGGCTTGACCACCACCTACCCGATTACTCTTGCCGAGGTGTAGACAGGGTAGTATACCTATATATTTTTTGATATATATATATATATGTATTATTGACTTGAGAACACCATTAAGAATTTTCACTAATAAAATATTACTTTTTAATGTTTGTGGCTCATTTGCTGTCTCAAAAAGATAAAACATGTTTTTGCTGGTACAATTATCTTCTTACATCCGAGCAATTGGTACCTCTAAAAACTTCTATTTAGACAAATATAAAATCTTTTTGCACTCAAGTATCCGCAGGTATCCGCATGTGCATCCGCAAGTATCCGCAGGTATCCGTGTAGATCCATCGGGATGCTGGTTCAGGTGCCGGGCGCGTGGCCATGGGCTGGAGCGGGAGCAGGGGGCGGGGCATGGGAAGCAGGAGGAGGCATGAGAACCTGGGCAGGAGGGATGAGGTGATGTTCCTGACGACATGGCGTCTTCGTGTGCTGAGGTGTCCCAGGGCTCCAAGACTGGCACCCGGCGATCCGATCCGCTGCCGATGCTCCGTATGGCAGGCTGAGGGTGTTCAGTCTCACATGACAAGGAAGAAGGTAGAAGCACATCCTTGCTCTCTCATGTCCCAGCATGCTCGTCAGATGGGATCATCTCTCGCCTTCCTGGCCTCGTGGGCTGTTTCCCGTTCCTTACATCGAGTTCAGTTGATGTTGCACACTTTCGCGCTTCTCTCAGCCTGGTTGGCATCAGCGAGACAGTCCGATGCTTCGGATCTCTACAAACGACTCGAGAAGGTCGAGCATGCCTGTGATGAGAGGAAGAGCTGAGGCTGGGGGAGGGCAGAGGGATCCAGAAGCGCTGTCTAAACCTCTCATGCCGTCGGTGAGCCAAGACTGTGTCCCTCATCTTTCTAATCCTCGTGTCAGATTGTAGCGATACCAGTGGCAGAACAGGTTTATCCTGACTGGTTGGAGGGGACTTGGGATGTTTCATGCAAGGTATGCGTGTGGTTGGTGAGGGAGGTCCAGGGGATGAGGAGATCCTTCAGTTCTCGGGATACTTGTTGCCCGTGAAGCAGTTGTCCAAGGAGCAAATCATGAGGGATGTCGAGATCCCGGGGTTTCAGAAGCTGTCGATTGCTCTCCTGCCCGATGTCGGCTCATCTGCGTCATTCCAGAAATCTTTCCGAAGGAGGGCGGATGGGAAGGTGGAGGAAACCCTTCGCGCGCCTGTCGCGCGCCTTTCGAAGGGTGAGTTTGTTGGCAGGTAGTTGAAGACCGGCAGGCTGGTTTCACATCGCTCATCAACTCATACGTCGGATCCTCTGCAGTGAAGTCTGTTACATGCACTAACGACAGGTTTCGAGCTGGCTGAGCCGCCATGTGCCACGTACCGATGCATTTCTGCTCCAGGGATTCCATCGAACTGATACCTGGCAAGACGAGGAACGCTGAGCGGATCGGTAAGAGGATTTTCGAATGGGCTATGGACGCAAAGCTCTGATGTACTCTCCAGAGCTCTTCTCAAGTTCTAGGGACAGCGAGGCCGTGGGGGACATCTTCGTTTGCTCGGACTACGTTCGACAGGTTGGATTCGGCAGGAGTCTCGTTCTTGCTCCTCTAACTATCTCTCTAGGTCACCTATGGCCTATCAAAGCAGTTCGGAGTAGCCAGACAGGTCTGTCATGTAGTTGACGATGGTAGTCGCCGATACTGGTAGCAGGTGGTGGGGGAATATCAACACTTCTGGACTTTCAAGAAGAAGACCGATTATGAGTTGACCGCCAACCTTCTCACAGCAGCTTACCTTCAGGTGCAATCGTAGATGGCGTCTGTTAGTCGCATGTTCGAATGACTTTCAAATGACTTTCCCCCCAGCCGCAAGATCCTCTTTTCTTCCAGGCCCCATCGAAGGTAAGCTGTGTCCTACAGCCCGTGGACTGAGGAGGTTTTGCAGGCTGTTGTAGTGTACTCCACCGATTACAATTTCAGACGTGGATAAGCTATACTCCACCGATTACACTTTCAGACGCGGATGGGCTGTAAAGAATGTATTTCTACGACTCAATGAAACAACTATTCCTGACCATCTTGATCTAAACGCTATTGACAGAAACAATAATGCCTAGAAAGAACGAATACAATTTCCTCATCGGCAAAAAGCATGCAGTTGACAGAGAGGAAGGGAAAAATAACTTAACGCCTGTCACAATACGGTAAGGCCACTACTTATCATGTTATCTACTTGTACAAAAGATCCTGATACATCTCAAATCTACATATGAGTCTAATCAGTTGTTTGGTTGTCCTCGAATCATATTCTGCAAAATACGAAATCAGATAACGAAGTTGCGGGAACAACAGAAATCCACCTCTCGTCGCACAGCAACCGCCTTTGCCTCCTCCGCAAGCTGCATGTAGTTTTTATTATAGGCATCCTCCTTGCAAAGACACAAATTCTTGCAAGCATGTTCCTGTCATGAATCAGCTCTACCACGCATTTGGGGAAGAAGAATTACCTCAGGAAGACGATGATCAGGGCAAAACTTCAGATCGCAGTACTGGCAGTCTCCAGCAATCTGCAGACATTCAGTCAAGATCATAGAGAGCCGACTAGCTAACGGTGCCAGACCTGCATGTAATATTCTTTGCAACCTTTGACAACACACCTCCTTTTCCCTGCTCCTCCTCGAAGCCTGCAAACAATCAGATCAAGAAGTGCGGAGAATGTGTTGTCACCTGCTGCAGCCCCTTAATTTTGTGTCATCCCCTGTCTGCTGTTCGCTGATCTCAGGGTCTTTCGTCCACGAAGCGACTTCAAATCCTCCGACGAGATCTGCTGAATTTCGCAATTCAACGTTTTCCGGGTAATGTGCGACGAGACTGTTCTTAGGGTGAAGGAATGGTGAGTTGGAATCAATACTTGCGAATGTCTGTAACTCAATAGATTGCGAAGAGAAGTCTGATATAGCATAAGAGACCCGCACGAGGGTCAAGGCTAAAATCAGCATCGACGGCCCCACGATATGAGAGATCCCTCTGTACATCTTTGAAAAGTTCTTGAAACCTTGTTCAGATCGAACACGCTTCATCCGATGAAAGATAAATCGGCGGCTGCCATCTCCCCCGCCAGGTTACGACCAAATTATTGTTGATTTGAGAATTTCTGCTTCAAGAAACGACTCAGCTTTCAAGAGAAACTTGTACAAACAGCGAAGCAATAGACATATGACATCTGGGATTTCCGGAGGAAACTCAATTCAAATCAACATCCATTTCAAATCGAGAATTCACACAGATATCTCCTTCATGTCTAGCGCGACTTAGCACAAAACAAAGTCTTTGTGGTTCGCAACATAGACCTCTCTGAGGTACACTTCCAACAACATTTGTCCGCCTCACGAGAACAACTGATATTATAACTTCATGATGCAGATGGGACGTTTCGGAAACCATCCTCTGTGCAGAAAATTTCCCTCTTTGCGCATCTCAATATCTAGTTTGCTGGTTGCTTTTGGTTTTTCTATCTGAACGGACACGTCTTTGAAAAATAGCCAAATGATCATGGCAAACACCAAGAAACTTTTCATAAAAACTTCAGAGCTCAAAACTAGTTGATTCCTCTTTCTCGAATTCTTTATCCGCTTCTTCCCACCAAATTCGTTCATACCCCACGGAGTACTCGTTCACATACATCACAACATATCAGTAAAATTGTGCATTTTTGCCTCACGAAACACTACGAAAGTTGCAGGCATATGTTTTTTCTACAAAGTTGCAGGTCATTATCAGAACTTGTGAAGTGCAACATTGTGATCCCCTAGATAAAATCACTTGAATCCTTGAAGCTCACGTACTGTTTGCTTCTCTACTCTTGACTCGATGTTTAAAACGTTTCTCCCGCATGCCGAGCAGGGAAGTGTCCATGATCTCTATCCTCCATTTGTTCGTTCCCATCACCTCCTCCTCCCCGCCTCTGCCTCTTCCTTATCCTCGGCTCTATTCACTGCGCTTCGACGTTGCAGCCATCACAGATGGAATTGCGAGCAGCCTCTTTAGGGGTGGGGGGGTACACCATTTCATCTTTTGGGTGGGGTCATTCTACAGGGATTGGGTAGGGTTATGAATAGTCATCTTGGAGGTAGGGTGGATAATAGCATGGGGTGTCGTGGATTGAAACGGGGTTGTATTCGCGGAATACTTCGTTTGATGAGGTGGGTAGGGTGGTTTGAGATTCAATGAAATAGGTGGGGTGGGTTGTGAGGGCCGACGACAAAGAGTTACCAAGAGGGTAGGGTAGTCTTCTAGGTGTTTGTGGGGACACAAGGAAACGGGTAGGGTGGTATCTGCTGAGGATCATCCTTTGCCCACGGGGTACCGATAAATTGCACTTATTATAGGGGTGGGGTATATATCAGCCCCAAAGGAAAGCCTTCAACGGGTGGGGGTGAAATAATCTGATCCTGAAGAAGGGGTGGGTTGAAAACCTGTAAAGCTGCCTGGGGGTAGGGTCTGTAGAATTGGGTAGGTGGGTAGGGGTAATGCTTGCAGGGGTAACAACAAGGTGGCCGGACATACTACCCAGGCCTTGATGACCCTACCAGGGAAAACGAGTGAAGTAATGTCTCAGTACCCGTTATTTCCGAATAGAAAAGATATCGAGTAAGGGGGTCAGGACAACCCCCACCCCCCATATACGCACCATGAACCTCTGTGCACCCAACCACCCGTCGAATTTCCTTTTGGACAGATAAAGCCCGGGGTATTCGACAGAAACGCGCCCGAAATCTTGGGTGACAGATTAAAATCTTATCTATTTTAAAGCATATTCTCCTCTGCCTTAACCGGTCCAAACAAGGCAAAGACATCTAGAGGGGGTGGGTACTCTCTGGTACCAATTAATAATTGTTAACAACCTTTTTAGGATTACGGTACAAAAAGTATTCTTGTATTCGACTACCCCTCCACTTCACTCTCACTACCCCCCATTACCCCCACCTCTCCTCAATCCACCACCCCCCCACCCTCCTTTGTCAGAGAACATCGGTTGTCACATGGGTGGTCGTCATACCCCAAACAGACTACAGTACCCCCTCCTGGCAGCCTGACATACTATACGTAGGAGGGGTACTTCATCACGATTAGGAAAGTCTACAGTACCCCCTTGTGGGTGAAGGAAGGCAAGATGGGAAGAAGTATCAGAAGATACCTACTGCGAGAGGGATGATGGTATTAGTTCCCAACCTTGCTTCAATCACCATGATTTTGCCAGAATACCACCTATGTAGAATCATCACACCACAACATACACGGGAAACAAGAAGATTGAAGGGGGGGAACCTGTGTGTGATGTGACAGAAGATTTTTTGGCTACCAACCGGTACCTGTCCACCCACATTTACAGGAGATACGTGTTCTCACCGAAAGGTTACCTGCATCCTTCACACGTACACAGGATCAGATATGATTTAAATCCTGAGGGAGCTCGTTGAACACGAACTCCCTTGTTCCCATTAAGAAAGTTGATTTCTTGTACATAAGACGTACACTGTTTACGTTTGAGGAAATGTTTGCCTTGAAGCTTGGAAGCATGACATACGGCGGGGACAATGGCGGATGGAGTTGCGTATAGCATTGCGTCGACAGGGGACTGAAGGGGCGGGGCAGGGGCTGGTGATATGGAATGCATCGCAGAAGAAGGCATATGCTGTGATGTATCATCATCACCTACTTGAAGACCTGCCAGTACTGTTGTGTGACTAACATTGACCGTGGCGGGAGAAGTAGGCATAGATTGGTCTGCCAGTTCATGATAAAGACGACTAGCCGCTTCCACGAGGTTCCCGTCAAGCCTCCATCCCACGAGTTGATGTCCCTTCGAGATAACTTGACCTATACGAAGGTTGGAGGAAAGCCCCAGCTGAGAACGTATGGTTTCAACATGGTGCATGAACGATGTGGGATGCAGAGCTGCCATGGCGCGGCGTCCGCGGCGTGCTGGAATGGCCAGATTTGTTGGCGGGAAAGTAGTACCAAGTTGGAGAGTTTGTACGGGGTCGTACTACCGTACCTTAGCAATAATTGTTTGTAAAGGGCAAATGTAACTTAAATTAGTACCCAGTTTGCTATTTTCATACTGTTTAAAATAATCCAAGAAGCGTTACTATCCAAACAATTTGTACTATTTATCCAATTGTCCTATATCCATGATTTTGGACGCGTTTCTGTCGAATACCCCATAAAGCCCTCCAGCGATCGGTACCCCATTTCCACCATGCTTCTTGTGGGTGAGGTACGGGGGGTGGGTAAAGCAGCAGTTGGAGGCCACAAATCTAGGGGGTGGGTAGGTATGAATGGAGCCAAACCATCTCGGACCAGATACCAGGGGGTGGGTGGGAATCTTCAGTGGGGTCATCCTAGGAAAACACACCGGTAGTCTGAGTCGACAGCCCCTCATACCGATCTCAACTGTGAATGCCCGGCTACGGGCCCAAAGGCCCGGTCACCAACCGGTCACTGAGGGCAGGGGTATAGCGGGGATGAGGGACATGAAACAGTCATAAAGAGTAGATTTCTTCGGTGTCAGAGAGGAATGCAGGGAGTAGTGAAGCAGAGAGGAAGGAGCAAGATGAAGGGAAGAAGTCGGGGGAGAGACGATGATAGAGACAGTGGAGTGGTCATGAAGAGGAGGCCAGAGGCCAGAGATGATCACTAGATGGAAACATACTTGAATTAAGATCACGAGGGCAGAGGGGTCACAAGAGGTATGAGTTGCAAGGGTTGCATTACTAGGTGCTGGGGATGCAGCGAAGTCTATGTTGGGGAGACGAGTATGGAGGTTGAAGAAGGCACATGAGTTTGATTCATGGCATTCCGCGAATAGAAGAATGAAGGGATCGTTGGATGAGATTTTGTCCACTTCACAGTTGCAGGCAGATGCGACGATTTTGTTCACTTTTTCCCATTTATTGTGTGTCCATGGCAGAGGCTCCGTCGCATGGCTAATACCATGAATCGCAATAGGCAGCTCCTCCTCTTCCTGTGCATCTTCGGTGTTGTTGCTCTCGGGCTGGTGAGAGGGCGGGGTGTGCTTCTTTCCCCTTGTGCGTCTCACCCCATGGCAGGGGCATACTTGCTCGGCTTCTGAGGGCAACAGGTCCGTGGACAGCAAGACGAAGGGAATGCTTCCTGCCTTCATCAACTTTGCTCTCCGCCCGCTCTCCCACTTGTCCGGCTGCAGCGCGTTTCGCTCCGCGGCGAAGATCTTTCCCAAGAAGTTCATCCAGGTGCCTTCGGTGCGGCTCAGGGGAGGAAGAGACCAGCCCTTCACCGTGCAGGCGAGCGCAGCAGCTCCTGTGGCTGAGACCTCGACCAAGATGAACCCGCTCATCTCGCTGGAGATGTTCCCCCGCTACGACCTGGTGTCTGCCGAGCACGTGCTGCCGGCGATGCAGGAGCTTATCAAGGATGCCGAGGGGAGCCTGGCGAAGCTGGAGGCGAGGCTCAAGGAGAGCGGGTATCAGATTAAGTGCTCTGAGTTCCTCGGTGAGGTGGAGAAGCTCTCGGACCATGTCGAGCGTTCGTGGGGAGTGGTGCAGCACCTAAAGGGGGTGCGGGACAACGACGCGCTTCGCAAGGCTGTGGAGGAGGCGCAGCCAGCAGTGGTGCAAATGAACCTGAAGCTGATGCAGAACGAGGCCCTGTTCAACACGTTCAAGGCGATCAAGGAGAGCAAGGAGTTCCAGACGCTCTCCCCTGCCCAGAAGAGAATCGTGGAGACCTCCATCCGGGACGCCGAGCTGTCCGGGGTTGCCCTCAAGGGGGAGGAGAAGAAGCGCTACAACGATCTGCAGCAGGAGCTCGCGACTCTGAGCACCAAGTTCAGCAACAACGTGCGAGGAGGTCGAGGCGGCGGGTCGTTGACTGACGGCTGAGCTGCAGGTTCTTGACAGCACCAAGGCCTTCTCTGTCCGCCTGGAGAAGAAGGAGGAGGTTGCCGGGCTGCCTGCGAGCTCGCTTGCTCTCGCTGCTCAGACAGCCAAGAGCAAGGGAGACAAGGATGCGACGCCGGAGGAGGGGCCCTGGGTGTTCACGCTGGACATGCCTTCCTACCTGGCGGTACAGCAGCATGCGAAGGACCGCTCGCTGCGGGAGAAGATGTACGAGCAGTACATCACCAGGGCCTCCAAAGAGGTGAGGCGGAGCCGAAGTAGAGGGGGGAAGAGGGGGGGATGGGGAAGGAGTGAAAGGATGGGGAGGAAGGAGAGAGCGAAGGGGGAGCAAGGGGGGTGAGGGAAGGCAGGAGAGGAGAAGGGAAGAGAGGAGAAGGAAGAGAGGAGAAGGAAGAGAGGAGAAGGGAAGAGGATGACGTGGGGATGTCAGGGTCTGGACAACACGCCAATCATCAACAAGATTCTTGCTCTTCGACAAGAGACGGCAAAGCTGCTCGGCAAGAGGTGGGCTAGAGAGAATGGGATGAAGGAGGAGTGAGACATTTTAAGAAGAGATCAGAATGGAGGAGGAGGAGGAGGAAGGGAGGAGGAGGAGGAGGAAGAGGAGGAGGAGGAGGAGGAGGAGGTTGTGATGGTGGTGAGGGAAGGGATGTGGAATGATAAGTTTCGCAGGCATCATGCTGATGTCAGCACTGCGAGCAAGATGGCCACGTACGAGAGCGCGATGAAGCTGCTCAAGGTGAGGGGAAGAGGAAGAGAAGGAAGGAAGAGAAGGGAAGGAAGAGAGGAGAGAGAGGAGAGAGAGGAAGAGAGAGG